CTTCAATCGACCTCTTAAGTCCTGATTGATTGCACACCTTTTCATAGCTTCCACCTGTATTTGCTCAACAATTGACGTACCTCCTCTGCAGTCCGCTCACTAGACGCCGACGACTTCCCCCCCATCGAAACCCTCGCGACTGCAAAAACCTCGCTGCCGACAGCGTGTTGGAGAGTTGAGGCAGGGTTGGCATCGAGGGTTACAGAGGTGAGAGGTGCCGACTGGGCAGATACGTGTCTGCGAGGAAGGTGCTTCTGTTGGACTGTGCCCCCTTATCACGTTAGATTGTGGCATCCACTGCGCCTGTACCTGTCAAACCTTGCCAACACGCAATATTCTACTCAATTGTTGTTTCCCTTCTTCAGACGATCAACTACCTGAAAGGGACGTTGCCTACCGAACTCGACTTGTACCCTGGGAATGTGGAGTTGCTACAAAGCTACTCAACTGATGTTATTCAGGTAAAGTAGCCTCCCCATGGGCGTCTATGCACGTCCACTTGTGAATGGGGACGAGACAGTAGTGATTCTGTTACCTCTTATCTCATGTTGGTGTGATGGGTTCCTGAGAGCAGAGGTTTCGATGTTTGTTGGTTGCTGTTCGTCCAACTGCGAGCAGAGCCTTCAGCTGACGTTGTTTCTTGAATCGGCAGATGTACAAGTCGTTTGCCATCTCTAGTCCGGGCAACACGGCTGACAGTGAGCTCATAGCAGCGAAAGTTGAGCGGAGTTTGGGATCTGATTCGTCAAAAGTTGCGAGTGAAGACAAAGAGTTGCTCATGCTTGTTGTGAACGCCCTCAATTGTCTTCTGTAGCCACTTGCTTTTACTGTTACATTCAGCAATCGAGGACCGTCCAAAGTTGTCCTGGTTATAGTGTTCAGGTAAATATTTGTTACTTGTGTTTGTGAGCTGAAAGACGTCGCAGCCAAGACCGTCAGCTGTCATGCACTGTGCATTGCCCCTGAAAGCCTCGTTGGGATTTGTGCATGCCAATATTTGGTTCCAGGCAAAACTACAGTTTCGCTCATGTGCGACGGCGTGAATACGTTGACAAACTTTATAACAAAGCATTTACAAATCAGTCCTTCATACCGGCTTGTTTGTGAGTCATCCACCTAGAGATGTGGATTGTAGATCCCGTTCAATGCGGATGCGGTCCAAGGCATGTGCAATCATAGCGAGGTTTGAAAACCGGTCGCCACATGAGCTTTGCTATATTTTCTGTACGTTATGGTATAGCCCCGTTTGCACGCTCAAGTGTCCGATTCCGTTTGCCACGACTGTGGAACTTACCGCCACAAGGGGCGTGAGTGTCACATTTGATACTCTGCCAGCGAATCTACGTATCATACAGTGCTTGCGGCCATGCAGAATGCAATGACTCCAACATGTGTCAACAGCTGTGTAGCGGAGCGAGGTTTGCTGTACAAGGACGGTCTAACCAGAGCAAAAGCCGCGATCACAGTGTTCGCGCACGTACTAGCTAGTGGGCCAGCGCACGCAGACATTAGAAAGTCATTGTTGCGAAGAGTGGTGTGAACCTCAGCACGGCAGCTCAAGAGGCCGATAGCCTAGCCACGTTGGCCATGCGCATCTTCAATCCAAGAAGCACCTGTCACTTGTAGAGACTGGACAACGATCTTGTGTTTGCGTGCTTGAAGCAAGATATATTGCTGCTTATAGGTCTGCATCTTACATGGCTGCGTACAAGATCCTACTTCAAACGTTTTTATCCCTGCCTGCTTTGTACGTGACTCTGTGAAGTTGGCAACTGCCTTAGCGGGCTCATAAAGGATTTAATTGATCCCTTCATCGTCAAGATTCCTTCCTGCACGGAAGCGATTCAGATTCTGACTCAGAAAGTTTGCAAGATCGCGTGCAAGGAACGCTGCACTGCCGAATGATCGCATTGATAAGGCCACTTGCTAATGGATTGGAGGAAGGCACGAATGCCTGATCGAGCGCTCCTTTTCAGGATACCTCATTGGAAACGAATCATTCCAAGCAAAACCGAGGTACTCAAGTAAAAGGGCACTGTCAGAAGCATCGGCTTCAGGAAAGCCCTGATTTAGAAGAGAGAGTCGTCCTGAGTGTCCATGTTTTGGGTTCTTAAGGGTACTGAAAGTCACATCCAGACGATTGGTGGAACAAATGAGAATCACATCGTAGAACCCACTCACTGCAACGTGCTCTCCTGCAGAGTGGATCTAGTGCGGAGATCATAATCCCCACCCTCACCGGCAATCAGGAAGTGGCCGGTCAGGACCAGTGCGCAGGGCCAGCCCGAGTCCGCGAGCTGCCGCCCGAGCGTGCCCGCACCGTCGCCGTCTGCCGCTGTCAGATGACGAAGGCACGGCAGGTGGCGCCGCGCCGCAAGCACGTAGTGCCGCCCCAGTCGGTCCGCCGCAACCTGCAGCAGAGCGGACACCAAAATGAGCGGAGTACAGTATGGAAGTAAAGAACAGTGGGTCCAACAAGTCAGTGAAAGGCTCAAGCATTGTCACGTCAGGAGTGCTTAAGCGGAGCGAGAATTACATGTCTTGTGTCTAACCAAACTGAGATCCTCATCGTGAGCTGCGACCGATTGTGTGCTTACATCTTGAACGAGCTCCGGCCCACCCACCAGCCAGTATGCCTGCAAAGTCGAACCTTTCAGTCAGGAGCACGAGGGCGTAACAAGGGAGCGCAATTCACCATTCCATTCGTTCCAATAAGCAAGCAGTCTGAGAAGAAGTCGCAAGTCGGCACAAATGCGAGGCCAGTTACACATTGTCTTGTAAGCTTAGCGTCTCCGTTTTCATGAAAAAGCGGACCGGCAGCCATGCAGCTGCCACAGTGCAGAATTGGCACAGTCAGACAAAATGCAAGCTAGTGACCTGGCTATCCACGTCCTGAACCGGAACAGCTAGCCACCGCGGCCGCACGGCGCTCCCTTCCCCGAGCGCCTGTTCGCGCAACCGGCGAAATGCGGCAGGCTGCGCCCACGCAGCATACGCCCCTGGGCTCGGCTGCGCGAAAGGATCCATCAGTACTACCAAGTCCGTCAAAGCGGCGTCCAGAGCCACCTCCAGCAACAGCCCCGCCGGACACCCTGTGACGTCTTTAGGCGTCCGAAGCCAGTTGGACTGCCCCCTCCCAAACGTCTGTTCCCAGTCGAAGTCGTCAATCCCGGCGCCCGGGGGAGTGCTCGTCAGCAATGACACGTCCAGTCGGGCCCTTCCCCCGGCCTCTGCCTCCCGGAACAAGTGCCGGAGCGCCGCCAGCTGACCGCTCTTATTAGAAGGCCCCAGGCAGAAGCCCAGGGACATCACGCCGGGCCACGCGCGCAGCAGCCGCCGCAGGAGCCCCAGCTGGGCCGCCGTCGCGTACGTCACCAGGGTGACGTCATGCGAGTGACGTGGCAGCCGGCTCCGGAAGTACCCGGTTTTGAACCAGTACTGTGCCCCCGGGGAGCCCTCCGAAGGCTGCTGCATGCAGGCCCGGGGCGGGGCGGGGACCCGGAAGTCGAGCAGGGCGGCCAACCTGCGGACAACGCTCCCTTCCTCCCGATCCTCCCCTAGTGATTGCATTCCGCCTTCCGCAGCTCTCCGCCATGTGTCAAAGCGAGCGACCGCCAGCTGGCTGCCAGCTTCGTCCTCGGGCCGCGAGAGCGCGGCAAGCTGTCCGAAGCCGACGTAGTGCACGTCCGCAGGGCCGCTCTGCGCGATGGACCGACTGAAGGTGGACCACCGGTTGCCCACCAACACCTCGGCGTTCTGGCACACCAGGCGGTCTAAGATAACCGGGGGCAGCCAGCCCGGCAGCCCGGTGGTTTCCCCCGGGAGCGCTTCGAGGTCGAGCCAGTCGAAGGCGTCGCCGAAGTGCAGGGCGAGCAGGTCCCGGTCGCCCTCGTTCGTTGCAATGTACAGGCGCTGACCCGGGGGCACCAGTGACGTGGCGTTCAGGAGGGCTGCCAGGTCGGCGAGGCGCGGGTAGCAGTTGCGGTAGGTGAAGGACGCGAAGAAGGGGATGCCGTAGGGGCCCCCCGGGTCGAGGCGGCGCTGGTCGCGGATCATGGCGCAGTAGCCCGCAAAGTCGCCGCGGCGCAGGTGCAGGCAGGTGAAGGGGGCCAGGCGGCGCACCGAGGCAGCGACCTAGAGAAATTGAGAAGGTTGCAAAAGCCGAAAAACAAGAGGGATTTCTTCGGGGACAAAGAAAGATTGATTGACAATCGACGATCGACTTTGCCATCAGAAACTGACTGAATCGACCAACTGACATCTCAGCGTTGCCAAGCCGTTCCAACACTTCGTTCCCGGACAGGCAATGAGCACGTTTCTGCGCAACAAGAGGCACTTCAGTCAGGGTGCTAGCCTCCATAATCATACGATCCAATCGAAACAGGTGCAAGGCCCGTGTTCCTGACCAGGAGTTACGAAGCAGTATCCATCGGTCGAAAAGTGACCAGGAACCAGTTTCAACAATCTGCTCCCCCCCTCACCTGCTCCACCACCTCGTCCCTGAACGGCCGGTGCACCCACGCCTGCAGCTGTCGGCGCACGGCATCATAGCGCCGCCCCTCGCCACTGCCGTCCTCGCCTTTCGCTTCCTGCCGCCACGCAGTGGCGAGAAAGCCGATGTCAAGGGCCAGCACGCGGTGCGCGGAGCAGCCCCCCAGTAGCAGCAGCATGGCGTGCCGGAACATTGCGACTGTCGGTAGCTCGACCTGCTGCGTCGCGTGACTCAGGAGCCTGTTCGCAGTGAGCCACGCATCGTCCTTCTCGCGCCCGCCGAACCGGTTGGACCAGTCGAAGCGGATCAGGCTGCGCAGGGGCCGCCCTTTCATCACGCTTTTCATGAAGTCTTTGTGCCGAATCGCCCGTACTTTTTCCCCCTTGTCGACGAGCCCACCCGACTTCTCCCCCTGTGCTTGACGTTCTGCTAAAGACGACTGTCGTTCTTGTACGGGAAAGAGCTTTCCAACGTCGAGCAGGCTCTCGACGTCAATGAAGGTTCCGTCTTTCTGCCGCAAGGGGGCTAAGACCAGCGTCCGGTTGAGAACGGTGGCCAGGGCTGCCATGTCGGCATATGCCAGCAGCTGGTTGCTGAGACCAAACTGGGGCGAGAAGAACAGAAACCGCTCTTCTTCTGAAGACACCCCTCCCTTGGCCCGCTTCCCTTCCACCCCTTGTGACTCCCGGTGCCCTGCTTGTGTCCAGTGGTCCAGTATGCACTGACTTGCCCCAGGGTATCCATACAGAGTTTGAGCCAGGGCCTGCCGGGCTGGGTCCCCCGACTGCAGGAGTGGGCGCATGGCCCAGCCAATTCCGCTGTAGAGCAGGCGCCCGGGGGAGAGCACCAGACGCAGGGAGGCGTCAAAGATGGGCAGCGCCGCAAAGGGAGGCAAGCCGGGCGGCCGCCCCGAAATCTGCTGACAAGTGCAGAGAGAGTGAGTCACGCCCCAGGATAACGCATCCAATGGCAGGACCACAAAGGACGTAGTTGACCCAAGGCATCGGAACCAGGTTGAAAAGTCCATGTGAATGGCTTTTGCTCCCTTAACCTGGACCCTCAAATGCTCCGTGTAGATGTTGTTGCTCACATGCTCGGAGGTCTGGCTTGCCCTTCAACATCGACATAGTTCGTGTTTCTTGGGCCGGTGATTAGAAGATGACCCATAGCAAGCTTTCTGTATCCGTAATAGGTCCTGGCTGAGTGCTTACCTGCAACTGCCATTCCCCCTCCTGCAGAGGTGGGTGCAGCGCAAGCATGCCCCGCGCACACATCATCTCAGCTAGGTGGCGCCGCCAGCGCTGGCCCCCCGTTGGGCTGCCCGGGGCAGGGGGGAACTCAGAGTCCGGAATGATCTGCCAATGGCGGTGATACTCCTGAAACTGGCGCCAAGGGCCAGGGAAGAACGCACACCCTTCAAAGCAGGGGGCTTGAGCCAAGAAAGGCCCTGGAGGCGGAGCTGAGCCACTGGGGAAGGAGTCCTGCCATGGAATACACCCGCAGCTTGAGGTCAGAGATAATAGGAATGTTGCCAGGTGCTGATTGCCTCTGGAGGCTTCTTCTAGCTGGAAAAGACTTCCTGTCTACACACTTGCTCCAAAGCTGGAATTTGGAAGGGGCCAGCACTGCAAGTAGCTCAAGCGTTCTTCAGCAAGAGAGGTCCAGTTTTGGTGTTGAATGCGCAATCAAGAGGTCCACCACTCACTCTGCGCAAAGCAGGCCCCAAGTACAGCCCTGCCAGGGCCTGGCCATCAGTGATGGCAGGCCCATATGCCCGCGTTGCTTGCAGCAGCCACAACACATCCCGCTTCTCAAAGATAACCGCTTCTGTCAGATACAGTGCCACCTCATCGTCCCGGCTGGCAGGCCACGAGAAAGGCAGGGAGTCGACCGCGTCGAATGTGGAGTCCCTCGCGACCACTTGCAAACTCCCTAAGGGCCATTCTAATTGTCGAGCGAAGCGCTCCAAATCGTTTGGCGACGCTGCAGAAGAATTGTCCACTTCTGTGCTTCCTAGATCCAAAATGATGCAGAGTGGAGCTCCAAGCACCACGCTCTCGAATGAGGCTCTCAGGGCTGCAAAACTGCTCTTTGCCCCCTCAAGCGTGTGCCATGAGACAAAGAGGTGCAATGCTGTTTGCGGCGAGGATTCAAGCAATGTGTGCCTCAACCCAGCTGTTTTCAGCTCAACAAAGCTGTCAGCCTGCTTCCTCCGGTCCCAAATGGCACCAGCAGTCTGAAATTTGGGCAAAGGGATGAAAAGTGCAGAGAACCCCAGAGCTATGATCACCAACAAAGCCCACCACCAGCATCGGAAGCGCGCCGTCCCTCTTCGATGGGCTTTCAGAGGCCTGCCATATACCTTGCTTCCCTGCATTGATCTCCGCGTTGCCAATGAGGTGGCAAGGGCGACAGCCAAATCCCCATTGCAAGTTGCATCAATTGGATTTGACGTGGGTGACCATATTGCCATTATTGGTGGTTGAGCCTCCAAAAGCATAGAGAGACGATGAGTATAGGTTATAAACTATTTTAGCGCATCTCGTTACATCCAGTTGTCGATGTAGTATAATGGTCAGTATCACCGCCTGTCACGCGGTAGATCCGGGTTCGATCCCCGGCATCGGCGATGGAGGTGTCAAGCCCTCACCCAAAGCTGAAGATTTCTTTTTGTTCTGCTCCCATTTAGGAGCAGCCCTGTCTGTGCAAGTTGAGCCTCAATTATCACCTACTTTTGATAGCATGTGCTTCGGACCAACCTGAGTCCTTTGTATCTGTGATATATGTAGCTTTAATGCAATCGCGAGGAAGATGTTTCCATCTTCAGAATCAAAGCCTTGGATGTTCACAGATGTTGTTTAACGTGCAACTACATGAATCAATCGGACTGGCAAGAGTGCACACAACGAAAGATTCATGCGTGCACACACCGGGATTAAAAGTCAAGTACGAGTGATACCTGAAGCAATACTTCTGCATGCATTGGAACCGTATCTAGACAAATACACCATCATAGCACTACTAGCTAGCCACCTCGTGTGCTTGCATTTGAAGGCCCAGTTGCCGGGTTTCAGCTTGACTATGGCAAATCAGATGAACAGTTTGGCAACCTGATAATAAGAAGCATGAGCTAGTTTGTGGCCAGACGATTGCAAAGCCCTAGACTGCTCCATGTGCGTATTCAGTGTGGTAAATTCGCGGTCAATTCTGTGGTCAATTGGCCTCTTGTTGTTAAAACCAACCAAATGATTGAAGATCTGGTTGGCCGAACGTAAAATACCTTCGCCTACATGCGGATTTGCCCAGGATAAGAACCAACTCGAAGACCAACTCGGGTTCCCTTTACAGTCCAATTTCGATCTATCAACATGTGTTACGTGATACCAGCAAATGCTCTAGCGCATGGTCTTCGTTGCTCTGCTAATACTCAATTCCTCAGAAGCATGTGAGTAACTTTGATGAGCTTGCTAGGTCATACGACAGCTTTTCTATCTAACTTTTGGTTAAGCTAAAGCTTCTTCGATGATCTCTTTAACCTCCAATGTGTGTATGTCGAAGGCCCCTGTTGCTGCCGAGGCGGAGGGTGATCGGCCAATGTACCGAACTTCACGGCCAACACTGCTTTTTGACTGCTCCAAATGGTGCCCGCTTTGGGGTTCGGGCAATAGGTCCCGCAAGGCCGTCGCTATTCGTGGCTGGACGTACGTCCATGCACCACGATTCTTTGGCTCCTCCTGAGAAATCATAGGAAAGGGGATGAAAAGATATGAGAAGAAGCAACTCGACCAAGGGCGACCGCAGGTGAGCTCCAAGTGTGTGGGGCGCTTGGATCGAGCAAGAATTGGTGCAGCGCTTCATCTTCGATTGCTGGACATCCAATATTTCAGGGACCCGCCCAGCGACGCCGCTCACTTACGAATCTTCTCTATTCCTGCAAGGAGCCCCTCAACCGAAGTTGGTGACACATGCAAAACAAATCAATGCAGATTGACTCACTTGAACCCAACACAACTCGGCGTTCGGATATTGGCTGATCCGCTTGGCCACCCGATCGAAGGGGAAGGGCGCAATCTGCTCCAACCGCAGCAGCGCCACGTCTTTGACGCCGCGCCCCCGCCGAGCGTGCGCCAGAAGGTAGTACACCTGGGAGGGCGGAAACGGCAGAATTTTTGAGCGGCTTCGAAGCAAGGATGGAGGTTCAAAGCCGATGCGAAAGCTGGGGCACTCGATAGGTAAGCAAACAGACTATCTGCAAAAGCTGTAACGCCAGAAAACTCACAGCGGCCTCCGTCGAAGGAGGAGCGCTGCTTTTCGAGCAGAGTCATCAGAGCCACTTGGTTAAGAGTCCACGTCATTCAAAAACGGCTGTGGGGATCCGATCGTGCCAGTGTGGCAGGTTCGTCGAGTTTAACACAGTTCTTTAACGACTTTAACAGAGTTCTAAGCGGACTAATTGTTGGCGCGATCGAGTCTAAGATGACTACATTCCGATGTGATGGGGACCTCATAGTGTGCGAATAACACGAGCATGTATGCCCGCAAGACTCTGCGAGGCCGTTCGTTGATCAGCGCGCCCACCTTGCCGCTGCACAGAATGACCCTTCTGACTTTCTCTTTCGGCATGAAGTCGGGGGCCAGGCCCACGTTGTCCGCTGTGTCGCCGTCCGCAATCAGCCGCCTGCACGTGCCACGTCATCGGGATCACACTTTCGGGATGTGACCAGAGCAAGCTGCTTCGTAGAGAAAGCGTCTGAGAGCATGCCCCTTGCTAAGTAGTACTGCCGGGTCTCTCCTAAATCTGCGCTCGCACTAGTGAACCCAACGGAAACCAAGGGCTGAACATGATAGTGCCTGGACGGCCGCACCTGAAGTAGGCCCCTGTCGCCATGTCCGCGAGACTGGAGGTGCAGGCCCGGTGGTGGAGCAGGTACTGCAAATCGGTAGACGGGCATCAGCGGGCTGGCGCGACTGAGCATTGACTGTCCGATTCTGTCATTGATTATGCAGCCCGCAGCAAAGTAACAGGAGAGTCCTCTGGTGCTGCTCAGCGCAGGGCACGAAACGGCGGTGAAAGATGAAGAAGGCCTGCACTCACCTTCGGAGCCATGCATATGAGCGGTTTCGAAAAATACCGGTTCACCTGCAAAGCAAACGTCTGCTTCAACGATGCGCGATACTACAGTGAGGTGCCCCCTAAAGCCAGGATGCCGATACTAAATAAGCAGCCCCCTGAACGGCTACACCGAAATACACATCACTGAAGAACCCAAGAACAATGGACTCAATCCTACGGCTTACTTTACGTTCGGAGCCGTTCACGGGAGGACCTCAATCAGGTCTGCACAGGAGTCATGCTCTCAAACGGATCGGCAGAGCCCAATTGACTTCGCCTCGGGGACTCTCCACGCAGGGTGGGACTCACCTGGCGCCGCAGCGCATGGAAGATCTGGGAGGGGGTGCTGGCGTTTATAACACACCTGAAAAGAAAATTAACCTCTTTCAGGATTAGCAAGACTTCTTCGCATTGCCGCAGGTTGCGAAACTGTCCGGCGGCTTGATGATCCGAAGCAGCGCAGTCCTGTGCAGAAGCACGAGGGATTTGGAGCAGGTATCGCTGCAGTTCGAGAAGGCGGCTCCTCGGAAAAGATTAAAGGTCACAATCGCAAAGGCTCACAAGTTATGATCCTTCTCCGCGTTTCGTCGCAGCCACTGCGCCATGACCAGGTTCCAGTCGTCTCTGCAGGGAGGCGAAGAGTGGCCCGTCAGAACGTAAGGGCCCTCCGGATCCTCGACAGCGTCAGACACTTAGCTTCGTAGAAAAATGTCGCACCAAATTGCTGCAGAAAACGGCAGGGACGTCGCATACAGGACATGTTCCCGGCTCTCGTCAGCTGCTACTGGTGAAAGTTGCGAGTAAGAAACCAAACAAGCTGCGCCTCACTTGTGCAGTCGGTTGGCCTTTGGGATGTCCAGCTCCTGCATCAGCACCTCCGCCTTCTCGCTGGTCACGCCCCGGAACTTCCGCATGAACGCCAGCAGGTCCGCCTGCGTCACGTACCCCCGCCCGCCTGCACCCATGCCCCCAACCCTAAGATTCGCTGGCCCTGCTTGCCAGGTAACACGCATCTTCATCCTTTTAGGCACAGCGAAAGAGGATACGCGATAGACTTACTACAGCCCAAGGTTGCTTGTTCTTTGCGAAGGGCATCCAATTCAGAACAACTGTACCCACTTGTGTCCGCGGCTGCAAAACCAGCTTCCATCTCTGCGCGGTGCGCGGGCCCGAGCCCCGGGAGGTGGTCGGGGTCGTCGTTGGCCAGCTGCAGGAAGCGCTCCAGGTACCCGCTACTGTGGTCGGGGCCCTGCACCGGGGTCCCAAGCCACGTGAAGCTTTGCAACCAGCGAACCAGTTCTCTCCCAGCTCGGGCCCTTGACCTCGCACCCAAGATGGTGTTTTCGACGGACTGTGCGATAGTTCCCCCGAGGGCAGAGGGTATGGTTTTCGTCGATTGCGGTGAATTCCACCTTATGAAGTGCAGACTGGCCGAGCAACATCTTGGGTGCGAATTGTAGGTGCCCGAGGCAGGGACTTGAGCAATACGGCAGAGTGGCTACTTTGGCAGTGAAAACCTAGCAGCTCAGTCCGGAAACTCCGACCACTATGCTCTTTGGCGTGCTGCACTGACCTGGCCGTCGAAGCCGTGCGGCAGCAGCAGGACGAGGCCGGTGGGCGTGGCCCACTTCTCCTCGCCGCTCGTGATGAACGTGTCGATGATCAGCTGCGCGTTGTTGGAGAAGTCGCCGAACTGAAAGGAACAAACAAGCGGCGTCGAGAAACACTGCGATCATCCGTTCGACTCCTGACTGACCGTCCGACATTTCGAAGAAGGCGGAGGACAAAAAGTAGCTAAAGACTGCTGAGAGAAGTCCAGGCAGGAGCGAACGGTGACCGAGGCACGCCACAAATCCTATGGAGGCGCCCGAACGGAGTCCGGCAGAAGGCAAAACAGCGTGACAGGTTTTGCAGAAGTGCGGCGGTCCCTTTGCTTGTGCGTGCTGACCTGCGCCTCCCAGAGCACGAGCGCGCTCTCGTTCTCGAGCGAGAAGCCGTACTCGAAGCCCAGGACCGCTGCCTCCGACAGGCTCGAGTTGCACACCTTGAACAGCTCCTGCTGCCCCGGGGCGATGTGGTTCAGCGGTACGTACCTGCGCATACACAGTTTAAAGTCGTTAACGAATTTCGCTCGCCCCCTCGACGCTAACCTTGGACATTTTAAGTTCTCGGTTATGAGCTGCCCTTTAAAAGACCTGTGCGGCAATAACCATTGGAAAGAGATTGTTGTAACCTCTTCATTTTCATCGTGACCGACCTACTGTAGTCATCGGCTTTGGTTGCCCTTTTGATAATCCAATCAATGGCTCTCACCTCTTGGCGGTGGTTTGGTCGTAGAGCACGGCGTGCCGCTGGTTGAACGTGCCCCGCTCGCAGTCCTGCCCGCTGAGGCGCACGTGGTGCGCCGGGTTGGTGGCCGCCGTCTGGCCCAGCGCCGCGTTGGGGTGCACCAGCAGCGACCCGAACGCCAGCGCCTCCGCCGTCGCCCAGTCCACGCCGCGCTCGCTCTCCACCATGCGCCGACGGGCAGCCAGCAGCCGGGCCACCTGCGGGCCGGGACAACGAGGTGGAAGTCTGCCCTCTGAGGCCGGGGGAGGGATCGCTTGAGTGGTTTCATGCGAAAGGCATAGAGCGAGAAGCAGAGACGGAAAGGGAGGGCGGCTTACGTCGGGGTGAAGGTCGAAGTCGGGAGGTGGTTCGCTGATGGCAAGCCCCTGCAGGAAGGCACCGATAGGATCGTCAAGTAATGCCCGCACCGCACCGCACCGCAAGTGAGAGGAGCGCGGGCTTCGAGCTTCGCAATGGCCTAGCTTGGCTAAACAGCACGTTGTGACAAAACAGATATCGTTACCCTCGTTCCTTGGCCCCAGACGTCTCGTGGAAAAGCTTCCAGTATTGCCCGATAACAGGCCGACTCTGATGCAAGCTCTTGCCGTCTGCTGCGACTAACCACTTGCTTGAGCGTCTCGAGGGGCAGCCCGGTGGGCACGACGCTGCGGGACTCGCCAGCCCCCCCCAGCGCGTCGCCCTGCCAGTTGCTGGCCAGCCACTCCTGGGGCGCAGGGATGTACGCGGCCGCCGCGGCGTACTCGGACTCGAATGCGCTTGTGAACTCGGCCGTCCAGGCATCCACCACCTGGGAAAAGCACGGGGGGAACACATCAGCTGAGCTCTGATAACAGAAAGGTACAAGTTGGACCTACACAGAGCTTGCGGTCGAATCAGTGTTTGCCGCTCTCTACCGCACCCAACATGTCCTAACCCGGTCCCAGCACCAAACTTGTGTGGACACTGTGGAAAGCTTTGGATGCAAGCGTTTCCAAAAAAGGATTCCTTGATGCTATCAAAGACGCTTGTATGCGCAAGAGGGCGGCGATCCAGCAGTCCTCTGCGAGCAGGCCGCCTTACCTCCTGCGTGACCCACTTCTCGGCAAGTGCGCGCTGCAGGTACAGCTGGTACGTACTGGGGTGGCTAGCAATGATCTTGGACGTCAGGGGCTGCGTCACGCGGGGGTCGTCCTGTGCTGGCAGAGCAAGAGGGTGAGGCCATTGAAGTTCCAACTTACATCGCAGTTCAAAGCAACTCGAGAGAAGATTGCAAGCACATAGGTTAGTGTAGGTGAGTTGTTGGAAGACGATGAGAGTCCCTTGCCTGCTCATTGTGGCCGTGCCGGCGGTAGCAGACGAGGTCCACCACCACGTCTCGCTTGAAGCGCTGCACGAAACAGACACGCGCGTCAGCTGCCGCCGGAATCAGAGCGAGGTTGACGGCAGTCCGGAAATGTTTCGCTCTGTTGCTCTACGCCCGTGCGGCACGAGATCTGGGGCGTCAACCATTCCAGGAGTCTGCAGAAGAATGAGCACGGGCCCACCTGGCGCCAGTCGACTGCCAGCTGGCACACGCGCACCACGGCCTCCGGATCGTCCCCGTTGACGTGGAAGATGGGCGCACCCACACCCTGCACGCGGAAAGCGGACTTTGTCTGAGGTTTCATGAGACACGCAAAGGTTTCGCGAAGAACTACTCGACGACAAGACAGGACGACCAGAAGCTTCCGTGCGAGCAAGCAGGATTGGAAGAAGCGATAAGGCCAGGTACCTTGGCGACGTCGCTGGGGTGCGGCGAGGAGCGCGCGAGCTTGGGGTCGGTGGTGAAGCCGATCTGGTTGTTGAGGATCACATGGATGGTGCCGCCCGTCGTGTACTCGGGCAGGTCCGACAGCTGGCACACGGGCAAACGGGTTAATGTGGAGGTTTGGAAAGAAGATGGGGCATTCAACGGTGCCACCTTGTGCGCATAGACGAAAGTAAGCTTTGGATACGAAGGAAACGAATGTGAAATTGTTCCATTTTGATAGGACCTGACGAACAGCGTTGCACTCTTCGAAGAAGGTCTTGCAACTACGATACAATCAAATACTTGACTTAGCCGGCTCACCTGCATCACTTCGACCGGCAGGCCCAAGCCGCAGAACGCCGCATCACCGTGGAGAAGGAGGCCCTGCACAGACCGTCCAGAACGAACTCTCAGTTGGCGAATCGATGGCTTTTCTCAGGCCGTTCGAGGGCCGGAAGACGGCCTTGTACTGACGGCACGGACAGAAAAGCACTCTCAAGGCCACTTCGTCCACATATGTCAGCAAGCAATGTAGAAAACCACGGTCGTGAACGCTTCTGTATGTCAAATGCACTCTACGCAAGAATCCGCGACACCGACTCCAAGTCTGACGTCCAGGAGACGGCGTGCGGCGTGCTCACCAGGACCTTTTCTTGCTTGACGTCGTTTTTGAAGAACTGCTTGGCCTTGGTCTTGCCCACCACCACCGCGTCCACCGCCTCCAGGTGGCTCGGGTTGGGCGACAGCGACACCGCAATCTGCAGCAACAAAAACGGAGGAAAGGTTTGAATCAGTACTGACTTTTCAAGCACCACGTTGCTGGGTCATCGAGACAGATGTACCAGAATACGCCTTCGTTTGACACGGCTAACAAAACGTCGGCTCGCGGTCAACCCTCGACATCTGAAAAGAGTCTGCAAGCGGCTGACCCCCACCTTCTTTCCCCCAAACTCGAGCTCCCCGCGCGTGCCGAGGTGGTACTTGACGTCCCCCACCTGCAGATACTTTGCGCGGCCGCCCATGAACTCGGAGATCATGGCGCCCAGCGGCTTGCGCAGAAAGTGGTGCAGCACGTTCAGCCGGCCCCTGCACGCACCCACCAGGCTCAGCGAGGCGCACCCGCTCGTGTCGGCAGTCTGCGAAGGCTGTACTGATGAGATCTGGAGAACTGTAGATTCAGTCGTGTCATACTGACGGCAACACTTTGTCAGCAGGTTTGAGAGCAAACAAGATGTGAAAGGAAGTGAGGGGTGTGTAGAAAGCGAGCGGCCTGACCTGTGCGCCATTCCCAGCTCGATGTTTTCAACCCCCGACTGGGCTGCCCGCTGCAATTATAAGGACTGGGTTACTCGCTGAATCTTTCCAGAGATCGAGAAGTCACGTTCAGCTGCATCTGACAAGACGTGTTGCGATGTAACGGGAGTTGAACGCCCACGAAATGCTCAAAAACGATACAATTTCGCAGCCCAGTGCAACCATAGCTTCTCACGACCTTTCGAAGGAAAGCGGTCGCGTAACTGACCTCTGCCAGGGCAAACAGCCCCGCCATCAGGCTCTCGCATCCTTCAATGCCAAACCGCTTGGCGCTGGGGAACTTCGTGGCGAAAAAGCGCTCCAGCTGATCTGGACAGTCAGACAGGAGAACGGGTTGTGTCGCCAGCTCAGAGACGTTTTGACGCATTGAACACGATAATAATCTTGGAGAAGCATGGAGTAGCCTTGTCTTCTCATGGGGTACCATGAGGAAGTGCGTTATTGTCGACAGGGGCACAACAACGAGGACCAGGTTGAGGACCAGGTCGCCAAGCGATGTACAAAGCTGGTTTCAAACACCCAATGAGTTGCGAAAATCGATGAGTAATTCCTACTTGTTAGCCCCAATGGTTCGAACAACTGAAACTTCGACTCATCATACTGACTTCTAACACGACAGTGATGTTGAAAACAAGTTTCACTAATCACCTGTGTAGAGTAGGCGGCGCAGGATGAGGCGCTTCTCGGAGGGGCTGAAGAAAGACCGGTTAACGGGCCGCTCGACCATGGATCGCACCCACTCCTTCTGTTCCTTGGTGTTCACGTGCTCGTACTCGACCGTCAACGTCCCACAGTAACTACATGACGCCAATATTTCGAATTCGCTGAATCCAAGAAGCTATCATCACAAGTAGCCTTCAAACGAGAGGGCTACGTCTTTCGAATGAGTGGTGGGGCGGACAAACATGATTACAGTCTTTACACTGAGAAGTTCACTGGCCCGAGTCGCGGTCGTACCTGGCCCTCATAAGCGCCACGATCTCTGGGACCGTCCAGAAGAGCTGCGCGGCCTTGGCGATCCTGAGCTGATCACCCAGAAAGTATCTGCACACAGTGGGCAGCCACATGAGCGAAGTGACTTTACGAGAAGCGGACTTCCGCCTTCCTTCACAGATTTTGCAATTGTCCGAGGTTAGGTTAACATGTTCTGTTGACAGAATCCACCCTCCTCGAGATGCAACAGTCTAGGAGAACGTCACAGTCGTTATAAGAAAACTTAGGACTTTCAGCCAGGTACGGTCCACTTTCGAAAGACGAAGGGCCACTCGAAGCCCTTTTTAGAAGACAGCTTATAATGGATTGGCTGCCACCAGTGTTCTGCGCACCTCGTGCGAAGGTCCACTCCTTTCAGTCCCACTGCGGAGAGGTCCAGCCGGGGGTAGTTCTTCATCAGCCGGTGCAGATCCTCAGCGTTGACTGGCTTGCCAATGTTGGCATCGCCATCGCCCTCCGTCAGCGGGCCAAGAGTGCGGCCCAGGGGGTCTGGACACCAGCTAAAAAGGTCCTCACCAAGAGCTTTCCAGCCAAACAGCTTTCCAGCAAGATTGTCCAGCCAGGTTTTTCCAATCCATAAAGTTTTTGATTGGTGGAGTCAGCAGAGTCATGGCATTTCAAGAAAGGCGAAGAGGGGGCAAAGCAAAATATTACAACAAGTGAGCTCCTGGAATGCTTTGCAAATGGCATTTGAGTGTCCGGAATTTATGTAACAAGATATGGAGTGATAGGAAGAAGTGGGATGGATGACATGAGGACATTATACAGCAGAAAGTTCTGATTGCTGTGGCCGATGTGGGGCCCAGCTTCCCCAAGCTCCCACTATGCTTTATTGCACTGATGCAGCTCAGCGAGGTGGTGGTGTGCCCTCACCAAGCGTCGCTGCAAAGTGCCCCCTGCTACGGAACGCACGAATCAGCGTCACCAGCTTCAGCGTCTGTGAGATGTGCCTGATGTCCTGGGGGGGCTGTGGCCCTGCTTGTGCTTCACCAGGCACCCCATGCGTGCTGCTTGCACCACCTTTGGCAGGATGCGCCTGAGAAGTGCTTCTGTGAAACCGCCGGCCGTGCAATTTCCAAATACTCTGCAGGACACCCTGGGTGCCAATTCTTGGGACCGACATTGTGGAGCTACGGCAATTCACTAACACAAAGATGGTACCCAACCCATACAGCTTGCGGCATCATATCAAATGCACTGTCTGCTGGAAATTGGAGCAGCTCATTTGGTAGGAAGTTGCATCAGTGAAGCACCAAACCCTCGGAAAGTCATTGCGCTCAGCAATACTAGGATGGTCTGCATTTGATGAGGAGAACCTAATGCCAATGCTAGTAATGCGGGCGCCCCACCAAAAGTACTAATAGAACCCCTTGCGGCTTGCCTCTGCCACTGGCAGTGGCGCTGCGCCAAACTGCGCCCAGCATTGAAGGTAGGTAGAAGAGGGTTATTAGCTCGGGGTTAGAGTTAGCCTTGGTAGTCAAGTAAACCGCGCCGATGAAGCGGGAGTGCACAGAAGCACGCCACGTGCTGTCGAGTCGCTCCGCCGATCGCACGGCTGGGAGCATTCCATCTGGCAACGTTGTGCATTCACACAGAGGCCATCCATGGCTGCCATGGCAGCTTCCTGTGCACAGCTCATGCAGCTCAGGGTATGGCGCCAGCACCATCACCTGATTGATTTCGAAGAAAGGGCATAGCTAGCTAGGTATCTGTGACGAGCAAGGTGTGGGCAGCTCAGGCCCAGGGTCTGATCGATCTGCCTTCCACAATTGCCTCACGCGACAAAGTGTCTTACCCCACACAGATTGGATCACTCGCCACGCCGACGCAGGTCTGCATTGAATTTGATTTTCTGGAGGTCTTGTGACCATCCGGCCACAGATTGCACCTAACGATGTTGGCGAGTGTGGCGCAGCGAGGAGGCTCGCTTGCGCATCCTTTTCTAGACAGATCCCAAGAAAGACCCGCTTCTTCTTGTCAATCAGATCACCCTGTCCTTGGCTCGATCAGCTCCTGTAAAGGTCTCAAAACCCGGACTCGGAAGGAGAGGATCTTCAAAAATGAGAAAAAGCAGCAAGGGCCTCGGAGGCCCAGTCTGGCAAGGTCAGTGCAGCCATTGACCTCAACAATATGGGGTGACTGTGAGCTCCCCTTCTCGAGTCTCCTCCTGATGGTCATCTCAGCAGCTTCTCAGATAAGCGCTGTGCGGGGTGTTGCCAATGCGGAATGGTGTGCTCCCAGTCTCTATGTGTCCACCAGGCAGCATCTCAACTCCTCAGTAGCGAATCCCGCCTGGATGTGCCCCCTGGAATGGAAGCAGACAACCGGGCAGAGATTACCGGCCCGGTAAGATGCAGATCTAGTGCGCACAGATGTTGGGAACTGGGGCTTTGAGACCAGGGGAATCAGTGGACGGGCGATGATGTACAATCACAAAAGTGACAGCAGCTTAATCTCTCGGGTGAACTCACAAGATCCTTCCGTAGAGTATGTCTCAGAGTCCTTCACATTATGGCGGGCTTAATGCAATGTGTAACACACTGATTACTTTGGTCGAAGCTCAATCATGTCTTACGGTCGCAGCCTTAGCACTGGCTTTTGGAAAGAAAAAGGAACAAAGAGCAGAGTTTGATTTTCTCAGAAGTTTCAACCTGTCTCCTAGAAAATCCTAGGATTCTTAATCTGTCCATAAAACCTGCTCTTTAAACACCGCCAGACTTTTTGGGTTCTCAGCCCTTAATTCCATCCCCATACTTCGGCCAACTGAACCATATTGGTCTTGGATCCTATTATGGTTTCATACATTTTGCCACTGGTTGCAGGACGATTGCCACCACTTGTGCCGCCAGCACTGTAAACCCCAGCACTACAGATGATCGACCTGAGGCTTTTGGGATAGGAAATATCATCCTTGGTAAGAGTTACGCCCTTCAGGTGTTGCTGACTTAATGGTAGCTGGCTTTCTGGAAGATTGACAATGCGCTGAGGTCATGTAGGATCGCGTGAGGATTATTGCGATGACTCCTGTGATATCCTTATTCTGACAAGATTTGTTGTGTCTTGCCATGCAAACATTCTGTCAGCAGAATATTCATTGACCAGCTGATTAGATTTCTAATATGTCTCGGTTTTCCATCACAGGCATCGATATTGGGGGCACCAGGTACGCCGCATCCTCATGTTCGATTTGTGTGCACCTGTCCCAACGTTCGCTTGACAGCTTGAAGCTGAGAAGTAGTCAGCATTCCTGACATCTGAGACTCACTGGTTGCTCATCATCATTTCCTCCATTGTATATGCAGAGTCATTTCGGAAATAGAGCCTCAGATGCTGAACAGAAACACTGTACCCTGAACGCCTTACTACATAACTTTTGTGCCTCACTGTGTGTTCTCTTCCCGCCTGTCTTGCCCAGTGTAAAGGGGGCCCCTGTCGACACCCGCACGGGCACGTTGATGAGAGAGCGTCATCGCATCTGTACGCCACAGCCAGCCACCCCAGAAGCAGTGGCGGCAGTTGTCAAGGAAATGACAGACCACTTCGACGTGAGTCCGGCCCAGCTGCCTAAGATCCTCATGAGCTCGGTAATCTTTTGCATGTACAGCCCGTGAGAACTCGGGCAGCTCGAAGATGCTGCAAAGTTCGAAGAACGAGAAGATTGGTTTTGCTTGAGGCTCATAAGCTCGATACTTCGAAGTTGTACTCGACTTTTTACTATTCTTGCCACCTTTTGCAGTGGGCAGGCCGCCCTGTAGGCATCGGCTTTCCAGCGGCGATCCGGGACGGACAAGCACTGACAGCCGCAAACTGTGAGTCTCGTTTAGTTTGTGACAACCGTCAAATCCGCTCCCAGGTCCCACGTAAACAGTGACTCGAGTGGAAACATGTATACACCGTCTTTTGTTTGGAGAAAGCACCTCGATTCTCATGACAAACAAAGTTGGCAGAACAAGCGTCGAGACGTTGCTTCGAGGGTGGCTCTACTTCGACCGCCGCCAAATGCCCGGAATACTGTGACGAATCGCATTTTAAGGGTCGGTCGCCCTGCTTACATCGCTTCACTTGTCGTGGTCTGCAGTAGATAAGCGGTGGATTGGGGTCGACACGTTGGAGCTGTTCCAGAATGCGACGAACTGCTCGAACCTGGTAGTTGTGAACGATGCGGACGCGGCCGGTTACGCCGAGATGGGGTTCGGGACGGGCAAGGGCGAGCGGGGTGCAGTGCTCATGATTACGTTCGGTACGGGGGTGGGGACAGCGCTCTTCATCGAAGAAGTCCTGGTGAGCTATTAGGAGTCGCGGACTCTTTAGAACGATGCCTTTTTCTCGAGATTCAAGCGGCTCAAAAGTTTCTTACAAAGAATCTTGGCCGCAATCCTCTGCTCCTCGCACTGCAGTGAAAGTCGAGAGGGTCTTTCGCGCTTGGCCTTACTATTGGGACGTCGTTCGAACCTTGGTGCGCAGACTCACCTACCTGCAGCTCGGCGCCAAACCAAGTGGAAAACCTTCGGAAGCATTATCGTTGTTTTTGGAATTGGCGTCGCTCGTTTCCTTCGAGGCAGAGACAAATTGCGGTCGCAGAAAGTTCTCAGAAAGTTCTTTTTTGTAATCTTCTTTTTCAAGATCTGACGGTCGTCACAAGCGGTCCTGACATTGCAGGTGCCTTGTCACTTCGCTTTCGGTCGAAAGAGACGCAGTTGGGCTGGTTCGAAAAGAACCTTCGCACGATCTGATTGTCGCTTGCTTCCGGAGCAGGTCCCAAACCTGGAGCTGGGCCACATCGAGATCGACGGGGAGGACGCTGAGCCGTCGACGGCGGGCGTGGTTGTCGAGCGGCTGGGGCTGACGTGGCAGCAGTGGGCAGACCGCGTGACACGCTATCTGACGGTTATGGAGAGATTGCTATGGCCCAACCTGATCATCGTGGGCGGCGGGGTTAGCGAGGCGGCGGATCAGGTGGGCGGTCGATGTATGCCCTTGCACGGTTCAGAAGAGAAGCTGCAATTTCTCTTGTAAAGAAGACTTGAGGAACTGCGTAAAGATCCCGCATTTTCAACCTGTACTTGTGATTCATGTCGTGGCCCGTTCATTTGAAATGGCGGAAATACTGTCAAAGAGTCCATTGCAGTCTCGAAGCCAAGAGCAGGGCGCTCGCGGCCCGTTGCGTGTCTCCTATTGAAATGGCGCGGTCATCTAGAAATGGCGGGAGTAGTGCCAGCGAATGCATCGCAGTGATGAAGCTAAGAGCCTGTCGCTCGCGTTTTGGTGCGTGTCCCATTGAAATGGTCGTGCCTTGCTTTTGAATATCTGTCCGACTCGCGTCCGACCTTGTTGAGGAGCTCTTACATCAAATGCGATCTGCCCAGCCACTTAACATATCAAACCGCTGAAGGTCCTCTTGTCCTTGCAGTGGCTGCCTTTGGTTAAACTGCCGGGGAAAACGCAGATCAGGGTCGCCACCATGCGGAACGACGCCGGGATCGTGGGTGCAGCTCTTGCATGTTTAGCAAAAGCTGCTTTGGATTACAAGGTGTGCGTTACGGTGGATGAGTTGACTGACGCCTGACCAGAAGCAGAACATACGCTGTCACGCAATCCCAATTGCCTTCAGAGTAATCGGTGCCGCTGTGCTTCGAGCTTCATAATTGCTGGCTCTCACAATCCTTCTTATGTCAGATAGTCTTATGTCACACTCCATGCTTCACAATCCACTTAAGTCGGATCAGTAGCGCCTGTGGAACGGTTCAAGAGCATATGACAGTTGAGGCGACAAGCCCTTATCTATGCAAAGAGTTACAATAGATGCTACTGTCAAGTATAATTGTCAGGTTTCTGCGGAGAGGCGCACGGCATGATGCATATGTCATAAACAGGTATTTACGGTCCTGGCAGTGTCGTTTCGAATACTTCCTTAGTCATGTGGAATTGAATGAACTGAACTCGCATTGTAGATGACTGATGCTACGCAAAAGTTAACATGTGGTCATGGCACGCCTCCATGCCACGTATGCATCTTCATGCAATGTGCATGTGCAACTTGAAGCAACAGATCCGGCCCTGATACACGATCTCATAGGAGTCGGACGACAACATGCAGCAGCTTGGATACACTCAGAGGCTCGGCGGCAAGCTCGTTAACCGACTGCAGCTGCCACGCTTCAGAGACGGGTGGTTCTTGTAAGCGATCGTTTTTCTCTCTCAAGTACGTTATGAAGCGAACGGCCAGGCAACGTAAGAAGGTGCCACTGTACTCATTCGTAGGAAGGAAGCTGTAAGGTGTCATCAAGGCATGGTCTGGTAAAATCCTAGGCGGCCTATACTTTGCTATAGGCACTTTGGCAACAACATTGCACTACCCGCTACCTTCCTAGAAAAAATCATGTGATCTCAATGTGGCGATTGCTCAGAGTAGTCGCATGAGATGTTCCTCACTGGCTACCCGGCAAAAAAGAATGATGAACGGCTCTAACTTCGGGTCTAAGGTGCAGCGTGGCACCCCTCGGGCGTGAACGTACTCTAGTACGACTAGACTCTTCCTGCTATGCACGTGCCGATTGATGTGTGAAAGTCGTTTCAGCCGAATCAGAAGCTCGTCTAATAACCGCAATCCTACCCGCCCCAACGGGCAGTGGAGGGATAGTGTAGCAACCGCTGTGGGTCATCCATCCAGCCTCAGCTCAAAGCCCGCGAGGCCCACCTTCTGCAGGTGCTTGAAGTGCGACTTCAAGCCTTCCCAGAACTGCAGGCAGAGAACGTTCGAGCATTATGCACCCGTGCATGCGCCAAACACCGTCAGAAAGTGTGCACCGTTCACATACATTCCCGAAGAGCGGCTCAACTGCGACTGAACTGGTTTGCTCCGGCCGCGCAGATGGTGAGAGAAGGCGGACAATACTCACTGTTGGGAAGCAGTGGTAGGGGACGTCAAACTCCGTGCATGTCTGCCGCACAATGGGTGCAATGGCCGGGTAGTAAAAGTGGCAGAAGCCGGGGAACAAGTGGTGCTCGACCTGTACAAGGAAAGCCAGCGAACAATCAGCCCCCAGAAATGAAAATGCGGCATGCGAGCTGCCAAGCAGATTACTGTTGTACATCATGTGAGTTGGGTCGACGAACGTCGACTCCGGTCGGGAGGCTCTTGCAAGGGCCACCCATGCGCAGTGCCTGATGGAATCCCGTATGGAACCCAGTCACTAAGACGTGGCAGAAAGCACTGGTGGCCCAACAATGCGGTGCTCGACGACAAGTCACGACGCATCGTCTTTTCTCCTAGCAAGGCCCCTAGGTCACCCCTAACTTCTGCCACACCACCCCCTGGCCCCGGGCCCTCACCTGGTAGCTCAGGCCCCCGCTGAAGTGCAGCCAGAAGAAGGACCCCGGGCAGAAGTCTGCGGTGGTGGCCACCTGCGCCTTGGCCCAGTCGAACTCCACCCGGTTGTGGCCGTCCGCCGTCGGCTTGGCCTGCGGGTAGTCCACCTCGTCCACCAGGTGCGCCACTTGGAACAGCAGCGCCAGCGTCCACCCAGTGATCAACTGCACACGACGGCACAAGGTCAAATCGCAGCCGGGAACGGGAAGGAGTGGGCCAAAATAAAAGGATTGATGGGTGATGTCGCAAATGGCAATCAAAGAGCGCGGCAGGGCCCGACAAATCCCTCTTAGTAGGAACTGCGAATCAAGACTGGATTCATTACCACGGAAGTCAGGTATTCGGCAAGGATTCGAAGATACGAGCACGCTGTAGCGGATCGGGGTCCTGGCTCAACCTTGGCAGTTCGAGATTTGCAGCCCTGTACCCGGAGTCAGAGGACGCACCTGCGACAGGACGTAGAGGAGCGCGATCTTCCAGCCGGGGTGTGGGCTGTAGACTGCGGGGAGAACCAGCATGTAGAGGAAGTAGAATGCTTTGGTGCCCCAGAAACAAGCGGACTCCAGGGGCGTCATGCGAGCAACGCGCACCCTGCGCGTAAACACAAAATCACGTCAGGCAAAGTGGCTGACGCATGAATCCGTAATCTGGGTCGATGCCACCATTCTTCTCGAACGGTTCGAAGTATTGAAGAAGAGCATGGAAGGATGACTACGGCACTCAGAATGCAGCTTCGAAGCCACCCTCGAAACTGAGTCACGAGGCCATGATTCCACAAAACATGATCCCGTGGAAAGCAGTGGCGTGAACGCAGCTTACGTGCCAATGTGGCCGTCGAAGAAGGCCTTGAAGTCGTCCAGGAAGACGCTCTTGAGGGCGAGCAGGCCGTACAGAACGCCCAGGTACAAATGCTGCAGGAGCGACACGGAAAAAATATATATGATGTGGGGGAAGCAACTCTGGGGCGTCATCAAAGGCTCACTCCTCCACTCGCAAGGCAGATCTTGTTGACGTTTGAATATGGCTCTCAAATGGATGAAAGCCGGACAGTCCTTGAAACGAGCACGTTGACAATCGACTGAGCATCTCGAACCCTTAAGCGAATGGCAGTCAACCTGGCAGTATATTAAACTGTGCGGAACAAGCACAGAGACAAAGACAGATGAGTAATCCGAGAGAGCGATACATGTAAAGCTCTCAAAGCAGATGCGAAAACAAAACAGGTGGTTGCACCTACTTGGTACTTGTGATAGCTCTGCCCGGGCTGCGCGTTAGAACACCGCCGGACATCCGGATCGTCCACTCCTGAAAACACAGCGGAATCGGTGAATGTTGGGCGGAAGAAGGGAAACGATCGAAAGGAAACCGGCGACGTGCACAGGGGACAATATTTGAAAGCGGACACAACAGTGATACCCAGAACCAACACTGTTTGAGTAAAGTTCGTCAGTTCAACAAGCCTTCGACCAGGGCTCCCAAGAGCGGAAAAGCAAAGCACGAAAACGAGCTTACGCATGTCCGGGTCGTAATTGTCGATGTTGGTGTATGCATGGTGCCCGACCACGTGCTGCTGTCTCCACATGAAACTGCAGAAAGAAAGGCCGGGGCAGACTCTGTCAGTAGCATGCACTCTGCTTGAGGATGGGGTACTTCAGAGACGCGGATTGCTATCCGAAGCAAAGGTTCTGGAACCTGAGTCAGGTAAGATCGGGTGATCCCTTTCAAGATCGACTAAATCAAGCAACGTCGACCCCATCCTGTTGCCACTCTACACGTCTCTTTTTAAGCTGAACTCCGATGACAAAGATCGCAATTCGCTTGGTCCTGTGGGTCAAAGCTACGAGGTCTAGTTGCGACCTCGAAAAACCCTCGTCAAAGCGAAACTGAATCGACAAGCTGGAGAACAACCTAGGTTCGACATTTCAAAAGCCAGGGGCAAGAGGCTAATCACGCAGACGTTGCAGATGGTTACTCGCGTCGCCCTTGATAGGCAATGGTAACCGGAAATGATGGGCCTGGAAGTGGACACTCGAACATAGCTCCCACAGAAAGAGTAGGGTACTTGCAAAAATAAACCTCCATCCCAGTCATCCCATACCTGCTGGCGCCCACAAGGTCCAGAGTAAGGCTCATCACGTAGCCAAGCCCCAGAGATTCGGTGTAAGCTCCTGCAGGAGAAGAAGTTGACCGTAAGCCACGCTTCCCAAGGTGAAAAGGCCAAATCTCATCGCAGGCGCCCCACTTGGAACTTTCACGACGTTCTTTGACAGCTTCACAGCCGAAGAAGTGCCTGGCCTCACGGAGCTCTCCGTGAGTTCGTCTATTGTTTAGACACTGATTAAGAGCTGAGCAAAACTCTGACTCCATCATGCATTTCAACGTTTCTTCTCCTCAAACTTCCAAAGAAAGAATTTATCCCAGCTAGATGACAAAATCATCGAACGCTTGCTTACGTGCTCTTTGAGATCCAGACGTTCAGAAGCTCTGTGGGTCTAAGGAAGTGACTCAGCCCAGCTGGAAGAACAGCCGGTGTAGAAACTTCTGGAAATTTATATCCGTCCAGGCGTCAATTTCTGGACCTGAGGGCGCAGATTGTGCAAGTAAAAGTGCTCTCTTCCTTTGTCAGGGTCTAACTTACCATGATTAGCGTCGTGCATGATGGACATGCCAAACTGCGCTGCGAAGGAGCCCATGAGCACTGCCGCCACCAGGTTGAGCCCCATAGTGGTGAAGCCAAAGAAGGTGGCATAGAAGGACGCCACAAACCCAGCAAGCAGGAGGACTGATTTGATGATCATCCCTGGATGGTACCTGGGGTTGATCTGCAGGCCAAAGAAAAGAGTATGCTGTGTCGGAAACCTGTGCGGAGAGTACTGCCTTGCATCGGCGCAAGGTGGCTCCTTTAGGAGAAGAAATTACTCTGGGGCACATGTTGGAGGAAGTTTGCAGTTGATAGGAGACTTGTGTAAGGACTCCACCTTTCAATGAAGTCCATGCATGCTCTACTGATTCCATAATGGCCAGCTAGAAAGCTGCTTTTGAGCAGAGAACTCACGTTGTTGCTCTTGAAGTAGGCCTCCACCCGCTGTTTGAGGGTGGTGTAGAAGCCAGAGTCCGACTGGTCATCACAAAACTCCAAGTACTGGGCCCACTCAGAGTCTGGCACTTTGCTGGCGGGGCGCTCTAGCCTACCAATGCAGAACTTGTCCAGCATCTTCCTGCATGAGTGAGGAAATTACTTGTTAGGTTGTACCTTGACAAAGCTCATTCGCATTGGCCAGCAGCAGGATCTCAAAAGAGGAGCTTCACTGGAGCGAACGTCTAAGCAGCAAACACCCCAGCTGAACAGTATCCATTCAGTGACAATCAACAAACAGATACTGTTCCTGGTCAACAACGACAACCAACCAATTCACAGAAAGGGCACAAAATTGTTCGCTTTTCAGCAGACCAGGAGAGTGTCCCTTGCACCAGTGTATCCAGCGCACCTGACATAGAGGGGATGATATGAGTCGAACAACTGAGTGCAATCGCGGCCAGCCTTCACAAAAATCATGCTGCCGCCAGGATGCTTGGAGACCCTGCAGCACAAGAAACATATCGCAAGCTCAGACAACAATTTGGAGCTAAAAGAGGTTGGTGCCTCATCAGCACCCACGAATCCACTCTGGGCTGATAGTCTGCTGAGGATCTGCTGTCCCTGGGTTGATGAAAGTTGCAATCCTGCTAACAATGTTGAAAAACCCTTGCAAGGTGCATCGCCGGCAGCAGTTTTGATAAGTGTGCCTGCCACAGATGTATGAGCCCAATATCCTGGATCGACCATTCTATGCGTGCCGCATCAAGTCTGGTTGGCAAACGCAGCAACTCTTGCTGGGACGAACAAAAGCTGCAGCATGCAAAGCCAGTTTAAACCAGTGGGGTGAAATCTGCATAACGGATTCTTATTTGTACTGCCAAGATAGATTGCAAATACCCAAGATCAAGCTGCTGGCAACGATATCCAGCTCACCATGTGGAGACATCGTACACTTTACCGCGTATTATCAGCCAGCAATCGTCTGGCTTGTCATGCCCAGCAATCTCTTGCAAAGAATACTGCTTCTGCACATTGTCAGCCTGCTTGACTTTCCTCCTGCTTGCCAATCCAGCTTGCCGGCTTTCCTCCGCGGCCAATTCATCCTTGAAACGTTCAGCATCAGGGGCCATGCTTCAAGGTAGACTGGCTTTGATCTGGTCCTGAACTTACTATATCCTGCAGCTATGATGAATGACAGCTCCAACAACTGTCAGAAAACCCAACCAGCGCCTGCTTCGATTGACGGTCCCTTTACGATCCAGATCCCAATGTCGTCCCAATCCTTGCCAATAGCTGGCACCAAAAGAGAGCGTCCCCTACTTAAATTAACTTAGCCTAAGCCTGTGAGGGCAGCTCCTGCCTTAGAAGATTGTAATCAGAAAGCTCCTGGAAGACCTGATCACAGAAGAGGACACGATCAGGAACCATCAACAATGACAACAGACAACTGCTTGAGCAGCAGCAAATTGCAATGCCAACGACAACGTAGCGATCCCGTAGCGTCCGAGCTGCCGCACCTCGTGACAGTGTAAGATTAACTTTGGTGCACCGTTTGCATGAGATACCCAACTCATCATGCTCACTGGCACATTATACGAAGTGGCCGGTCTTGACTACCGGTAGTCGAAAGAAGAAGCACAAAATACTTCTTCTACGACACAGGACTGCACAGGACTTGGAAACCGGGGGCTCTGTACATAAGTAGCACTCGTGAATATCTGGGTACTTGGGTGCTTTCGCCAAATGATTTGGTGCGCAAAGCCGCGCAGCCTGCCAGTGCAAAGCTCAAGAGCACGGCGTCCACTGCCAACAGATCTGGAAACCCTCGATTCACAAAGGCGCCTTTGTGTATCCCGTAGTCATGGCTTCCCCTTGGGTTTTTGGCTTGCTCGTGTTGGCCTTTGCTTCCTGCTCTTTGGTGCAGGCTGATGGAGATGCGGTGGTCCTTACACCTGACAATTTCGACGACAATGTCGGCGGCAGTCAAGCGGCTCTGGTCGAGTTCTATGCTCCGTGGTGTGGTGAGTCTCATTTCCGCGACATCGATTGCTGTCAACCTAACATGGACACGATTAACCACTTACTTGCAGCTTTGCAATTGCTGATTCTTTGCAAGCGGACCTTACTTTCTTTTGGTGGATAGTAAGTAGGGAAGACATGGATGCACTTGCATGATGGATACCATGCATAATTGAGGCCGTCACATCAAGCAGGACTACCTGCATCTTCATGTGGCAGGCATTGGGATGGGACATGCATTGATTGTGACACTTCAGGAGGACATGCAAACAATTGTACAGGATTGCCCTTGCAAAAGGTACATGTTGGAGCTGTCAGCACTTGTCCACACATGTTGGTGATACTGATGATGTGAAGAGCAATTACTTGTGCACTTTCCAGATAAGTATTGCTCAATGTTGCTACAGGCCATTGTAAGAAGCTTGCGCCGGAGTGGGAGGTCCTCGGCTCTGCCTTCAAGAAGATTCCTTCTGTCGTGATAGGCAAGGTAGGCCTTCCTTATGTCCATATCTCTCGTGCCTGCTTTACATCATCTTAGATACAAGTACATGTCAAAGGGGTGTCAATTTCCAAAGGGGTCGCTGGCGCCTTCAGTCATCTGCTGGAAACCCCTAGTGCTCTCTCGATCCTTGCAGTTGCCCAGTAATGAGACATGTATCTCTTTCTCTAGGTTGACTGTGACGAGCACAAGGACCTGTGCGGGAAGTTTGGAGTGTCTGGGTTTCCTACAATCAAGTACTTTCCGAAGAACTCTCAGCAGCCGGAAGAGTGAGTTGCCATCAGGGAGCAGGTGCTTTTCGAAATGCTGGGTTTGTCTGGACTCAGTTCTGGAGGTCACTGAGTATCTCTTTTTGGCAATAGGCGTGAACCAGGAAGGAAATGCCAAGAGCCAGCGCCTTCTTTGCCCTTGAGTTCACATGGTTAGAATTTTCTTTATCTTGCGAAGATTAGTTGTGAAGCTAATCATCTATCAAAGTTGAGGAGCTATGGTCATCACGAACGTGGTTTTTGTAATGCTGGTTGTCTGCAATCGCGAACTTCTGAAAGTTTGGCTTGATACCTCTTTGTCTGTATCTTGACCGCTCTAAGCAGGAGGTAGGGATCAAGCGCATAGCCTCATGCGTTTCCTTTATCTTGGGCAGCTATTCTGGGGGGCGGACAGCTGACGACCTCATCACGTTTGTGAACCAGAAAGCAGGTGAGATAACATGGATGCTTAGCAAGACCTTGTGTCTCATAGGGTGTAATGCATGGCCTTTCTCATTGTGCCTGGTGCTTGTGGGGTGCTACCTTTTCTAGTAGAAGAACGTCTGCGAGCTGAAGGTTTTGTCGATGAAAAAGCTGGAGGGTTGCTTCATGCAGGAACAAAGGCGAAGGTCAAGAAGGAACCATCTTACGTGACAATCCTGGACAAGAGCAGCTTCGAGAAGATTGTGTTGGATCCTTCGAAGAATGTTCTTGTGGAATTCTACGCTCCATGGTGAGGCCAGTACAGTGCAGTGCATGTTATCAATAATTGGTATGTGGATCTATGCATTAAAATGAGGCCGGGCTGAATCTGAGGGGGTGCTTCGACAGGGTGAGTTGGTGTTGACGACTTTGCAGCTTTTGAGGTTAGGCATTCCTTAGGAGAACATCGCTGGTCATTCTGTTCGTGTCTGCCCGGAAACATATTAATCATTGGCCGTAAAAGAAGTGTTTGCTAATCAAAGGAACGTTTATTGCCATGGTCACTGTTAGTTCTTCCTGAACCCTCTGAGACTGAGAACCGCACCTGTCCTTGTCCTTGTTCACGTTTTTGATAGTCTAAGCCATTGCCGTAATCCAGCAGGAAGAAAAGCAGCTTATACTTTGCTACCATCTCACAGGTGCGGTCACTGCAAGTCTCTGGCTCCAACGTATGAGCAGCTCGCCAAGGTGTATGCGGGAGAGCCCAACGTCGTGATTGCCAACCTGGACGCAGACAACGCTGACCATAAGGATTTGGCCTCAAAGTACGTAACCACTCACTGTCTGGCTGTCTGTCTCATAGGATGCATTTGGAAACCTCAAGAGATATGATCTGCTTTGCTCCTGCTCTTTCGTGCTCGTATTGAATGTTTTCCAGACTTCATGAATATCACCACTGCTCACCAGGACTGTGCTTCTGCTTTTGAGGTTCTGATCGAAGGCTTGATGACTTGTCATTTCTTGCTTGACGCTCAGGTACGGCGTGTCTGGCTTCCCCACCTTGATGTGGTTCTCTGCGGATGACAAGGAACCTGTTCGTTACGAGAGCGGCAGGGATCTGGCCTCGTTCGTCTCCTACATTAATGAGAAGGCAGGGACCCACAGAACCGAGTCTGGCGGGTTGACAGACGAGGTGAGGTCTTATTGCCCATAACCCTGTCATAAGGAGGGCCTTATGTGCGCAGGCTTCGTACGGTTTCGAGTTCAAAGCGCCAGTAAAGAGAAGCAAGGCTACTCTTCTGACGTGAGATGTTCACTGCTCCGTGTTTGGCTGCGACATAAGCATCTTTCTTGGCAGTTGCCTGCGTGTGACTGACCCTCTGTGGTCTTTGCTAAATCTGCTGTGCATGATTGGTTGTGCAGGCGGGCGTTGTTGAGTCTCTGACAGAGACGGTGAAAGACTTTCTGGCGGCTGGATCAGACACGAGGCAGGACATCTACGACAAGGCGGTAGAGGCAGTCAAGACGCTGACTAGCACCCAAGTACCGTAAGCGCCCCGCCTTTTGCCATCCGACGTTTTGCTGAACCTCTCGGCAATTTCATCCGTTCGATTGATTTTGTTCGTGGCTCCCCAAATTGCTTGCACGGAAATAACTTGCTCGAAAGCATACAAGCTGCCGAATGCGTTTTTTGACGTCCGTTCTGTCCTTACTTCCTCTTTTGGGTCCTGCATATCCAGTCTAATCTTCCACAGCGAAGTACGTCATCGTTGACCCGATGTATTCTCCTCCTTGTTTGATAAAGTGTGTGTGCACGTGCAGCTATGGGCAGACGTACTTGAAGATCATGAAGAGCATTCTCGACAAGGGCTCTGAGTACGTCACTAAGGAGTCAGGCAGGCTGGAGCGTCTGCTCAAGGTAAGCCATCGTCATGGTGTGGTTCTCCGACCAGCCGAGCTGAGCGGTTCACCAAAACTGTCCGACCCATTCGCTATTCCATTCTGACGTTAAAGTGGACTGAATATCGTTAAAGACCAGTCAGGTCGTAGAAGGTGTCTGGAGACTTAGTAATGCTCTCGTTATGCTGCAAGTTGCTCTAATACGGGATTGGAAAGGCCTTTTTGAGTCGTCAGACCGCAGGTTGCCAACTCGGGTTTCGGGGGGGTGCATGGCAGGACAAGGAATGGGGGATGTACTAGTGCAGCAATCCTCGTACTTCCGAAAAGATTGACTGTTGTAGGCTGTAGAGTGTGATTGCGCTCTTTGTAGTCTTGCAAGAGCAGGAAAGGACGGCCAGGAGCAGGAAAGGACGGACATCAAAATAATAGTTACCATGTTGAGAAGCGGTTGCAGTCGGACGTGTTACCGAATTTGATTCGGTTGGGGCAATTGTATGCGACTCCCTTGCAATGAATATTCTTAAGAGTGAATTGTCAATGCAATCAGTGTCGATCCGTTGTTAGTCATTTTGGGTTCGCTTTTCACCATTCTACTGGATGTTGATTTCGTGCGCCTCTTGCTTGCAGACGACGCTGAGCCCGCAGAAGGAGACCGAGTTCTCCATTAGGAAGAACATCCTGAGGCTGTTCAACTGATAGAAAGGCAATCGGCGAGATGGGTCGTAAAGTCAAGTAGACAGTCGGAGCAGGAAGCAGTGGAGGTTGCAGGGTTAGGCAGTGGCATGCCAGACGGTGTTCTCACTTCTGAATATCGCGGTTTCGCCAGCGTGGCAGGATTGACGAAAAGTTTCATTTGCTCCACACTCTTTGTTCTTGGTGTATGATCTGGCAGTGGGATACAACATGCACTCAGGAAGTATCCCGAAAGTTGTGAAGTTTCTCAATACGAGCTGCCACTACATGCACCATAAGCTGGGACCAATCCGGGCTTTTCTTTGGGGGGAGCATGCTGACAGCCACTGGATAGCCGAATTTGTGATGATGTTTTGCAGGACGCGCATTTCGTATCTACTTTGATATACTGTAACATACCCCGCTAACTGCAAGGGAATTGGAGCCGCCAGCTGCAAACTTGACATTTGTCAGCATGAAGAGCCAGCTACATATGCCATTCATTGAAGTCGCGACGCCGCGAGTTGGCTGCAAGCAGCTATGTCCTGCATGTGTCTTTAGTTGCTAATTTAACTGCAGCTAGCTCAATCTCAATGCTGCCGCTCCGAGCACTCACGAGTCATGATGCTGTAGAGAATCTTGTGTGGACCTTAATCAAATGATTGCTTTTACGCGCAAATGCTAATATAGAAATGCCACTTGTGCATGCTCGAAATGGTAATGCCATATTTTGCGCATGTACCAAAATCGTGGCCGGTGCACCAGACGGGATTTTGGGCGACAATTCTAGCTTGACTGCAACATGCATGCCTGCCTGCCCGCCTGTCAAACCAGTATCAGGCAAAATGCATACGTGCCAAAGCGACAAACATTTTAGATTGCTTCCTAAGCTTATACCTAGACAGATGTAGATTTCGTAATGTACAAGGTTGACTCGTCTATTCAAAACACCACAGCTATGCTCTTTGCCTCCGTTAGAAGCTCGTTGTAATCCGTCTTGAATTGAGTGGCTTCATCTTCGGGCACATCCTCTTTTGGTGGCTTCGGCAGGATAAGCATGCAACTCGTGGGGCGCTTCGTGAGCCCTGCGGTGCCAAGGTCCTGCAAGCACAGCACAGATCAAAACTTCTGTTGCTGTCTGTAAGTGCACAAGTGCTACAAGATACAAAAACGATGACCCGAAAAACTGCAGGGGCAAATCTTCTTATTAAGTAGGGTAGGCTGGTTTTGTCAGCAGTGCCAACGCTGTTGTGCCTGGACTTGCAGCGTTAAGGCCTCAACCTCTAGCTTGCAAGGGTTTTTTCTCCTCGACTCAGTCTTGCTTGACAAGAGGGCTGTGTCGAACCATCGTTTGTCGAAGGCTTTGTACAGAGAATAGATCTGCAGCCGCGACCCAATATTTGTTGCTGATCACTTCAGGCAGATTGCCTTGATGGAACAAGAAGTGATTACATTGCATTGTCAAGCAAAAGCGCTTTGCGGTAAATCAAGAGAGCGAACCGTTCTGCCTCACCTCTTTTGATGGAACATAGTAGTATGGAACATCTTGTTCCTCACACAGGATCGGAACGTGGCTGATAACATCGATGGGCGAAATGTCGCCCGCTATCAGTACCAACCTGGTGCACAAAACGAAAATGTGATTCTTAAAAACAACGATGTTGTAGGCATCTGCCTCAAGTAGCCGGTGGGACTCTCTATTAACACTTGGATCTGCAAACGACCTTCAACCTTACATATAATGTGCAATCGAGTGCCGTGCAATATGCACTGCTCAACGAGGCCCACTCTTTGACAGCCAGTGCAATTGTGTCCAGTGCAGATTGATGGCGCTTACTGGCTTGGAAATATAAAGAGAGACCTCGGCAGCTTTTTGATTCAAAAAGAAAATCCTTGCAGATACTGCTTGCTGCTTCGGCCAAAAGATGGGCTTCTCCACCACTTGGCTTCTGAATGGCACTCACCCCTTGGTTCCCTTCCGCAATGCTTTTACAACCTCTTTAACGCCTCGCTTCAACTGCTTATGTTTGGCAGCTGCAGCAGATAAGAGCATGTCAGCCCAGCTGCCCTAGGAAACAAGAAAGGGGCTGCGACTGAAAGGGCATCAACTGTATTTACAGTCCGATAGCATATTGTTTCCAAGCCAGATGTCTGAATCGATCTGCCCCACAGCCGCCAATCTGCATTGCTGCCAAGCATGCACTCGTCACACAAGCCTTTCCATAATGGTGGTAAAAGAGGTGATGGGTCTGCAAGCAAACCCTAATTCTAACGGTAATGGTTCCATCAACAAGCACAAAGACCCATGTGGTTCCTGGTGTTCCAGCTTGACCATCTTTTGCTTTAAATGACCAGCATTGTGGTTATACACTTGGCTGAGGTGCATAAAGGCCTCACCTTTCTTTACTAGCTTGAGCGACTTCTTGCTCAGCTTTTTACCCGCCAGAGGCTTCGCTATTGGTGCTAAGCCCACCTTCCGCTTCTCCTTTTTCACCTCCTTCTCATCATCACTGCCCATCGCGCACCACCACCAAAAACCTCCTTCAGTAAGCTCCTCTCCTTTCTCAGCAATGCAGAACACTGCCCAACCTAGACGTGTGGACTTGGGGTGACCGCCGCTCCAATGCTCCTGGGGTCTTGAGGTCACAGAAATGTTCCGTGTTCACAAGCCCGAATTTTAACTCACAGTGCACACATGCTCTCATTTCAAGGAAGAGTTGAAAAGCTGGCCCGATCGATATGTGGCACTGCGTCAGTAGCAGAGATCTGAGATCTGGGATTCTGTTTGCCCACGCTTCTTTGCTGCGTCGATAGTCCGCACCGGGCGCCGGAGAGGGTGGTGCTTCGATTCCGATTCCATTGAGCGCCTAGTTCTGCAATCGGGCTTCTAAAACTCCACTGTCCAGACAGAAAGAGGAAGTCGATAGGCTCCGCTAGTGCACGACCAGCAACCAGCTCAGGCTGCTTCCATTTGGGCTCCCACAATGGCCGCATGACAACACCCTCGCAACATTCATTTGACGCTCCATATCAGTGGTGGTTTAGAAGTCTTGCAGAAGAACAACACATAGCCCTCGATCCACCTCGATCTCGGGGCTGGACCAATGCGGGGCTCTTAAGCGACATATTTGAGGTTTTCAGAGAGTGTCCGCTTTTCTTACAATGGACCTACGCGCAGCACTCTTTCTGCTGGCAGTGATCCCCATTTTGACGGTGAAGGCTTATAGTGGTAATGGTACCAACTTCTGCAAGGCAGCGGGGTTCGCTGAGGCGGACTGCATTGCTGACCTGGAGAGTTACGCCACACAGGCGTCGTCTAAGCACCAGCCGTACTACCACAAGTCGATGCTGCCCTATCACGCTTGGAATCACGCCTTCCAGTATGGCCACAGTGCCCGGATGTTCCTGAAGAAGTACGGGGGCGTAGATCTGAACGCGTCCCTGTTTGATGAGGCCATTGCGCTGGCGGGCTTCTTCCACGACATTGGGTATCCCATGGTCATGGGCTTCAATGGCTACAGCATGAAGCAGGTATGGATTTACTACTAAGTACTAGCTTTTAAGCTATCTGGGCTACATTCTCAGTGAGCAGGTGGGTAGGTCGCTTGACTGCATAAATTGCTGCGAGGTTCATGACGAATCCTCACGGAAGCACTTAGGTGGGAGAAAGTGACGTTTTGAGATCGTGGTCAAGCGTCAGATCTTCAATCCTTACTTTCACGGTGGGTGTCGATGTACTTGGCCTCACCTACAGGATGTATTTGATCGAAAGTGTGTGCCTCAAAAAGATGATTCTGGGTTCAGAGAATACTGTATAACATCATCTGGCTGCAAATTCTTCAAAAGGTTTCCCTTCACCTCCAAACCCTTTGTTTGTTTTGATGAGTTCGAATGATTTGAAGCCCTTTCGCCCTCGCGGCCAGAATAAAAAGTCCAAATGCACTCCGTTTGTCGGCTGGCTTGAAAAGCTTAGGCAAGTGTGGCACTTTGCTCGCCAGACTACGCCAGATTGCAAAGTGTGGCAGCTATTCAGCGTCTCGGATATCAAGCGCCGCTCTGCTTTTTCCCAGTCCTATCCATAGTGGTTCTAGTCAGGCCTTTTTCCTCTTCTGCTGATTTGCGGCTGCATGGCCACACTTTCCAAATTGTGAACTTCCACTTCTGAACAAGTCAACCCGGTTTATCGCTCTGACGGTCTCAATTTTCTCGTCAGGTGTGGGCCCCTTGTAAGACCCCCCACCCGATCCCCCGCGCCGGCCCTGGCGCCCTTGGCCGTTACGACATCTATGGGACCCACTGCATTGGGAACACCTTTGGACGCATCCCCTTATACCGAGAAGGGCACGAGTCGTACTCGCTCAAGCTGTACCTCGAGACCTTTGCGACCAACGAACCAGAACTGCCCCCCCAGTTTCTGGAACTCCGGGAACCCCGCTACATGATCCTCACTGCGCTAAACATCGCTTGCTCAAAGTGGAACGCGACGGAAGGGACGGGGGCTGAGGAGGCGCTCCTCGAGCTGAGTGCGGGGTACCCTTTGGCGGCCGATTTGGAGATCAATGTTGAGACGTGTGAGACCAGCCCGCTGAGACCAGACATGGCGCTCGGCCAGGTGAACGACAAGTGGCGGCAAATCCTGAACTGCGTGAGGGACAATCTGGAGCAGATTAATGGTTTCTCCCGAACCAGCCTGGCATGTAGTGCGGCGCGATACGCCGACTTTGCGAACGTGTTTCAGGAGGGGTTCATCTGTTACACGACAAACCTGTGGGCTGAGTATGCCACGTATGGGGGGGCAAGAGCCAACTCGGAGCATACTGCTCCAGACCCGAGCAAGGACGGGGTTCTAGGACAGGAGCAGTACTTCTTCTGGAACAACGAGGTGCGCTTCATCAAGGAGATCACAGGTGAGACTAGCTGACGCAGACCGCTGGTGTCCAGTAATTAGTGGGTATCTCTATTGAAACAATCTACCCATAGTCTGATTGATGAAAGATTTGGTAGACTGAGGTGTTCGCGCAAGGAAGTTCCCTCATAACCACTTCATCGGTACAACAGGTTCTGCAGGTTCTTCTTTCCACACCGAAAGCAGCACCCTCCGTTGAAATCTAGAGCCCTCAGCCCGTAGAATCGCAGAATGGCTGAGTGACGACCAAGAATTTCGCCGTCCAAATTTTGACGTCGAAAAACGAACGCTCAGGATCTTTCGTATGTACTTGGTTAGGTCCGGTTTGTCCGAACCTACTATCGGAACCTGTCCTGCCAAGGCTTCCGACCCCTGTCTAAACCCTGCAGACTGGAGTCCTATATTGAGATCGGATGGTAGCGCTGCGCTTTCTTCCAGCAAAGTTTTGCGGTCCGCCTGTCAGAACGGATGGAAGGAGAACGCGGACTGCAGTTTGCAGTCCGAGACCCCCACACCGGATGGTACTGTTCAGTTTGCGCGCGTGGGATTGATGCAAGGCTAGCTGGCCACGCGCGCGACCTAGCATGCCCATAACGTAACTCAAAGCCTGCTGCTGACCGACCAGCCCGACTTCCACCGAGCGCTCGAATGCAGTCATTTAGCCCTGGCACCATGCTCCCAGTTGCCGAACAAACGACCCGGTGACCCGGAATGTACGGTAACCAGCTTAAATTGACTTGCGGGTGCAGGGTACCAACCGGTGTGGGGGTCCAGAAAGGAGAACTGGAGTCCACGTTCTCCTTCCATGCGTTCTGTCAGACGGTGCTCTCGTTCTTGCCTTCCCTCAACTGCGTCCCCATTCTGCCACAGAGGAGTACGTTGTGGGCCCCGACTTCCAGCCGCTCAACGGGCGCTACACCCCGGATGACGTTGCGAGCATCAAGAAGGCGCTCGCAGACACGGTGGTCATTCGCGACCGCGTAAACCAACTGTACGCGTCTGCGCCCAACGGCTCGTCCGTCTACCTGAGCGACATCCATGCGCTAGAGGCCATCCCGCTCTTTGAGACTAGCTGCAACTTCGTGGATTATGCATACCGGACACGGCAACTAATGGGTGAGTTGTGCTTCGTGATGTGGGTTTGTTTGTTAACTAGCAAGACTGGATCGAGTGATTTTGCGGGGCTCGGGCTAGTGGCATGGACATTTGTTCTGTCCAGGATCGTGTCTTTGATGGGCCCGGCGCTTGTGAACAGAGGGGCGTCTCTTCACAGGGCCCACCTCCCCGCTTTGCAGTTCTCTGTAGGAACCCAGGCTTGGATTTCGTCGCATAAACGGATACCAAATTCTTATGATTGAACGCTTCATGGTGGCTCATACTTACGTCATGCTCGGTGCGGTCTCCCCGATTGTGACATCTTCGTTTCTTCTCTCTTTGCTCCACGGCTCTTTTCCTGCAAAGCGAGTCTTGGCTCAGATACTTTCACCTTGCTTTCTGTGCTTCACGGCTTCCTGCAAACCGAGTCTCTGCTCAGACACTTCCCTCTGGCGCTTCGCTCCAGGTCTCGCCGCGTACCTCCCGATGTGGGCGGCAGCCGCGCACCTGCAGGCGCAGGACGCTCTCCAGACGAGCCCCGTGATCTGGACCCTCGTCGCGTTTGCGGTCACGATCACCGCGGGCCTGCTGATTCTGGTCGTGTATCGCTTCGCGACGACCAAGAAGGGCAAGGCGCAGGGGTTGCGAGACAAGCTGCAGGAGATGGAGATGCTCGTCAAAAAGCCGGCGCGGGAAGCCTCGCACTCGGTCTAGAAGCGGTGTCTGGTGTTGGTAAGAGTATTGTTGTGACAGCTCGCGGGTTGGAGAACGAGTCTCCCATGAGCCAGGGGGACTTGAACGAAGCCGTTGTCCAGATGTCAGACTAAGACCGTCCATTCGCTTATTTATAACCGGTTATCAAATGCAGGACGTATTGTGTATCATATTTACAGAAGGCAGGGGCCGCCTTCTAATTGAGTTAGGAAACGTATCAGTGTTGAAGCCAGTGCTTTGAAGAGTTTGTTTCCGTAAGCAGACAGTTCAGTGACACTCCTTGATGACAAAGCTGGCCACCCTGCGGTCTGGCCTGGGCTTATCGTCCTGAAAATCTACAGTCTGAAAGCTTCGGCACTCGTGCTCGGTATACTTCTTGCAGTACCCATTCATAAACTTTTCGTCGTCCGGCCATGTGCATAAGTCCATGTGATTTCCGGACTCATAAGAAGCCGGTTCTGAGCTGCATCAGACAATTTCAAAATCACCTTGGCATCAAATCAGGCTTCAGTGCTCGAACATATGCTGCACTACGCATGTCAGTACCATTGCCCTGAGCATGTGGATTTCTAAAGTTTTTAATGACAAGTCATGCGGCGGCCGCGAGTCTCAGAAAAATATAGAGCTGCCGGAAAAATGATCACATGTGCCGTATATTTGTCTATAGGGCCTATCGCTCGCATATTGCTGCATGCGCACGTGGTTTACAACTGGCACACGTATACGCGCGCCGTGCATGATATCTTAGTATACAAACGGTTGCATCATGCGCTTCCAAGGACATGCCACCGTCTTTTCTGCAGCTCTAGGCGGCTGGCTTACATACGTCAGTAAGTATGTACGTTTTGCCTGGCCGGCCTGTATACGTGCCTTAGCATGTGCTGAACGAGTCTGTTGATGCATATGACAATCGTCGTTAAGCAGACCTCTTTGGCCCTGCAAACGCATCATGCACTCCCTCCTGATCGACCTCACGACCTTTCTCTTCGTTGTGCCTTGGTCAAGGCCAGCTTCTGTGTCCAAAACCTGTGCACTTCAATCGTCCATTATAGGTGTCAAAATATTAAGTATGCGACCGAGTCTATATAAGATACAATGAGAGGACAACACGGGGATGCCCCTGCCGTCATCTGAGATCGAGGACCTCCACTCCTAGTTGCGCGTCCATCTTCACATGCCCCGCCTGTTCGTAGATTGGGCTCCCGTCGGGGGGGTTGTCGTGAGGGTGAAAACCCCGCCGTTGACAGTTCCCAACCACTTTCAAGCCCCCCGGGTCCGACAGCCTAAAAACGCCGTACTTTCGTTGACTATCTGTGGGGGCGCAAACTATGGCGATAGCCTCTGGGGACATCACCTGTGGGCATGAAACAAGGGGCCGGTCAGAAAAACCGGCCGATGGAATAGACGCCTCATGCTCAAGCGGCGCACTCTCTGCCAACGCTTGCAACCGACGCCTGACAGCATGACCCTCGGATGCCGTTTTGAGCTTATAAGCGGATAAAGTCGCCTGCACATACCCAAGGCGCTCGTCCTTCCAATCGAGCTGTACCTGGCAACAGTACATGACGTCAATTGAAAGAGGTGACTTCTCGTCTAGATGCAATATCAGACACAGCAGCTAAGGCAGTACTGCATTTGGCCTCAACAGGCCCCAAAACTTCCACCCGCCCAGATTACGCCCCTGAGAAGCCCTAAAACCCGAAAAGCAGCCTCCTGGCTTGCGTTCAAAGATAAGATGCTCGCACACGAGCTGATAGAAGCGAGCTCGGCTCTGCAAAACGCAACAATCACAGACTCTTGGCGGGCATCTCTATTCAGTCGAGTCGTGCCGGCGCGTTTGCGCACCTGGTACGAGTAGTGCGTGTGCAGGTCGATGGAGGACATGAAGCAGGTCTGCGTGGGGTGCGTGTGGATCCAGCCCAGCTGGAACAGCCCGCGCGCGTCTTGCGCCTCAAAGATCTCCTCCTCGTTGATGGTGCTGCACGAGTCGCTGGTGGCCTCCTGCTTGGGCACCACCAGCGTGCTGATCGTGAACACGCCCCGCGACAGCGTGCCTGCCAACACCGCGCACGTCTCCAGGTTCTTGCGCGTGTTCGCCTGGGCCACCCTGCACAGCGGACGGCCGGCGCGTGTTAGCGGTGAGGCCCGAACTGCTCGAATGGAGAAGAGGTCTGTGCAGCAAACGGGCTCGCAATAGCGACAAACAACGACACGGCTTGCACCCATAGAGAACACAGGCATGTCACACAACTTGCTCCTAGGAGGAGGTTGGTTTGAAGCGTGACTGGAAGTGGCTCAGAAACGGGGTAAGGATCCTTTCAAAGAACTGAAGTGGGGCCACGTCCAAACCAAAACTTCAAGAAAGGTAGCATGCTTTCTTTCTGGAAGAACGGCAGCCTCAAACACTGTGCAAGCGTCGTAAGAAATGGCCCCTCTAAAACTAGCGCTCAGTCCGCCTCGCTCGTTCCGTCTCGAGCATTCATCCTCTGCTTTCTGCCTCTTGCAGGTTCCAGCGCGAGCCAACGCCCACATGGCGACTTCCCGTCACGCATGGAGCAGTTGGAAACAGGCAGCCACAAAATGCTCAAGCGATGGTTAAACTTGTTCGGGTAACAGAATCCCTGCAATTGGCATACCTGAGGAACTCTTCCAGGATGCGGTGCGAAAAGTGCACCGGCTTGGGCCCCTTGAGGTCGTCAAACTCGACGGGGGGCCCGGGCCGGGGGTCGGCCACGTCGTGGGGGGACGGCTGGGGGGAGTCGACGGGCTGCGCGATCTGGAGCCGCGTGCACGGGGACGGTCTACCGGGGGGGGGCTGGGGCTGGGGGGTGAGGGGGACCTCGGGGGCCATGTCGAGGGGCTGCAGGGCAACGAGGGGGTCAGAAAGTGGTCGTAGTACGTAAACATGCCGAGTTGAAGTGGTCAGCTGAGCGTACTAAGAGGACAGGCATATTGGTAAGAGAAAGGTAACGCTCTGGTGTCCTCCTGGCACGGTCCCTGGCCTTTCTCGGCTGTCTCAATCTCAAAAGACCACTGCAAGTCCTCACAAACTGAACTCACGACGAGCAGATACTATTAGAGAAGAAGTCTTTCCTCAATCGACCGCGGCTGGCAAGGAAAGCCAGCGCGTAATCTAGGATTTAAGTGATCAACAAAACGGGGTAGGGACCTTCAATATGGGTCATTTTCGGCTTACCAGGGCGGGCTTGGGTTGTTGCAGCTCCATAACACTCGGGGTAGAGGACCCCGAGGACGACGGCCGCTCCTCCAGGCGGAGGTTTAACAGGTCGGGGACAGTCACTGGGGACGAATCAATCGCACTGGGGTATGACACCTGCGGAAAAATCAGAAGAGGGCTAAGCGAAGGCTGACCCCGTAGCGATCTCTGATTGCATGCCAAACGTCAGGGCCAGAAGGCTAGGAGAGTCTTTTTCCAGAGTTGAAATTGAGGCTAGCAGAAATGAAGTCCTTCCTGCAGCAATTCGAACTGTTTGTGGCGATCCGTTCCGCCTCCAACGTCCATATTACAATAATGCGAACTCAAGTACCTCTCTGGTCAAATCATGGCCGCCTTTGACCCAACTGCACAAAACCCCGTTCTTTGACCACTGCAAAAAGCTGGTGCAGAGCTACTACGACAACGTATCAACATGCAACCTCAGAGAGGCCCTACCTTTTGTGGCAGTACTTCGTGATGCGGTCGCTGCCTCTGGGCGGGCAGCCCAAGGAAGGAGTGCCGCGAGAGCGTTTCTTCACGGGCGGGGAGGTACGAGCTGTATGACGTGGAGGTGGACATGGAAGAGTAGCTGGGGGTGAAACTAGCGTAGTTTGGTGCGTAACTGGTGGACGTGCTGGCCGAGTAGCCGGTGTAGCTCGGGACGGTTCCCGTAAGGAGGTCCATCTGGCCGGAGGGAGGACGGGAGACGTATGCGCCAGCTGGCTGCGGAAACAACGAGAAGAGAATGGCGGGTTAGCAATTACTTGAGTTCATTGTCCAGAGAGACCATGATAAAGTAGAAAGCCTCCCGGTGGGGGTTGGACTCGCTGCTACCGGACGCTAGGCAACGACAACAAGGCTTCCACCGATCGAATTCCTGGATAGCGATTTGGTGAGGGCATGTACTTACAAAACTCAACGGATACAGCCTCAGCGGTCAGATCGAGCACAGAAGCGTCGTCGACGCTGCTTTAGGAGGCCTCACTAGTCAACATATCACACTCATCACTCTACACCCGAAGTCAGTTGGCCCATGTTGCGACGCCCAACGGGCCTGGCGACTGAAAAGAGGCAATTGGCTCCTAGCGCTCCACAATGGCCCCGACAAACGGCTTCCCCGTATCAGAACTAGAAGAGAGTGGCTGGCACGTCACTCACTCGACCGTTGGGTGGGGGACTTGGAAGATAGATTGGCGGATCGTCGTCTGTTGACGAGTCCAAAGCGACAGGCGGCCAAGCATAAGGGTCTCTCCGCTCGGGCCGCTGCCCCGGCCAGCTTTTGAGGCGGCGCTCCTCATTCTTCAGCTCCTCCATCTTGCGCTTGAGGTCCGGCTTCAGGCGCTCCAGCTCAGGGAGTACCTCCTTGAGGAGAATCTGTGACACGTGAACGACAGAATGAGGTGGAAGCAACAGGCACAGGAGTCTGCGGCGGCCTTAGAAAGTTTCAACTTTGTCTTTGCATCAACTTAACTCATCGAGCACGAACGGTTGTGCTAAGAGCTGTGCTTTTCAGCAACAACTCACCTTTCTGAAGTCCACCTTCTCTTTGGAGTAGCCGGCGCTGTTGTAATCATCGTGCTTCGAAATTGTATCCGCGACCATACTGTACGAGAAAGAAGCAGGGTGTCAATTCCCGCTGAAAGGAAGCAACCCTTTTCTTTGAGTGCCAAATGGGCTCCACAAGCAATCCGCAAACGACTAGACTGCTGCAGCAATTGAGCAATGGCCAGGTAGCTTGTCTAGATCTTTAAAGGTGGCACATGGAGATTCAACAAGACATTAGGCTGGGCAAGGCATTTGGGAGCGCAACTTACTTTGCAAAGCGCATGAGCATGACGTACAACTCTGGCAGGTTCTGCTCGTACCGATACACCGCAGCCTGCACAAGGGGGGTACGGGCAAGCCGTCCAACTTAGTGTAGTGCACCAAGTGCGGCACCTTATAACTCTAAAAATACCACGGATCAAAGTTGCCCAATGAAGTAGGTCACAAGCGTCTTGTCTCAGAGCATTTCGACTCCAGCCTGAACATACTTAGAAGCACAATGTCTGGTCTTTCGTCACTCTCTCCTTGCTGGCGACTCACAAAGAGACAAAGGGACATGTCTGATGCTGAATGAAGCTGGCGACGCAGAGGCCTGAAATGCAGCTTTGGGGCTTTGGAAACTAACTGTCCCGATCAGGATCCAAGAGTGGACTATCTAAGCAAGGTTGCGTCCTTCAGCAAGTCTACAGGGGCTCGTTGGAAGGTCTAGGAAACAAATAGGCAGTACGTCCTGCGAGTTTTCACCTTTTGAAAGCAACTGCAAGACTTTCCTCCGAACGGCTTACAGTGGCGACATGTGGTTCAACACGTGACCACAATGATCATTCTTCCTATATCCAAATCCATCAGCGGACTGCCGACGCCACTGGTTTTGTCCAATTGTCACCACTTTCAGAAGCTAAAATACTTCCAGGTGGGGACAGTCCTCAACATTTCTCATTTGAACAAAGTTCAATCTGAAGCCCAACCTGCACCACTTTCATGGTACTTCAGGAACAAAGTAACCCCTCACCTGCTTGAGCAGACCGTTTGCGGTCCGGTAGTAAAACTTCAAGGGCAGCCTCTGGTTCAAAAAAATGGGCCTGTCCGACTCCTGGAGGGCCTTGGCATACTCCTGCCATCGGGGCCCGCCCCCCATCTTGGCAGCAATCTTCTGTAACCCTAATTGCGCAATTGAAGCTGCAACGTCCCAGCTAGCAGGGTGTCAACTGGGCTCTGATGGAGATAGTCAGGAACAATCACCACTGACTGTAGAAGGTGTCAATTGCAGCGCGCAGGTGGCGAGCACCTCGCGAGCACTTCTTCGAAGGGCAGTCTCTCCACAACCGAGGCATTTGACTTGATCAAGGTGGAAACAAACCCCTGCTGAGAGATGGCTGATCTAGGAACTGTTCGAAAGTCTGGTTGCAGGAGAAAGAACCCAAGAGGCCCTTCACGTCTAGACGCCAAGAGCGCCACAGCTACCCCTAGCTGCACCACGTACTGACTTTGCAAAGTTTCCTCCCACCATGTGTACATACGGTTCAGACTGTATCATTATTTACAGTACCTTTGTTACACATCTGGCATGCAGTGTTCCCTGTTCGTTACCCCCTTCCCAGGAGGTGATCATGCTCGAAGTACCGGTGATCAGCCGGTTCTCGTGGTAATCCCCACCAGGCCATCGACCGACTGGGCAGTGGGACTGCGCTTTTCTGACCGGTTGAAAATTACCGACGGCACCATGCAGTCCCCGGTCTATTATCGCGCTAGCTCTTTAATATTCGAAAGCAATTTCTGGCGTAGTAGGGGGCTTCATCTTCAGGCAGCGAAGCGCTCCCTCGGCTGCTCCCAGTTGGCCGCTTGCAAGCAATGGCGCAGATAAGTTGATCTGAGGACAGCATGCTGCTGCATTGGGCAGCAATGTAAAAGGAAAGCACACTGAGTTTCCTGGGCCATGGTTGATGGGTCCATAAAAGCACACCATTGCACGAGGCAGTGTCACTAGCATGGACGCTCAGAGCATGGACGCTTAGAAGACGCGACATAAATAAGAGTCCTCACCAACAGTCGCTGAGGAGCTGAGGAGTCTAGAGAACTCAACTTCTTCAAGCTCCTTGCCCTAAATCATTGAATACCAAGGATAATTGCAAGCGTGACCACTTAGGAGCGGGTCAATCAGCAAGTGGTCAGCTGCCTGGTGGCTTGAGATTGCGAGTGAACCATGCCGCGCTATGCGCAGCTGGTCATTGGACCTGCTGGAAGTGGCAAGGTGAAAGTTCGAAGGCTGCACTTTTGCGACATTCATGGTGGCATGCTTGTGGCATGAATGATCTTTAGTAGTGATCTCTTTAGGAAAGTGGTGGTATTCTGTAAGTGGTGGTATGCTGAAGTGGTGGTATGCTTAGTGGTGGTATAAGTGGCCCAAAAACCAACTCTCTAAACTGTGCCACCACATGCTTAGATAGATAACAAAGAGACAGTGCGAGCCAGAGCATGTAAGACTCAGACAGGTCAGGACCCAGATCGGGTTCCGCGTGTTTGAAGAGGGTCCTGGGGCGTTGCAAGGCTGCAGGAGGTGACTTCGCAGCATCAATCCAGTTTCTTCACTTAATTGTGGTTCTTTGGCGATTCAAAGGAAGGCTATGGCAACAACTGATTGTTGGAAGGTACTTTGGAGCCAAAGGGGTCCTCTATTATTGTCACCGCTCCTCAGTTGGTATCACTCTCCGCCTTTTTCTGCAGTTCAAGGTGACTGATGCTGAACGTATGACACCCACTTTTCAAGACAGTTCCTCACAAGCGCCATCATCTCTCATGCCACACGTTTTCTCAAGTTTCTGAGTCCCATCTGTGCAGTCCACCTACTGCACCAACGTGCACCAACACTGCCAAAGTGTTGGCAGGGAGGTGTCTATCATCAACTTGGACCCAGCTGCTGAGCATTTTGACTACCCAGTGGCGGTCGGTGAGTCTTTCGAACCGGCTCCGCTCTTTGTCTTGGAATGCTGTCGTGCTTGTATGGCCAATCCTTCTGAGGGAAACCTCCATTTTCCGGCAGATGCATAAGTGGCTCTGGAGATGTATTTCCCGACAAGGCTCAGTGATTGCTTGACGACCACCATTTTGATATTGGGAGGACTGAGGATCCTTCTGAGAGACGCCTACAGGCAGTCAGACTCTTAGTGCTCGGTCAAGGCATCAAGCGTGTCGTGACCCGTCATTTTTCACAACCTTTGGGTACTTAAGATCTGTGAGCATCCTCCATGTTTCCTGAGGGGTGTTTTTTCTTTCCTTTACACCTGTGCATAGATTTGTTGCAGAGTTGAATACCAACGCCAGGGACAGAAGCAACGTTTTGCTTACTGTTGACATCACTTTACGTTTTCGAGTAAGACCTTCCGAGACTCGAGCTTGGTTTTGGTGCTGGCGCAGACATCCGTGAGCTCATCTCGCTGGAGGACGTGATGGAGGAGCTGCAGCTGGGCCCCAACGGGGGGCTCGTCCACTGCATGGAGTACCTGGAGGAAAACCTGGAGGTCTGGCTCGCCGACGAGCTCCAAAACTTTGCAGAAGACGACTACATCGTGAGTTCCGCAGCATTCTGGGTTGATTGAAGCTATGCTTTTTCGCCTGACTGGTTCGAACTAGTGGGACTACTTGCAGAGTGTGGATGTGTGGTTGCGCGTTTGCTTCCCTGGACGTTGTATCCGTACTCACCAAGGTCCAACAGCTCTAAATTCCGGCTTGAACATGTTGCAACTGTGAAGGTTTTGAAGTTCGGCGCGCAGGGCAGTCTTTGACCCTCAGTGTTTGGCATCAACGCCTTGCACATACGAGATGCGTTCAAAAGTACTTTTATGGTGCTAGACACTCCTCACCTCTAGGCTAGCTTTCTCGCTCCTAGTGACAGGTGGAAACGGCGCCTCACTTTTTTCCGAACAGTTCTGCCTTTTAGAAAACTGTCAAGTAAAACGACGTGCCACTCACTTGCTCGTAATCGTTCTAGTTTCTCGCTATTGAAGCGACGAGAAAGGAATTAACTTTTCCTTCCGCTTTAGGTAAGGCAGCATGGCTTACGCTCAACTGTCCGTCGTGCGAGTCGAGAAAACTCACAGCCTTGCACCTTTTATATCACATGCCGTGCTCTGCGTCCTGCTGCAGATCTTTGACTGCCCCGGCCAGATTGAGCTCTACTCGCACGTGCCCGTGCTGCGCACCTTCGTGGACCAGCTGAAGCAGTGGGACTTCCGGATATGCGTCGTCTACCTTATGGACTCGCAGGTGGGCGCATTTAAGCGGGCTTGTGCGACTGCGAGAAGAAAGAAACAAAAATGGGGGCTCGGAGATCTTCTTGGTCTCCCTCGAGAGAGACTTCTTTCAAGAATATCAAGGTTTCGTCGGATGCCTTGTTTGCGAATTTTGAAGTATCAGTGAACTCGCAACCCACATATCGTCGAGTAGGGTAATTTATGAGGAACCGAACGATGTTTCTGGAGTTGTTTGACCCATGATGAAAGGAGCTTGTTACTTTGTCTAGAGGCCCCAACGTCATTTTGATCTGAGAAAGCTCTGAACCGAGTAGTTCGTTTATCCGGTGGAAAGCACGAGCATACGAAGGAACTGTTATGGACCAAGAGATGCGCAATTTTCTGGCACCCCTCGGCGTTACGGGTTTTACTATCGGAATCTCCGCCTGCATTCTCCTCTCCTCCGTTGCAACCGGAGGAGCCCTGCACTCCCTCCTGGATCAAGCGGCCGCTCAGGCTCGCCCCTTTTCCTCACCGCAAGCGCTTTTTGATCTCGCTTGCTTAAAGCCGACCACATCGCCCTTCTCTTTCCGTCCTTGACGGAAGTCTCACCCCTTCTCTTCCCCCCCAGTTTGCTGCTGACGTGCCCAAGTACATCAGCGGCTGCCTGGCGTCGCTCTCGGCGATGGTGCAACTAGAGGTGGCGCACGTGAACGTGCTGAGCAAGGTGGACCTGCTGCCGGACCGGCGCGAGCTGGACAGGTTCCTGGACCCGGACGTCCGCCTCCTGCTCGCGGACCTCAACCGCGACATGCCGCCCCAGTTCAGCAAGCTTAACACGGCCATCGCCGGCCTGGTAAGTACTGCGTTGGAAGAGCTGCTGCCGTAAGCCGGAATTACAAGCGGCAGCTCATGATCACGGAGTTGAAGATCAAGTGCATTGAGTGCTGAGGAACGAGCACTGGGGCTAGGTTGAATCCAAACCGGTTACATGCAAGATTGAAAAAGTTGCTGACGGTGGACCACCCGTTGGGTTAGAGATCGACACAGGGAAAAGTGTTTTCTCTGTTTATGCTTCCTTTGCAGAAGTTATCTCAGACTGTCTTTGGATTGGGAATGGTCTGGATGAAGAGCTTCAGATAGTATCAAAAAGAGCTGCCAAATCCCGAATTGTCCGTGTATCATGCGCGCAGCTCGACGACTGGAGCATGGTCAACTTCTTACCCCTCGACATCGCGGACGAAGAGAGCATCCAGTACGTGCTGTCGCATATAGACAACTCGATCCAATACGGTGAGGACGCCGACGTGCGGATAAGGGATCACGAGCCAGGAGACGATGATGACGCTCCCGATTGACCATGTCCCGAAATCGGAGCCTATTCTTTTAGTAACACAAACTGGACGAAACATCTGTCCTATTGTGCGATACCCTGGAGATGCATGGATTGGATGATCATGGGATGCACGTGTACAATCTGTGGGCATGATCCACAACCTTAGATTTGCATGCACGGGCCTGCTTAAACCCGATCATATCTTTAATACTATATCTTAACGAAGCGGTGTACAGTGATTTTTGTTGCTTGCTATGTGCATCACATCGATCAAAGTGGCGCATACGCATGCTATTTGCATGCATTTGCGGATCCCTCTAAGCCGGTGGATATCGATGCTGTGGCTGCGCTGCGTGCGGGGATCGGTCCATGGCGCGCGTGAGACAGGCCGCCGGTCAAACAGTCTCAAGTCGCAATCTATATAGTCGGATCGAGGCCGTCACTTAGTTTTCGGTAGCTATGCTGCACTCCTTGCGTGCATGCAAACTTAGGAAATTAGAACAACGCAGTTATGCATGCAGCGATACAACCGTGACGCGGCCTGCAGGCCGCATTCGAACATGATTCAGAAAATACGAAACATGGAAGGCGGTATCCGCGCCGGCGCCGGTACGTCGCTCATGCGTGCACCTTTGACGCACGTGTCGGTTTTGTGGATTTTGTCAAACTGAAAGCAGTATGCCAATCGTATAACTCTGGGTGACACACGGGCCCGGGGGGCCACCTGATCCTTTGAGATCATGATTGCGCGAAGCTCCTTGTAAAGTACACTGTATACACGCGTTACTTGATCAGCAGCAAGGACCACGAAGGCAGATCTCTTCTCGCTACATCAACTCTACAGGTAAGACCTCTACAAACAGCTCGAAGTTCTGAAATATTGCTCAGGGTCGCTCAGTCTATCGGCAGGCTTGCTCAATTCGATGCTATACTTTCTCTGAATTGTACACCTGCACACGCTTGACCAATCGTACGCTACTTCACACCTTGCTCTGCTCGCGGTAAACCTCACCGATAGACCCTGCTCTTTTTGGAAGTCAGCCGCTATTCATGAACCACCATCTCAAAGTCGTGCGCCTCACTTCACTGGGATTGAGTTCCTGCAGGCTCCACCTCAATTCTCGCTTCTACTCTCTACAATCTTTGGCAACCGGTCTCTACATCTCAATCAGTGCCGGATAATAGTCCTAAAACACAAGATAATGTTTGGTACTTACACCGTTTCTGGCTGCTGTTGGCAAACTCCACATCCGAGCTCCCTTCATCGGACAGTCTTGGGACAATTCTCAACTTATTCCATTCAGCACATATCGCTCCACCTATTTCCTCTCGTAAACTCTTCCTATCTAACGGCCGACCATAGCGTACATGTCTCAAAAGCTGCTTGGATCGTCTCGATCGTACTCGGGGTTTTCATACTGCGTCCAAAACGCAGAGCCGTCCTCGTTCCCTGCTTCTTTGAGGTGGGGCCCGCCGTCGGTCGCGCCGTCCTTGTTTCCAGGCAGCCGCTCCGCCAGTTTGAGGCGCTTCTGGTCCCTGTCTCCCGGGCAGATTGTCTTGGTCATGCGCCGCCCCTTCTGGCCGGTTGGCCCGTTGCTGACTCCGTTCGTCATGGGCGCCCGGTTGAAGACCCCGGGCCCAGGAATGTGGCAGCCGACGCCGGTGGAGAGGCGGGCGGGGGGAGAGACTTTGGGGGAGTCGGTGTGGCTGCCGCTGCGATACGCCTGCACAGGTGCAACTCTCACGTCAGCATGCCGGACAGTCTGACCGCCAATCTCAGTTGTATGTAGAAGGGGTGTCCACGAAAACGTCCTACGCATACCGTTGCATCAACAAACTCAAGACAAAGCGAGGAGAATCAATGATTTGACCTTTGAAAGCAGAAGCAAAATATTTAAGCCGAGAAAGACAGGCCTTCTAGCAGCTAATATCATACGAAACCCATTTTGAAGCTAAGCCTGAAATGGATGACCCGGGGCGCGCACATATGGATCCTGTAATTCGTGGCGTCAGGTCGGGACAACGATACGTGCACATGTTATTCGCCGTGTTGAAGCTCAGAAACTGAATCGGTTGCGAAAGGGCATTCATGATGAGCACGCACACTAGAAAGAATGAAGGTCTCTCCGAAAACTTTGGATTCTGTTAGTCGACTTCTGCTTATTCTCGCTTGTTCTTGGTATATCTGGTCCCCACAGAAACGGCTCGTGAGTCAACCTTTGATAGAGCATGGAACGTAAAACAGCGCCGAGATTACGCTTGAGGGATCCAAAGCAGATTGAACGATCGCTCACATCAAGAAGGCCCGCCTGGGCCGGAATGAGCTCCTCTTCGTCCTGGTAAGAAGAGATGTCATCGCAGCGGAAGATGGGGTCGAGGTTCAGGCCATCGATGCTCGGTCCGTGGGGGCAGGGGGAGAGCGGCGCCGGTGCGACAGCTTCCGGGAACGCCTGCGGAAATCGTTTGAAGAGAAGTCAGATAGTTTGAGTATATCGTGGTGGCCTGACGATGGTTTCTGTCGGAGAACCAGAGAACAGCAAAAGAGGCTCCAGACCGGGCACAAGTTCACAGAGTTTCGGGCTGCAACAGCACGTGAACAACGTTCAATTGACTCAGTATCACTGACTTTCTGGATGTCTAATCAGTTGGCTGTGCCGTCTCCTAGTAGATTGGTCACTTTGATAAATGGTCTGTGAGATTGCCAAGTTGCTCGAATATAAGTCTTGCTCCCATAGTGACGAGCAGCGTCAGGTGCATCCGACTCTCCGGCCGAAAAATGCAACTCTCCGACCAAATTCACGCCCGATTGAGATGGATTTTCCGCTTGCGCTTATCTAATCTGACAAAAGACACAACATGTGACGCACCTGCTTTGCGTGCTCTCCTGGTTGCTGCTTAGACGTTGGCACAGCAGCCGCTTTTGGGGATTCGAAGTAGCGCTCAAACGCTTCCTCCCAGGCCAGTTGAGAAGCCACAGCGGAAGGGACCTCCGGCTCCGGCTTGTCGTTCCGTGGCGTCTCCTGGTCGGCCAAGCCGCTGCACGGAAAGCGGGCGGCGAGCTTCTGCTTTCCGCAATGCTAGCTTATGACAGAAGGACAAACTCAGGGTCAAGCAACGACAAGGGTAAACTTCTTAGAACATCGGTTGCGAAGATTGTGGAGCGTTGTTTATGGATGCGCCCCATGCGACTCGTTATCTGCGTCGTCCTGACAAGGGACGCTTCTCCAGGCGCGATTGCGCGGAAGCCGTCTTGGAGTGCCCCCAACAACCTTTCTCTGTGTTTCTTCAGTCACCCTTCACCGGCATCCCCGGGAAAGGTTTTCGGGACGAAGGCAACACAAGTGCTCAGTATCCGGGCGGTCCTGGGCTACCCCGCTGTGAGAGGGCCCAAAGCACAAGCTATGCTTCTCTGAAGAACCGACACCCGACACCCAGAGTGGAGTAGTGCAGTCCGTGATCCTACCACATCTAGGTCTTATAAGCGAGCTTACTTGACTCTTCAGTGTTACCCTCTAAAGTTCTGCTGAGAAGCCTTCAACTGGACTTGCAAAAGAAACCACGCTCGATGTCAGCCAGCCCAGCTCACCTCCTGCCGTCGACCTAATGTTCCTCCTCTTCGCCCGACGCAACGCCGACGTCCTCAACTTTCTCGCCAGGCTGCAACCGTAGGATAGAGGAATGTTTCCAAGCCTTCAGATTAGCCGTTTCTCACCGCTGTTCGCAGATACAACTGGAATATGGATAGGAACATATGCAGCAGCCTCGGCAACCGGCGCTCTCTTCTTCCAGCCGCAATTCTGCTGACCTATGCTGGAGCTCTCAGAATTCAACCCACCTGAGGTGCGCCATCCTTGGGCAAATTCGAGCTTGTAGCTCCTTTTGCTGCGCGGAACGCGGGGGCGACGTTGAGCTTGAGCAGCTTCTTGGTGTCCTCGCGCCTGCTGCAAAATTCTCAGAACCTTGAGAACGTACGTTGCATGAAATAGGTTTAGGTGAGAAATACAGCTTGCCGTGACGAGTCCGATTTTCAATCAAGGGCTTCGCATTTAGTTTAAATCTTACTCCAAGACGGGTAATCATTGAAAACGTGAGTGCTTTTGAGCTTCCAGCCGAAGACCCTTTCTGCTGAACGGCCAGATGAACAGCAAGCCCACTATGTCACGACCCCCGTAGTCCAGAAGAACGTTACAGCGGCAGGCTCTAGCTAACCGCATTCCCAACGGCGACAGATGAGAAGACAGGGACATTGGCATTTGAGGCGCAGCTGTCGACAAACGTGCAAAACTCCAAGAACCTCTGAGGAAGTTGTTCGTTGAAGTCACTTACTCTTCATCCTTGCGAAGTGTGCCCTTCTCCAACTCTTCCGGAAGGTCGCTCCGAACATCAGCCTCTACTTTGTCTGGTAGATGAACCTGCAGCGTTAAATGCTTTCAGTACTGATGTTGGCTGGACGCCTCGAACGTCAAGCCAGTACTAAATCCTACTGAGAATGGTGGCGTGTTCCCGCTGTATTTACCCGTCCGACAATGTGCACACTTGGAGTGAGTTCGACGTGTCAAAAGAGAGGTGATCAAGATCCCGGAAAGAGTACTGAGCGAACGTATCCGCACGGCCAAACGAGACAATAAACGATCATGTTCGACGCCTTGTCCCGCTTTTCTGGGCGTATGGAGACAATATCTCGGAGCAGCTGATCCCGCAGGACGTCCGAAAGTGGCAAATTGTAGGGAATCTTGATGGCCGGCATTTCTGCTAATCCACGCTATCATCACTCACGTTCGACACAAACGGCGCCGACACAGTGGGGCGCACCTTCTTGTCGTCCGCTGCAAATGGTCCCACGTCGGATTGGCTGCCCACCGGGAAGACGCTGTCGGCACCGTCCGACGGTGCGGCGGTGGTGGAGATGAGGGCGCTGGACAGTTCGACGTTCTTGCAGTGCTCACCGGTTTGCTGCTGGCCGTTGGGGTTGATCTGAACCAGCAGCAAAGGTGCTACTTGTGAGTGGCTAGGAATCCCTTGAACAAGATATCAACGGACAATTGTCACGCATTGACTTGATGGGGTCTCCATCGAATTAGCTGACATCGCACTTTCGAGCAAGACATTGAAAGGTGCATTCATCCGGCCTTCTTTATGCTCATACTTTGCTCGAACTCCCGAGAATGAGGGCAGGCAAGTCAACCTGTTCGACGACGATCTAGCAAAGTAACGCCGAATCATCTTGTGTCAAAATGGGCCAGCATGTTGCTCCTCTAGCTTTGCAGAGTTACTGTGGAACCGAGGTTGTCATGATCGCCAGGGCGAACCTTGACATTAAGTCCCCCTGCAAACAGCCATTTTCTAAACCAACTGCTCAGTACAAGGCCGACGCGAGTTTCAATAAGCTGCAGCCCGCACCTGTTTCATGACTGTGGTGGTGCTGCTGATTGTGAACCCGACCTTTTTGTTGTCCAGGTTGTTGGGCGCCAGGGAAGAGGTTAAGCTGTTGACCACGGCCGGTGCATTGGGCTGGGGCTCCGTCACGTCCAGACTGCAGGAACCGGAAAAACGTTTGAGGCAGTCGGAGCCCTGGGAAAGACGATGACTTCGACTGCAACGATTAACCGCTTATTTATTGGGTTCAGATCAACGGGTATTCTTCCAAACGATTCAAGTGCGATAGAGGCACAAAGTGTTTGCCTCATTCACTCAAAATACTACACCGTGAAAGAGGCACTCCGACGATCCACCAGGTCCGACAGAAACTGGGAATCTCTCCAAGCTCGTAGAACGTCTGTCTCTCAACGGACTTTGTTACCCCGTCTCTGAACATTGAAAGAAGCGGTTCTCTTAGGCAAGACTCTAGCACGAGCGACGGCTTCGATCTTCTCATACGATGCTGGACACAGTACGGCATCACTCACGTGATCTGCTTCTCGTTCGCCGCGCCATGCTGCTGCTTCTCCACAACGTCGAGGCACACATCCGGCCGCCCGTCGCCTTTCACAACCACGTCAAGCTGCATTTCAGCCGGCGTCCGAATCAGAGGCGTCAAGGAGGCAAATCAAGCCGAAGTATGCGCACGGATTGGGAAGAGGCCGCCCAACATGAGATTCAGTTCCACCCGACAATCGAGATTATGTGCAGACGAGAGAAGCGAAAATACAGAACAAGAAGAAAGGGGCGAGCCCGCGGTCACGATAAAGTGGTAAGGGACAGCTTGCTGTAAATGGAAACCAGTCCCAAGCGCGCACCGCTGGTGGAAGCAGACAGAATCTCCTGACCAAAAGGCAACGGCGAAGGATCTTGACTCCAAATGAGTCGCCACGTCGTCTCTTTCAAAAGTTCCAGTGTCGCCAGATGCGTTCAGGAAGTGTAGACTGCAGACTACAAGTGTAGATTTGCTGGACGAGACAATTCCGCCGATTCTCGCACACATGATCGGCACTCCTCAGCTAGATCAGCCAAGCCTTTCCGCAATCCACCCGCTCAAAGTTATAAGCTTGTCAACAACCTTTGGAACACTTCGAGCTCACCTGCGCAGATTCTGGAAGCGCTCCATTTCCGCCAGCTGGCACGATCAGCTTCTCGTCCTCAGCGCTTCCCTCCACGTCATCGACAATCTCGCCGTCCTCTACCTCGTCCATCTCGCCCAGCGGGCCGCCAGTCTCTCCCTTCCACCGATCCCCTTTGAGGCCCGACGCCCCACTGGCCCCACAGTGCAGCCCCTTTGCGCCGGCTGCAATCGTCTTCTGGCCCAGCCCGTTCGCTTCCGGGTCGTTGAATCGGCTGAGGGGACTCGGCTTCACCGCCAGTTGTGCTCCGATTTCAGCATCCAACTCCCTGGCACCGTGCTTCAGCGAAGCCTCTCCTCCTCGAGACCTGTCGGCGAACAATCCGAAACCGCGACCGGAAGCATCCTCAAAGTCGAGGCGTGTCACGAGCGGAGCGGTACCTCCCAACTGTTCGTGGACCAGTGTCCGGCGCCAAGGGGTTAAGCTCCTCATGTAGGTCTCCGGGAGAGGCGCCAGGTGGGTCGGAGGGAAGGGGACTTGTTCCAGTAGCATGTTCCCAGCGTCTCCCGTGAGCATGAGGGCAGACGTACCGCGACCCGTGGCTGCGTTGGGGTACAGCAACTGAGGGGGGCGAGGGGGGAGGCCCAGAGGGAAGATGGGGCTGTTGCGGAGGGGGCTGCTGTTGAAGGGGCCCTCCCGAGGCAGTCGAGCTTCTGTAGACAGGCCGAGAGGGGCGCCCACCTGCAAGGAAAGACGGACTGTTCAGAAAGTTGCTGCGCAGTGGCAAGACTTGACGACTCCATTTGGCTGACAGTTGGCGTAAAGATGATCTTAAGCCAGCAAGGCAACAGAATGGGCGTTGCAACCGTGGAACCCGCGGCTGACTTCGAAATACACAAACATTTCCTTTATGTGTTCGGTCTCAAATGTATATCCTTCTGGTTTCAGAACACGAAAGGAAGCCGCACCAGGGGAACAGACTTTTTAGATCTGTCGAGCACCCGGGGCTTTTAGGTAGCTGGAGGCACCATTCACATGTTGACCTGTCTCACAGCGGCTGGAACTAGAGAAAGCCGGCTCATTGCGTGCGTCGACCTCTTGTGATCAAAAATCTCCGCTGGACCATTCATGATTGGCCGTTCAAGGGGGCAAACTGTCTGCAAAAAGGCCTATCCAGACATGCTGGGATCTCCAGCGGCATGGTTAGAAAAGAAGGGACGGAAAGGTCGGACAATCCCAAAGACTATTTCTTCCAGGGTCGACCTACCTGGAACATGTCCGCCTGCCTCAAACCCCCGCTCGTGGCTTGGCGCGCTTGGCGGAAGTGGCCGGGGGAGGTGACGTCCTTGGCAGCCAGGCCAGCCAGAGCTCCAAGGCTCTTTCCCGTGCTGCCAGCAGACGGCACCCGATCAGCAGACAGGCCAGGAGCCGTGGACGACGGGCTGGCTACGGAGCGGCCGAGGACCTGTGACAGGAGAAAGGAGACAGTATGTCAAATGTGCGCAAGCTCAGAAATGTGACGTGTATGCCTGACGAAACCTTGTCATCTTCGGAGCAGACTGTGCGCCCTTGAAGTGTGGGCACGTGGTCAGAACAGACACCAAACCTTTTCCTGTTCTTTTGTAAAAGGTTCGGTTATGAAGCTGAAGAGTAGGCATCTGGCAAGCGCTTGCTCCGAAACGACTCTTTAAGTCACGATGCTCAAGAAGTATGAGCATCGCAGGCAACGCAAGCACTGATAAATCTACGAAGTCTTCCATCCTGCCTGAGAAAGCTGGCCTTTGGGCAACCCAAGGGAATCTCTCACACCTCTTGCCACCTGTCGTAGTACACAAAGTGGACGTCTCACCTGCTTCTTCTTCTCCAGCTCAGCGGCCTTGAACTCGTCGGTGAACCTCTTCCGGCTCAGCAGTGCTGCGACGTGCTCTGCTTGCGCCCGTCTCGCCGCCTCCCCGTCGGCCTCCTCGTCGTCTAGCAGGAGGTGCAGCTCGTGGTACTTGCGCCGCTCGTCGGCCTTGGCAGCGATCATGCACTCCAGCGCCACCTTGGTGGGGGAGTCTGCACCCTCCTTGACCTGTGCCACGTGTTCTGTCTGGTTCTCAGGAGCGAGGTTGGCGGGGTGCTCAGCAAAGACAGCGCGTGCTGGAGAGCTTCTTCCCACCCCGCCCCTCTCCTTGCTGTGGTTGCTGTTGGTTATGTCAGGAGCATTCTCGTTAAAGTAGCGTGCCTGCAGAGTTGGATGGAAACTGATGTTGCAAGGACAGCTGTCAAACGCATGGACAAGCGAAGCGTATCTGTACGTTGTGCGCCTGGTCACAAAGAAAAGCAGCCAATAACTTTCTAGGCTACTCCCCAGACACTTCACTCTTGATACTGGCTAAAAGTTGCGCTTCAAAATCTTGAGTTGCCCTTGTGTATTCAATCGTGTTCACTCCCTACCAAAAGCCCTGTGCTATTGATTGCTTAGATCATCCCAGCGATGGGGCTGAGATGAAGGACACTAGGTTAGCCAATGAGATTCTGCATTGAAGCCTCATAAAATGGGTGGAGAAGATGCAGGAGCTTCCGCTACAACTTGAAAGCCTCTCTGCAAAATGTTGCTAACCAATTGCTGTTGCGCATCTGCTCAAGAAGGTGCGGTTCTCGCAAGATCTGTAACATTTCCGCTTTATAGAAGTAGACCACTAAACCAAGGTGCCACCTAGTACGATTTGAGGAAACCCAGTCCCATTATGCATGCAAGCAGACAGTCTATCTGTACCTATCAAGAATGCCAGTACTGAAAAAGCACAGAATGCCTGGCCCTCTCACCTGCATGTCCCTCCTCGCACGCTTGATGGGAAGCGACGAGTCGTCATCACTACCCTCAGCTTCGTTCGCGGCAGTTGTCTCATGTGACCATGCAGGCTTGCTGCTAATCCTGCAAATACAAAGTGACCTATCAAGAACAACACAACAGAGGGCTATGACCACATTGTTCTTCTGCAGCTTCGATCACTCTAAAAGTGAAAGAGCATCAAACAGGTCCTCATTTGCCAGCTGTGCCGAGAAGAAGTCAGACGCCATATTTGATAGCAAACCCAGCCCAGCCTTTTCAGATCAAGAGCTTTGGAACGCACAAAATATCTTTCGAAAGGATAACCTCGATCGGCTTGCACATTCGCATTTAAAACCTTGAGTAAAACAGGCAGTGTCAGCAACCAATGTACAATGGATGAGAAAGTTTGGCACATACCCTGAGCCTCGAGATCCAGCTCCTCTCGCCGCCTCTGAGTGGCCTCTGTTGGATGGAGAGAGCCCGTTTCGGTGACTCTTCATGGCGCTGCCTGAGGAGACACTGCAGAAAGAGGATCATCTGATTAGTGCAGATTAAGGGGAAACAAAGTACCTTTCTTTGCCTTTGATTCAAGAAAACTCGTCATATCTCTCAACTATTAAGGATACGGAGTTCTGCAACAATGCGCGCGGTTATAATTCCTTGAGCAATCAGAGAGATGGACGCTGTCATCCATCAGGGTGACGTTGGTTCTGCGACGTACCCATCCTTGTCTGCGTCGTAGTGATAGTGCTTCACAGTGAAATAGCCCCTCGCACTTTCCCCGCTGATGTTCTGAGAATGGGATGTTCTGGCCATCTCTCGACTCCTCTTCCTGTTTTCGGCGTGCTTTTTGGCGATCTGGCACCAGGAAAGAAGGAACACCAGGGGCTCAGTTCAGCTTCAGGAATTCATAAAGCTCAGTTCAGCAAGCCTTTCACTTAGCTCAACAATGGCAAGGGGACAATTCTTTACACATTCACCAATAAGGCAATTCTGGCAGAATTCCATACTTGCGCCTGAGGAATCCTGTGCCAGTACCAGACTGCACTTCACAGCAGCCACTGGACTCCACAATGCTGCTCTCTGCAGACTCAGTAGTCCTCTTTCCTGAGATTATACATTCTGACGTTTCTTTCCAGTTGGTATTGCTCAGATTTGGAACAAGGTGCAAAGTTGAGACCTCAAAGTGGCGGCTAAGGTCCAGCTGATCCGAACATAAACGGCCATCAACTCACTGCCTGCTTCTGTGCAGTCTCTGCCTCGATTGCATCCAGGATGCGGCTCGCTGCCCAATCCTCTGCCTGTGGTAAACCTCTGCCCCTCAACCCGATCAAGGCATACTTGAAGTACTCTTTGGTATTGGAGCGGGAGAACTCAAACGGCTTATCAGCGCAGAATGACTCAAGACTGTCTATTGAGTACACGAAGTCAGGTTTCTGTAGGAGATCGTCTGCTGCCTTCTCAATCTTTGCACGCAAAATGGCCGCAGCTGCATCGTTTGCCAATGCAGGATCCATGTCAGGAAAGAACGCAGGATTGGGGCAGCATTGAGGCCGTGGAACTTTGAAGGCATCAACATCTAGCTAGGAGTTTCTGGCCCTGCATTGCGGAATTCAGAATAGGTAATCTCTCTAGTACGGTACTAGTACTAGTAGTACTAGCTAGATGCTCATCAATGCAATCCATTGCAATGCAAATTCAATGCAAGGCTGCCTGAATCAGCTAGATTGCAATTCGAGTCGCTGACATCACTAGACTTGTCGACTGCATGAACCCTCTGATTCTGACGGAAACGTTTGCGCCGTCAGATGCAGCTCTTCAGCATCTAAGCCGTTGAATCAGCAGTGGCAACATCCAATTCACGTGCTGTGATTGGAATCTATGGTCACGTGTCCAGTCTGGTGTACCATTCTCATTGGTTCTCGCTTGCCACGTGTTTATACGTGGCTAGGTGGTCGCGTGACTGTGGAACAGTCTGGCAGACTTCGACTTCAGCAGCTTCAAAATTCAGACTCGGGGAGTCGGAATACGGTACCTATCCTATAGCCTTATTATGGTGACACAACGGATGGAAGGAGAACGCGGACTGCAGTTTGCAGTCCGAGACCCCCACACCGGTTGGTACTGTTCAGTTTGCGCGCGCAAGATTGATGCAAGGCTAGCTGGCCACGCGCGCGACCTAGCATGCCCATAACGTAACTCAAAGCCTGCTGCTGACCGACCAGCCCGACTTCCACCGAGCGCTCGAATGCAGTCATTTAGCCCTGGCACCATGCTCCCAGTTGCCGAACAAACGACCCGGTGACCCGTAATGTACGGTAACCAGCTTAAATTGACTTGCGGGTGCAGGGTACCAACCGGTGTGGGGGTCCAGAAAGGAAAACTGGAGTCCACGTTCTCCTTCCATGCGTTCTGACATATTCTGACTCCAGCCTACGGGTTTTTGAACAAAATTTGAAGTTCGTTTTCAAGCTCTCAGATTCTCTCTTTTGGCACCCACCACAACATGGGCGCCCTTACTGGGTGCTCATGATTTTGGGCCTCGGCCTATGCTCTAGGGAACTGTCCCTCTGTGGGGCTCTGGGCAAGCACCTATATATGTCATGTAGGTGGTATGCTCTAAAAGGGCTTTGCCCCACTTTGAGACATTGTCTCTTCTCCGGGGCCAAAAGACCTGAAAGACTTCTGCTTTGTATGTTGCCTTCGTTTGACTGAGTTGGTTTTTGCGGATCTTCTTGGAACTCCTCTTGTTGCTTCATTGGTCCTTTGCATTTGCATTTCCGATGCTTTTCTGCTTGAGGATGTCAAGAGAGTGTTTGTTCACAAGGTTTGCAGACCTGAGGATTTTTTGCGGCGGCGCAACAGAAATTGAATTAGGGATTTTGCAAGTGCATCCAACTTCTCACTTTCAACAACAGTCTAAACATCCAAGATTCTTATGCTCAGCGTCACCCAAGAAGAAAGAAGATCTGGTGTGTGTTGTGTTTCTTCTGACTTTCGCCAGAGTTTTTGTCTCCTCATCAACATGGGCAACCCTTGGGTGCTCATGATTTGGGCCTTCGGCCAATTGCTCTAGGGAACCGTCCCTCTTTAGGACTCTGGGCAAGCACCTATATACGTCATGTAGGTGGTATGCTCTAAAGGGGCTTTGCCCCACTTCGAGACATTGTCTCCACTGCTGAGCCAAACAACTTCTGCTTTGTATGTTGCCTCTCCTAATCTTCCCAACCTGCTTCGAGTCAATTCACGATTTGATGCTTCATTGCTCGTTTTGCATCTGCCTTTCTGATGCAGTCCTGCTCCAAAATGTCATGTCCAAGATGTCACGAGTGTATTTGTTCACAAAACCGGCATCCTGGCTGATCCTTGCGCTTAAGAAAATGAGAGCTGGTGGATGTCGGAAGAGTATCCAATTTTGTATGTTGTCTATGTTTTTCATCAATGTCTCCTGGAAGTGGTGTACACCTTGCTTTTTCCACGGCAGTCATTGTGGCCTTGTGAATCGCATCCAGTGTGCTTATCCAGGTTACAAGAGGATTAAGAATTTGTGCAAACAGTGAAGCCTCAGGCAAGACAGGCTATCGTAGCTTGGAACAAGTAGTGCTGTTAGGCAATCAAGCAAGCAAAGAGCTTCAGGCTCACAAAGTCGCATCCAGTGTGCTTATCCAGGTTACAAGAGGATTAAGAATTTGTGCAAACAGTGAAGCCTCAGGCAAGACAGGCTATCGTAGCTTGGATTAAGTAGTGCTGTTAGGCAATCAAGCAAGCAAAGAGCTTCAGGCTCACAAAGATGCAACAATCTAAAGAAGACGGTCCCAGGTCCACGAGGATGCCCAATCGAAGAAGGTTAGGCGCCTCACTTTTGTTGCTTCGCCGAATTTTCTCTGTGTCCTCACTATGCAGGTTACCCCGGGGTCTCCATGGTTTTGGGTCTATGCCTTTTGCTGCCACAACGGTTTGTTTCCTGTTGAGGCTCAGAGTGTGCATACCCTCATGCATTTTCTATGCCTTGTGCTCTATTGGGGCTTTGCCAATCTACAACCTAGGTCCGAGACGAGGTTTTTGGGAACCTAGAAGAACTCTACAGGTTTTGTTAACTTGGGACATGTCTCTTCCTTCCAACTTTGGGCACTGACGACAAGGCAAAAAATGGCAAGAGAAATAGGTGTTTGTTCAGAGGTTCACTATATCATGCCCTCGTTCGCCATCTGCTGTTCAGATGGTTAATTGCACCACTGATCTTGCTCTTGGGTTGAGTTCCACCTTTGCTGCTTTGGTGCGAGCAGCGCCCAAATGATGCATTGGCTTGGTGGCGCCAAAGGGCAGTGTGATGGCCTTGGTTGGCAAGCAATCAAAGTGTGTCTGAATGGATCTTGTTCAATGAACTTCAGAAGTCTCCACTTTTGGTGCTTGGCTGCTTTAGATAGTCCCTTGTTCTTGCTCTTTGTCATGAAATGGTTCTTCTTGTATCGTTGCAAGCTTCCGATCATCTCTGTTTCAGAGTGACTTGAACATGTCTCTTAAGCAGCTGCGTCCTTGTCTTGGAGCCTGGATAAGCGGGCAATTGTGTGAGTGCGAACAGAGCAGGCGGCCATCGCGAAGAAGGGAATGGGCAAAGAGGCGCTGACGGCCACGGTGCTCGGTGTAGTTTACCCTATCTTCTAACCTGCTTGCTTGATCTTTCAAACGACGAATCTCCGATGTGGAGCAGCTTTTCCACTTTGTGTGCCTGTCTCTGGGCTGAAGCCGCCGCCATTGACAAGCGAATGCAGCGTCTTATAGAAGTTTCGCCTTCTTGCAGAGTAATTGGCGTCTTGTTCCTATAACTAATGATGGGACGACTTGCTTCCGCACCGTCTCTCATGTTCTCATTAGTCAAGCTTGAGCTTCTCTTTCTACGTTCCCGGGCTTGCGTTTCGGCCAATGCACGGATGCCCTTAGCGGAGGGGGCTTCGTTTCAAAGCGCCTGCATCCAGTTGGAGCCGCTTTGCAGAATGTAATCGAGCCCTCCATGCAGCAGGTGAGAGCACCATGTAGATTGTGTAACGTTTTCTAGACACGTGTTTGAACGGGCTTGAGCCTTGGTTGTCAACTGAACGCTCGAAAAGTACGTCTTTTTCCATTCAAATGAAACTCTGCCAGATAATTAGGCCTGGTCAATCTTAAGATCTTTGAACGGTATTCCAATGTGCTTTGGACGTGGCCCGGCTTAGAATTGTGCAGCGCAGCGCTGCAACCTCAAATGTCCGCGTTAGGACTGCTTCGTTATTACGTGCCAGCCTTACCGTGCTCACTCTTTTCTTCATGTGTAGCAGGCAGTACATTTGCCCTCTGGCCAAAGGCTGACGGGCCCACCCTGACAAGAAGCGACTGTCGTTGCTGCCTCTTGCGCCCGTTCGTTTGTCAACTCTAGCCCATCAATCATGCCATTCGCAAGCTTGTAAGGGATTTTTAAGAACGAAGCATCGATGAGTTCGATTCGATTGGGCTGAGCTTCGCCATGTGCACCATTGAAAACAGGTAGAACGTGTCGTCGTCACGCTCTCTTGAGTGTTCGAAGACAGGGTTGTATGCATGAGCCCGTGGGTTGCTCGCTGACGCATCTCGTGTATGGTCCTCCAGCGACGCTCATGTGTTTTTCCCTTCCTCGTGAGCTTTACATCTTTGTGATGTTCCCTAAATTCACGACCCTCTTTCGAAGATGGTGCACCAGCTGTACCTACGTGGATCCTAGTAAACTTGCATGTCAGCAAGCAGCAAGTTTTCGCCCGTTATTGCCAAAGTGTCGATCGCTGGCCCGGCATATTGGTTCCTTTTGAAATTGCGTCCGCGTCTGGACTAACTGACTTCGCGATCGCGCGGCCGGCATCGATCATGCACATCGCAAGCGGCACCCGCGCCGTGCTGTTTGCCATGCACATGGTTCAATTGAATTGTTTATGCACCTTACCCAATTCACATAGGCCCGGGGTGACATAGAAAAGTGAACTTTTGATGGAACATGCATTCTTGGCATGCGTCTCTCGGTGAGTTTGATCCGACGCGTGCATGAGCTGTTCATGTGTACGCGTGGGCGGCCTCCGCGCATAGCCCATGGCTTATATAACATGTTCAGTACCGAAGTCACATGTGCTGTTTCACGGCACCATGACAGTCCGACGTTATGATTGCAGTGCAAGGTGACGATTTTCCTGGTTGTCTAGTCTGCCCTGTGTTCTGATGTCATCGTACATGCACTGAGCAACGACGACGTATACAACTTCGTGCACTGGTCGGATGCTGATCTTGATTGCAGCTAGCATGCAAATTCTTTGCGATAGTGCAGGTTCACGGACAACCAGAGTCTACCAAGCATAACGGAAATTCGATGTGAGATAACCAGCACATGCATCATTGTGTAACCAAGCAGCTATCGCCGGCTCCATTGACTTTGTCACTGTGGACGTGTATGGAATCCATTCGAGCCGCCGTATGTCACAGTCTTGCACACCAAAGGAGCATTTAGGGAAGTTGTCATCCTACGTGGTCAGAAGGTGTTGTGGGTTGAGCGAGCAGGCTGCACTACAACAACCACACGTGTTCCTATTTACTCAACGACTACGTACGTGCTCACTGGCCGGAGGCCAACGCTAAACCTGAACAACTAAAACGATCTGAAAGGCAATCGTTTTTCTGCAACAAATTACATGAAATCGGCTCATCACGTGGGTCTTACGACCCTCTAACTTGCACAGAGTCAGCTTCGATTCGCCTGTACCCTAGACCCACTGCTGCAGACACCCTTCTCCATACCCTGACCGAAAGCCCTCGCAAAACTGCGACAGCAAGGAGAAGTGCCGTCCAAAAGAGGCGGGCCCTTGCGGCAAGTGCCTGGGGCGGTTTTGAAGCAATGAGCTTTAAGAGCAGCCACGCACGTTTGAGCAGCACTCGCCGCTCCGTTTCCTTTGTGACTGCCCTTTCAGTCCGCCTACTTGAAGGCGAGTACACGACGAACGTGGCCAGACCTGTTGTCAATATCGGATCGCTGATAGCCACGATCTGGCTGACAGTAGCTGCCGGAGAGAAGGCTGCACTTCGGGTGGGACTGCAGTGCGTCTGTGACCCTGAGAGGGTTTCACTTGATGATACCCGCAGATGTGTGTCGGTGGGAGCTTCGAACAGCGTCCGATCGATGGCGTCTGCGGCGGCGGCTGCGAGAACCGCTCGGACAGGAGCTGCTGACGCGGAGGAGAAGCCGGCAGCAAAACGAACGAGGTCCTGCAAGAACAAGCCCTGTTCCTTAAGAGGAATCGTGACTACGACAAATCTCCACATATTTTTCAGCCTCTCATACGGATGTTGTTCGATCCCAGGGCACGGGAATGAGAGCTATCTCATTGTTTGAGAACAGCGTGAGGTACTCAAGGACAGTCGTCTCTTCTTCGAGTCAAAAGAAGCAAGGGCATGGAGCAACACGCAAAGAAGGTCACCGGATTGTCTCGGATTGAGAGTACCTGAAGCTTCGTTAAGTCGAGCTTTGAATGCGCACTCACAAAACAAAGCATTTGAGTTCCTCTTTTTCTTGCACCAAGACAAACGGCCCCAAGCAAGGTCCTCCGGAAAGGGGACACAAAAGGTGGTGACGAAAAGGACCTAAGAGAACGTCGATGTGAGGAGATGACGGCTCACATTCAAGGGCAGCGATGCTAGAATGCACGACGGTCCACGGGTATTGCTCACCATTCCGAGGAGAACTCGCCGCACCCCTGCGCCGCTGCTGCCAAGGATGATGCCAGCGGCTCGAGAGGCACGCTCTTGATGGTCGCCAGCAGCGCCAGTACTCGCCACCAGCTTTGTCGGTTCTACGCACGTGGTTTGCCGAAATTAGCAATCGAGCGAGGGACGAAAACACGAGGGAAGACATTCAAAATGCAGAGGGCAACTGGAAGAATGACACATTTAGCCAGGTGCGTGCCTCTTCATCGAACCAAGCCAGTTGCAGTGGACATGCAGATGCACGCAGATCATGCTACTTAGCAAGCAACAAGCTGCCACCCAATGAAAAGGCAGGTTAGCGTTTCCTTCTGCGTACCTGTTCCAGAGGTCCCTGCCGCGAGCGCCGCAACCCTGTCCCAGCGGACGCCCCCCTGGCCGTCCGTGAGGAGCGTCCGCAAAACGCGCCGGGTCGTGGGCGTGTTCTCGGTGAGCAGCCGCCGGACCACGTGGGGGTATGCGCTGGCAAAGACTTTGAAGGACGGGTCAACCGTCAGGCCGATGCCCTCCAGGGAGGCCAGGTTACGCAGCACGAGCGTGAAGTAGGGGGGGAGCTTGAAGCGGAAGCGCAGCGCGATAGCCCACAGCTTGGAGGCCACCTGCAGGGGAAGTGACGGTTGGGGGACGGGTGAGCGTTTGCTTGATCTGGAGCGCGCAGTGTGCTCGTCTAACCTGGACCCAGAGGCTGAAATGACAACCGTAGCGGACTCACAAGGGGGTGTACTGAGAAAGGTCTTCAAGGATTACTTTCTCAACTGCTGTCGGGTTTTGTAAGCTCTCTTCTCTGTACACATCGTGCTGTAGTCGTTCTTCAACACCAACGACAGAGTGTTCCTTGGGACGCATGCAAAGCAGAATGTGCTATGAAGAGCAGGCTGGGACTCTCCCCTCACGACATTGCGAGTCTTGCCTAGCTTCCAACCGTTGCACGCTGTCGCATACCTGTCCAAACCTGACACGTGGCACCCCACTTCCCGTGATCAGCGGCTGCGCGCCCCCTGTAAACGCTGCCGCCAGCGCCCTGGCGACTTTCCCCCGGTCGTTGGACGGCTTCAGGACGTCCAGCGCGTCCAGATCGTCCGTCAGCGCCGCCCACTCCGCGTTCACCAGGTGCGCAATCGCCGCCAGCATGGCAGCGCGGTGCTGAGGCATGATGCGCGTTATCAGACCGAAGTCGAGGTATCTGCGAAAAGGCAAGGGTGACGTTTCGCTTCAATTCAGAGAGCATGACATTCTAAGGCGGACGAAGGTTGAGTTTGTGCAACAGAAAGCCAACGTTGGATCATAGTGAGTATACAACCCCGACAGGAATGCCTGAGCACCAGAAGCGCAGACTTTCTGAGGACGTAGAAGAGACGTCGCCTTCGATCTTGCTGTTTCCGTACCAGCTTCTATCCGGGCGACCGATTATGAAGCAAGAAGCTTCAACAGAAGCCCTGACCGTTGCTCCCGCTTGTAGGAAACTGCTCCCAACTGCAGAACGTGCCGGGAACCAGGGCAGAAAGCTCGTCTGTTCCAACTCACAGAAACATGCTGCCTTACAGCAACAGGCTAAGACAAGGTGTCAGCGGGCCAAGGAGCGCTCACACTAGTTTGCCATCTGCCTGGAGGAGCAGGTTCCCGGGATGTGGATCCGAGTGCATGACCCCCGTCTCAAGGAGCTGCACCAGCGACGACTCGATACCCATTGACACCTGCGCGGGTCGCCGAAACAGCTCAGCAAAAGCTCACCACTTCGCCTTCTATGACCTTTTCCCCCTGGCATCGAGGTGCAACTAGATTCTCGATGGTTCCACCAATTCTCGTTGGATAGATGCTGTGACAAAGCATTTGCATTTCCTTCCCTCCCTTTAACGTGGCACGCGACCATCTCAACAGTTTGCGTCGCGCAATGACAACACCGGGGCCACAGATACAATTGCATCATGCCAAATGGAAGCGGATACCCACCAGTGAGAGCAGCTTAGTTTGCGCTTCGGACGACCCTGCGGACAAGCTCCGGGCGTCCGCTGCTGCCAGGAGGTCCACCGGACGGTCTCCCTCGATCCACTCCATGGTCAACACGCGCCGCGCTGTGAAGTCGTGCAGCACGCGAGGGACAGCCACGAACGGGAGGTGGCGCTGCGAAGTCTGTGGTGAGGGGCGGGGAAAGATCAGCGACCCGTGACACAGAAAGGGACTTGACTGATTGTCCGGAAACGCGGACCACGAGGATTCGTCTCATCACAACGATAACCAAGAGAGCGTTGCATAGACGTCCGCCCTCGCTAAGCTCGCACAGAAAGAAAGCCAACGAAGTATGTCCCTGACCATCTCTCAGGAAAGGAGATCACCAGACCCTCGCAGAACCAGCTGAAAGCAAGATTCAAGGGCCGCGAAGCCCTCACCGCAAACAGTTCGGCGTTGGCCGCCTCCGCCCGGTAGTCGAGCTCCCCGTAGAGGCCGCATCCGAGCTCGTCCGCCAGCAGCCGCAGGTCCGAATTGATGCTGGCCACCTTGCGGACGCCCTGGAGCTGCACGTGCCACGTGGCAAAGTTGGGACGGTTGGCACATTTGAAGAGGAGTTATGGAGCCCATAATGTTTGACATTAAATTTAACAGCCAAGCTTTCTAAGTTGCGATCGAGAAAGTGATCTTAGCGCTTCACTCCTCAGCGTCCGACGCTGCTTGCACTGGCCGGGTGATGACGTGGCATACGTGCTTTCTTGACTTATCTGTTTCTTTGATGCTGAAGGTTAACGCCAAGGTCCCGACGTTTTCTTTACTTTCGCAACTGCACGGTACACGCTTGGTGCGAAGCAAAAGGGCAGATTGAATGATCGGAACGTTCCTAAAAGGCGTTGTTCAGACAGAAAATAAGTCACCCTGAACAACGGCAATCGACCCCGACAACACAAAATGGAGGCTTACCAGAGAACGCAATATGTGGATGTCCAGAGCGACCGAGCGGAGCACGCCCGGCCGCTGCACCTTGACCGCCACAGCCTCGCCAGCTTTGGTGCGGCCCTTGTACACCTGGCAAGCGGGAATAAGATTAGCCCACAAGTAGCACCCGCTTCTGGTTGTTTCAGTTTCTATGCCGACCTTACCAGACTTTTGACATGAAGACTTCTTCCATGAAGGGCAGTGCGATCCACGAAGTATGACTCTCTTCAAAAAAATTCCCCAGTTGATCTTCCGACATCTCTTGCTGCCTAGTAAAGAATCGCAGAAGCAGAACACAACCGGCGGTTCCAAAGCGTCTCTACTCAAGTCACACGTTTGGCTGTCACTATCACAAATGCGTTGAAGAGGGCTGCTGCCCACCTGTCCAAACGACGCCGCCGCGACGGGTTCGTCTGACAGCTCCGCGAAGAGGTCCGCTAGGGGGCGGCCTAGCTCCCGTTCGATGACGGCCATGGCCGCGGAGCTGCTGAAGGGCGGCAGTCGGTCCTGCAGCTCCGCTAGCACCTGCAAACGCAAATGTGCCTCAGTTTTGTACTCCCCTATCGTCACATGTCTGGTTTTCTTCCAGATCCAGGTCCTTGTTGGGTCGTCCCGGGTTCTGTTCACGTTCAAGTAGACGACCAAAGAAAGCGGGTCAGAAAAACCGCAGACAAAGCGCCGCAGTTAAGAAAAGCAAATGCAGTCGATCGTCTGCCATGCGAAGCACGATCGGCAGATGATTATAATCTACGCATAAGGTACATTTATTACTTGAAGGAAAAATCAAGAAGCAGAGAAAAGAAATAACCCGATAGGGTCTTTCGGACGTACGGCTGCCGTCTCTTCGCCCACAACGTCCGGCCGTGCGGACAGAGACTGCGCAGCCTTGATGAACGTCGGGCCGAGGCCGACCAGGGCCGTTTTCAGCCGCAGCGCAGACTGCCGCACCGCAGCGCGGCGTTCGGACCCGTCGGGCCGTCCGAAAGCGTCCGAAGCGTCGCGCGTTTTGGCGAGGTCGACCAGGGAAGGGACGCCCGCTGCCACGGTCGCTGCCGCGATCTGCAAGACACGGGCAAGAACTTCGTGAGGAGGACGCCTCTTGTGCCAGTCGAGAGCGCCAAGTAAGGGGGGAGAATGTGAACGTGTTCTTGCTGCTTGGCGAAGCAGCTCTGGTAAGTTGGAACAAGGCCGCTGAGCGGATAGGCGGGCTCAGTTTCAAGATTGTACTGATGAAACAGTCTGGACCGCTCTGTTGTTGTTGCTCGTCATTGGCTCAGGTATTCAAGTGGATGAGGATAGACATGGCGACGGCCTTCATTTTGACTCGGTCCATGATTTGGACTTTTAGTGCTCCTTGGTACCCTCGCAATCAAGTCAGAATCACAGCTCGGAGATTCTGGTAGCCGGAAACCCAGCGCTGTGCTTGCTCCACTCCTCGCAAAAGGGGTCATTCAAAGTGCTAACTTTTACAAGAACGGAGTATGCTCTCACTAACCCCTGCTTCGTAACATTACCTGGAGCAGGCGGCCGACGACAAGGTGAGGCCTCCGTGCAAAGTAACCGCCGATGACCTCTGGTTCGTATGCATGCTGAAGAGGGACCCGCCATGAGCGCATCCACCAGCGGCCGTAAGCGAGCGCGCTCGCTAGCACGCGCTTATCGCCTTCGACAATGTCGGCAAACGTCGAACGCTCTGCAGAGGACGAGATGGAGACGACTTTCCGTTAAAGGCTAGGGGAGTGAAAGGATTCTCTGTAGGTTATTCATGAATCCAAAAGGGCCCACTTAGAAAAGGATGGCAAAGAATAACAGTGGGGAATGGGTCGAAAGGAGGGCCCACTTAGAAAAGGATGGCAAAGACAAACAGTGGGGAATGGGTCGAAAGGAGGTGATCGGAACACAACCACAACCTGCAAAGAGGAAGCTTGGCTTATAAACGTTCAGAGACATTGCACAGATTGAGAGCACATGCTGGGTCTGAGTTGCTCAACCGGACAGGTTTCGACTCAGGCAGCGCATATCAACGAGTTTCTTGGAACGATAGCAACTGGCAAGGAGTGGGACAGCCCGCGGAATCCGTACACCCGCTCGGAGATCATGCCACCACGACTTTACAAAGGATTCCCCGTACATCTCCTATCGTTGCAAACTTTTGTGGACTGGTTTCACTCTGCATCACAAATAGAGAACCTCGAAGAGCCTACAATTGCATCACTCGAGGTACTTGAAGGACTATCACCTTAAAACCACTAAGATAATGGCCTTTCAACCATTTTGAAAGGAGAGTGCCAGAAGAAACGAATCTGGCGCAACTTTTGTGTGCCAACCTGGATACTGAAGCTCCAGCTTGGGCGCTGCCTCAGGCTTTGCTTGCGGGTCCTCCCACTTGCTCCACGACACAAGGTTAACGAACCCCGACGTCCGTCTTTCCTTCTGGACATGACCAGTTGCTTTCAGATCCCCGCCCTCAGTGTCTGCGCTGCTAGGCGCACCCGCTGCTAAACCTAGGCTGGGATCAATCGTCGGAGTGGGGTGGGGATCAGGAGGAGGTTTCTCAGGCCTTGAAATCGATTTTGGACGACCATTTGCTTGCCGGTCTGGGAGTGTATCTTTCCCAGAGCTTGGACCCGTATCTACCTTGGGGATTCCATTCCCACTAGCGGACCGCAGATCGACGAAAACCCTGGCTCCGCTGGCAATCGCCCCGTTTCCATTACCAAATGGCGCTCCAGGAGTCCCCTGAGAAGTCGCTGCTCCGGATTTCGCATCAGATTCGCCAGAACCTGGCGTCGGCCCGTTGGGCTGACTCCTTCCGACTCCATCCCCGCTTTCCTTGCTGGTACCAGTGCCTTCCCAAATTCTGGCTGCGGAGGCTTCCGCATCCACCAGGAGAGCGTCTCGACTGCTGGGGCCGGCCAGCCAGTGGGGGAACGACGGCTCCGCAACTTCCCCCAACTCCGCTCTTTCTTCTTTGAGGAGGATTCGATCCTCCAGGTCGAGGTCACAAAGGGTCTCAGCCAGGGCGGCAAGTTGGACTTTGTCGTCTGTAGGAGTGGGGGAGTCAATCGGTACCGCAGAGACAGGCTCGTCAGGAGCTCCGGCTACTCGTTCCACATTCCCTACCAGGGTTTCGTTCGATGATGCTAGTTCCTCAGCTGCTTGATCCAGAGGAGGCGCCTCGTTTGTGCGTAGGCTGCTGCCTGCAACAGGCTGCTCCGCTGCAGTCTCCTCGGCAGGTAAAACCGACTCGACTCCCGCCCTCGCTTCCGGACTCTCCGTCTCTAAACTTTCTGTGGATGGAGACAACGCTCCCGCCCTCGCTTCAAAACTGCCTGCTTCAGCCCTTTCTTCAAAGGAAGAAGGGACCACTACCGCGTCTCCTTGTCCTTCAGGCAACGGTCCAGCTGTCAGTACGTTGACAGAGTCTACCATTGGAATCACGCTCTCCACCTCAGTCGGAAGGCCAATCTCCGGAGCGTCTCCTACTTCTCCACCTGCTAGCCTCAGAGGATCCATTGCGTCCAGAACGACTGGGGCTTGGCCAGGTTCTAAAACAGGGTCGGGGGTTTGAGGTTTCGGTTGCTCAGGTTCCAGGAATCGGGGCAAGATTTCGCGGTGGGAGTCACTTGTGGAGACCGCTTTGAAGAGGCGCGAGGCGAAGCCCTTAACTTTCCGTGCGAACTCCTCTCTAGGGTGTGCTTCTGGCCCCTCTGAGAGGCTCGCAGCCTTAACGCTTGCATCCTCCAGCACTTTGTCCCCTACAGGCCCACTAACCTTCTTCCTTTTGAATGCGTTAGCAGTTGGCCCGCTTGCTGCCGTCTGCTCCTGTGCCCCTCCCCTCTTCCCTTGCTTTCTAGCTGCCGTCTTTGGAGTGGCAGAAAAGCCCATTGCTGATAAGGGGATCGGTTCACTAGGGGGCAACTCAACGACCGGTGCCTTCATCCCCAGGAACAACTCAAACCGCTTTACTTCAGCCCTCCCCTTGCCCCGAATGATTCTTGTCCCGCTTTTGGTGAATTCTCCGGGCTTTTCTGCCGCTTCCGCCGTCCCTGATGCATCGTCGCTTGGATTGTCGGGCGTTGCTTCCATGCTGATCCTCGCCCTTTGAGCTGTCCCGGACACCCCCAACTTGGCCCCATTCTCCCCCACTTTTTGAAAACCTAGCAACCCCTTTTCTGCACCCAGCTTCTTCTTACTTTGCAAAGAGGACAAGCCAGCCGACTTCTGGCCTCTTCCCAGACCACCAGGGGAGTCTAAGTCCTCCCCATCGACCTCGGGGATCAGATCGCCACTATTTTGGCGGCTGGCAATGAAGGCGCCAAACTCCTTGTGTAAAGAAGGGGCCCCTATGCATTCAACCCCACATTCTGCTCCAACTTCACCTTCCTCTGGTTGTGGCACCTTGATTTCTTTGTCAGCTTCTGCAAGGAAACAAAAGTGTTTCTGGTCCCAATGTTGAGGTGGGCAATGCCACTTTGAGATGCTTGAAGGAGAACTTAGTGTCTACTTTTGGAGAAAAGTGCAAGCCATTTAGATGGCCTTGTCTAAGTGCAAAGTCTGCAGCTCTAGTAGAACCACCTGGCTGTAGTTTCCAGACTTTCCACACTTACCCAGATTTGACCGAAGAAGCAAACACACTTGCTTCTGCAATTAATGAACGTTCTACAAGCAGGCTACAAACCTTGTTCTCACCACTCACATGACTGGTTCAGCTGCACAGTGCTTTGAGCTGAAGAATGCGCCTAAGAAACTGCCTATTACTGTCAAGGATAAAAGCACCTGCATTTTAGAGATTCAAAACAATGTGTGCACCAGCACACGACTCTCGGGACAGAAAATATGTGGCCCCCATAAAAATGAGATATAAAGCCCTCCTCACATTTTAGATTAAGACTTACCCTGGACTTCAGCGCCTTCTTTCTGAGTCAGAACCAGCTTGGAGCTGGTCCAGTGACTTTCACCACTCGCCTTCCCTCTCGACCCCTCTGCCCTGGAACCTCTTCCATTGAGTGCTCGTCTTAGTCTCGGTGCTGCTGACCAAATGCGTTCGTCAGGTAGACCAGAGAAGGGTTGAGCAGGCTGGCTAGAATGCAGCTGGTGATTAATGTGAAGCAAGGACGAACTCCTTGCAACATCTGTGGGGCAGCTGCAGCTGGCGCCCCTTGAAAGGACGCCAGGTCCGCCCATGTCGCATGGACTTTCAGCACAAAGTGACAGGGTAGCTGGCCAGACCAGGGCGGTAAGTTAGAGGAGAGGCGAACTGCCAGAATGTGGAAGCTCTGCGCCACCGAAACGAATGCCTGCAGACTTTGGAGCACAAGAGCTAGGGAGGAGCCATTTTTCCGCCCTTTGCGGTGCTTCCGGCGGAACCAGTGGCAGTAGCAATTGCAGATCGGCCGGAAGGAAGTGAAGCCTTTCTGCGCGAGGCCACGCGCGTTCATCAATTGTTCACATGACTCATGAGGCTGGAACTTGACACGTGTCGTTCTGCAAAATGCACCTGTCGTCCACCTGGCGACGAGTTCGGTGGACAAGTGGCACTTCTGCAGGGCCAAGTCCGGCCGCCGAGACTTGCAAGCTGGGACTCCGAGCTTGGGAGAAGCTCCGCAGCTGCGCAGCTTTCCTACCTAGCCGAGATTCGAGTCAGCTCACCTAGCGCCGCCTTCAAGCTCTAGAGCAGTGTTCGCTTCTTGGTCAGCTCTGGTCGCACCTGGTCGCACCCATACTTTCCTCGTAGTGACCCTCCATTCTAAGCGCAGGTCACCGAAGGCATTGAGGCGCTGCTGTGTAGAAAAAGGAGCGCGAGAGAAGAAAGTACTGCCTAGCCTGCTTTGTTAGGAAAGAGGCGGGCTCCTAAACCAGCGCTCTTGTTCAGAAGAGAAGATAGAGACGAAGAACTTGCTCGCAGTTTTTCGGATAATCGGTTGCGTCTGGTGCTAGATTCGGAGACGATTGTTCTAGAGCTAGATTGCTTTTTAGGAAGACCTGATATCTGGACACCATGCCTACCTTCAATTGCTGCGGCATCCCTTGCTATAAGGTTAGTGAAGCTCCCCAATCTATCTACTTTTGCTTGAGCAAGGTAGTGGTCGCGGCAGGCCGAGGCCATGCTTGCGCAAAAGTGAAGACGAAAAAGCGTTTCTCATTCATCTTTGTGCATTTCAGGGAGTCTTCAAAGTGCTGGTATTTGAGGCTGAAAAGCACACCAGATTTCCTTGCAGTACATTTATGTACTTTGTGCGTCGTGGGGTTCCGGGTCGCTGCAGAATGAGCTAGCTTGATTGGGCATTTAGCCGGCTACCTTTACTCAGTCAAGAAGTTTGGCGTAGTGGATCCGTGTCAAAGGGCCGCTGCTTCCAAAAACAGTGGGGGAACCTTCTTAGGTCATGCACTCTAATCATGTCGATAGTTTTGGCTCGCTTGCCTAGGTTTCACAACTTGACCCCTTTTGATTGCAGGTGGGACATGACCCAAACGAACATGCATGCTGCAGGTGAGGAGCCACAAAGCATCAGTGTTCGTGAAAGTCTCTCTAGGATCGCTTGCTGTGGAGCTTGTGCCATTAGGCAGTCACTGGAGACATGTCACGGCTAGTGTAACGTAACAGGAAATTGAACTTCTCGCTTACAGACACGTGCCTTATGCAGATTTCACTTGTCTGGTTCTGCGTGATAATCGTGGCAAATAATGTTCAATTGGACAGCCCAGTATGAACGTGGTCGCCGTCTGCATTTCACAACTCTTTTTTACTGCGTATGAGAGGCACTCGTGGTAATATGTGTGTGCTGATGTAGGGCAGTTGTACTTTGCCTGCTGAAGCAGCTCCCAAGTACTCTGTCTAGCTAAGAGATCTCTCTGAAAGTACCAAGTTTGAACTTCATTCTGGATGATATTTGGATATGCGGACCCGATACTTCCGGTAGGTAGGAGATTGCCGTGGCACCCTTTATGCCAGCCCTAGGTACTCAACAGAAATATGTGCACTCTTTGTTGCCTCCAACTGACTCGCGGTGTGTCTGCTGTGTGCAGTGGGACGTGCTGCATGCGCTTCTGGACGTGCGCCATCTGCTGGGAGTGCTCTGAGGAGAAGGTGCAGTGCTGCTGCTTCTCGTGTCGAAACAAGAGCCACAGGACTACCACGGACCCTTACAAGAACCATCATGGGTGAGCTTGAAGGACCGTACCTACCGCATAAACAAGAGCGTTTTATAGTTTAAAGACACGTTTTCTGCGAATGCCTTTCAAAGAGAAGGCTCCCTTGTCAGGTTGTTGACCTTTGAGACACAAAAGTGGCTCGTTGAAAAAAAGTAGGTCTTCGTAGGGATTCCTTTGCCATTGCCAAGTTTTGCATATTCATTCAGTGCTAGGATGTTTGAAATCATTTCAGGCGGCACTGTCTTTACTAGCAAGGACCAGCTCTCTGTCGTAGTCACAATCATCAAGTAAGGAGAAGCAATGAAGTGCAATCCATTGAGGGTGGTTGGATGCTTGAAATCGTTTCAGATGGCACTCTCCATTAATCGCGATTACCAGCTCTTTGTCATTGTTACATTCATCTTTAAGTATGAGAGAAGCAAAAAGTGTGAGTTGTACTCGTGATAGTCTGGTTTGTGCGTGAAAAACAAGGCAACACTCTGAGGCTAAGGTCATAGATGAAGCTTGACAACCTGTATCATGTGGTGCTATGCACTACTTGTCTTTCCAGAATGCAGTGGTCATGGGTACGATCTATTGATCTTTGCAGGCACGGCATAGCAACGACGGCCCCTCCGCAACAAGCCATGGGTTATCCTCAGGCAGGCTCCGCACCATACAACACGCATGCGGCAACTCCCGCAGGCTATGCTTCTTATCCTGCGGCAGAGAAGCCGGTGAAAACGACAACCTACTGACGAAACGGTACCAGAGCTAGAGCACGCAGATGTAGCTTGAAGGGTGGCAAGCGGAAGGTGGTCAGCTAGAGCATGCCACCATGCAGCTTATAAACACAGCTGCTGGCATACGGCTTGCAGTCTGAGTGTCAAGCCAAGCGCGCGTAAGGGCAGCAAGTAACGCTGCTTTGTAAAATAAGTGACATGGTAGCAGTACCATGAAGTGACATGGCTTGCATGGTGTACTGGTTTTAGTGCTTGAAGAGAACTGTCAGATCAGAGGCAGATTGCCAAGGAGTTCGATGGGAGATATAACAGATGAACGATTTATATATAGCGCAGGATTCGAGAACGCGACTCAAATTAGCAGGAGATTGTTTACCTTTCATTCATGCTGACGGAGTGAATAGGACCGTGCACCAAGGCTTATACCATAGCTCCAAGTTATGGTAGTGAAGCAAGAGCTGACGACCAATTAACTTATCCGCACATGCAATTGGTGAACGATGAATCACACAATCATTGCAGAGCACAGACGAGGCACAGACGACCTATAGCTCAGAACAACAGCTAATTACATTAAAAGGGTTAGGTTTTGTCAATTTAGGGATATAATGTGACATGATGACGGTATACGAGCAATACAGGCTGGTAGCTCAAATGCTTTTAAGCCCAGTGTGCCCTAGTAAAAATGTTGCGGCACTCTATCAGTGCGGCACCGCTCGGTACTATCATCTCTTTTGCTTCATCTACGCATTGCAGCATGCTAATCCAACAGATTAGTCTCCCCTGCCCCGCTTGACCCGCTGCCTTCGCCACCAAACATGGTATGGTCACTTAAGTCCGGTCAGCATTCGCTCGTGGATTGCAAGGAACAAGTGAATGCAATCACTGTTCGACAGAGGGACGTATCAAATTGCCACAGCTATGTGCCCAAATATTTCTCCTCCGCCAGCTTTCGTGCAGACGTTGGCTGGAAGCTCCGATCTCGATTGGCGCCACGGACTGGAGATTGGAGACTCGATTGCGGACGCACTTAAGCAGAGATACATGGATGAAAACCCTCGTGCTCTCTCCTCCAATCTCGCTGCAATGATCGGCATCCTGTAAAAAGTGTAAGCCGCCCGCCCCATTGCGCGAGCACACTACGGCACTAATTGTACATGCAAAGCTTTGCGTATCCAAGTATTTTTAAGCTGACAATATCAATGGCGGCTGCTCACATAAATTGCTTGGACATCTGCAGGAGGTCGCTTAATGTTTATCAATGACTTGAGTACTCATGCAAGACCAGAATCAAACGATTCAAGCGAATCTTGATTGAACTGTGTTTAACGATCATGTACGATTTTCATATCAGCACAGTCCGTCACCTGAAGTCCAACTAAGTCAGTGGCGCCTAGCCTAGGAGCCTCTCTGAAGAACTGATGGTGCACCACACTTCGGATCAAAAAGTTTGCAACACGGGCAATAACAGTCCCAACTGAGTTGATGAATCAGGAGCAGCAGCGGCAGCGACCAGAATCGCTTGTTGTCCTGTTGGCTCTTGTTGGAGCGATTCGTTTGTAGACAAGCTTTTGAAGAGATTCCCAAAAACAGCATGTCGGACGAGAATGCCTACGCGCGTTCCAATACAACTTCTCGTCTTTCCTGCCAAGTGGTCCAAAAGTGAAGGGGTGGCTTAATTTCAAGTTCAGCACGAAAGTAACGTGTCACTTTGTGCTCCTGCCGTCGCTTGCCCTTGATCAGACACGTTTTCTTTCTTGGAGTGGCCATGCACCTTACATTCGGACACCCTCGTGCAAGCAGAGGCCGAATACACCAACCACACTCGGACTGGGGCCTTTCCAGTGTAAGATTTGCTGACGTCAGTTGGAAAACACGACGGGGCGAAAAGGTTGGACACAGACTTGACGTGATCCGCCCGCATCAAAGACAGCTCAGGTACTTAGTCCGACCAAGTGCTCGAGCAAAGTAGCCACCCAGGCTCTGAACCATCCGACGTTGACCAAGCAAGAGCGGCAGCGCCGCATCAAGCTCTCAGTTCCGAACACTAGCCAGAACATCCTGGGACTCAGCTGAAGTCTAGGCGTGACTCGTGCATCACTAGTGGATGCAAGGGAATCTGGGACGGATATCGCTCTTCAGCAACTCATGAGCCGCAATGAGTGCCAACCCCGTGCCGACCTTTTCAATCAAGGCTTCTTAATGTCAGCCTTCAGAAATCTGGGCCGGCACCATGTACTTCGCACTCGTTGATACCTGGATCACAGTCCACTGCTGTCCTATAGAACACAGGAAAACTCCGACTTACCACTGCCTTCAGCCGTTTCTTACGTTGGGGCCACCTTCTCTTGCGGCCGGCTCAGCATCCGTAACACCGGTGTCAAGTCCCTTGCGTGCAGCCCCGTCATCAGGTTCTCTGCTGGCAAGTAACCCTCAGGAGCGACACGACTTTTCAAGTGCCACGCATGCTGACATGGCCCTGCACAAACGTAGGAAACACTGTGAACGATGATAGATAAAGCACTTGTGCTGACATCATCACAAGCTTGCGTGCAGGTGACAAGTGGCGGGTCCTGACATGCATGCAAAATAATATATCCTGGCAGCCGCCTGATGCACCAGTATACCTCAGCAAGGCTGAGATGGATGTGCGCACTGCCATTGGGCCGCATGGGCACCTGATTCTGGAAAGGAGATTGTATAATCAACTAAGAGGAAGAGGCATGATCCACGCAAGTCGCTCCATCCTGGATGTTATTCGACGTACTGCAAAATGCTCCAATGAAAATCACATGAGAGCTAAAACAAAGGTTATTATTGACACAAAGTCAAAAGCTAAAGCGAAAGCCCAGCCAGAAAACACAATCACATATGAGAGATTCCTCGTCGGAGAAAACTGCTCAATACAAGAGCAAGGTGTCGCCATCAACGCCGCAGTTGTGGTCGTGTTATGAATGCACACTAGAGGCACGAAGTTGGGTTTAAGCAGCAAAGACCACCCATGACCGTTTCTGTTCAGAATCTTCTTGCTGGAACCATCTAACCAATTCCTGGACAAACGCCGAACAAACACCCCCGGCACTTCCATCAGAGCAGAACCTTCCGCTTCAAAGACAAAAGCGCAACACTGACAGTTTGAGGACTAGATTAACTTAACACATGCCTGTTGGCAAACTTTACTAGCTGCCTCCAAAGACAAGATTTTTAGATGTGGCCAAAGGCCCTTCGGCGATTGCATTTTTTGTTGCACAGGTGCGCTTCTATAGGAGCAGAGTCCTCTGAAGCTTGGGCCAGGAGCAATGACAGCCACATTGATTAGATTCTCAGCCCCTTATTACTGGCAGTCCTGTTGCACAAGTGTGTACTCAGCGCCTAACGACGGAAAGGGATAGGCTGAAAGCCCAGTCGCAGCAAAGTCCGAAAGGACCCCCAACTTCAAGGCTTGCATTGCATCAAGACGAAGGCGCAATGGTGCAGAAGGGAGCAAGACTCTTACCTATCTTGCAGTTTGAAGTTAAGTGCGGCCCCTTGCTTTGTGATGCACCAGGTTTAGCTACAGGATACTTGGAGAAGCAGGTCCTGAAGGGAAATGAGTGAAGCATTAACCACACATTGGATGTGACACAAAATGGTGGGCAATAAGTACAGAAAGATTTGTTCCTCTATGGCAGAATTTTGCAAGGAAGACAGCGGTGGAACATACCCACACACTCAAGTTTGAGCTTTCGGCGCACAAAGTCCGCCATTGAAGGCATTGGCTAATCGCCATTTAGAGATACGAACGCAGTCACGTATCTCTGAGCCCCCAGCGCACAAAGTCCGCATGGTGAGAGCGTGGGCTTATCGCCTTATGCCAGGGTGTAGGCTGATCGCCTCACCCAATGCTTGGGCTTACCGCCTCGACACATTCAGCAACCCGGGCTTAGCGCCTCACAATGGGCTTAGCGCCTCAGAGGGGACAAGACGAAATCTTTGAACAAAGCAAACCAAATGGGTAAGCACCAATGTATCCCAAACTCACATTGCTCAAGATGCAAGCATGAACTGTTAAGCAAGATTCCAATTCCTACCTGACTTGCAGAGGTATCAGGTTGCTGCTTGCTCTGTCTGTGGTACACCGAGTTCACGTCCACGATGTCTAAGGAAGGAGGTCCTGAACAAAACCAAGTATAAAATGGATCACAATGGGTGTGACACAATATTGGTTGACACTGTGAGCTTGTCTGTGACGAGCATAGCCAAGAAGTACAGCGGTAGAGTACTTTAAAAATCCTACAATAAAGACAGGGATCGCAGAACGCCATAAAATCCTGGGATCGAGCCTTCGGCGCACAAAGTCCGCCATCGAAGGCATTGGCTGACCGCCAAATAGAGGTACCGACATCCACAGTCGCGTACCTCTGAGCCCCCAGCGCACAAAGTCCGCATGGAGAGAGCGTGGGCTTATCGCCTTGAGCAAGGGTGTGGGCTGACCGCCTCACCCACTGCTTGGGCTTACCGCCTCCACACACATAGCGACCTGGGCCTAGCGCCTCATGTTGGGCTTAGCGCCTCGTGGGGATCTGTTTTTCTGCTACTACTACTCTAGAGCCCCGCGTCAGGGCCGGTCAGGCATCTGATCGATGCAATGTGAGGAATCTTGAATGTGCGAGGCTTCTGACTTCACTCACTGCATGATGTTCACAGTGACTCTGAGTGTGGCTTGCACAAAGCGAGGGGGATTCCTTTCAAAAGCGCCCGGAATGGTTAGCAGAGCGATTTTCTAACCCCTAGATGAAAACCCGTGTGGCGTCGATCAGCTGATACCCTTGAAAGCGTGGTACGTCGATCAATCCTGATACGAATAAAGTTAAACCCAGTTTAACCTGTAGCCGACAGGCCGTTTCAGGTTGCGTAGGCACGAGCTTGGGCGAATCGCCATCTGCCACGTGTCACATTCTCTGTCATTTGAACTCAGTCTTTGATTCCCCCGGGGCTCTCCACCGGGAAGTCTTCCAGCTTCAAGTACCGTATCGGTAATCGTAGCGGATATCGCCACCATTGCAAGACACAGTGTGGGGACTCAAGGATGACAGGACTCAACCTTTGGGACCGACATGAAGTTGGCCGGGACTCGCCGGGAGGAACTGAGCACCGGCCTTTGACTTGACCGACTGATATCAACTGTCCGATTGGTGACATTTGGACAATCTGACGGCTGACATGTAATTGATGGCTTCATGTGATCAAGGCTGCAACTTCATGGCTGAAGGCTCACTTGAGAAAATGCTTATCCTGGCAGTTAGTGTACAGTCTATGTTACAAAACAGTTTCCCAAATGCTTCAAGTTAGCGCAGGCTGCAACTAAGCAGCTTGCCCGTCCTGCCCCGGGCGCTCCTTTTGTTATTCTAAGAATGTGTCGGTGTTCTCCAGACGACCTTGCTACCACCTTTGCCAGTTTTAAAGGACACGTCTCCCATCGACAACCCTGATAAGCGCTCCAACCACACACACGTCGGTCACCAAGTCCCAGAAGAATCGGGTCAAAGCAGTGAAAGCTGTACAGCGAGGTGAGGTAAGGTATACTAGGACTCCACTTAGTTCAATTTGAGCAGCTTCTAAATGGGCGTCGTTCTAACACACATGACTCCTTACGAAACTGCCTGGTCACGTGCCTTCCATGTTTTCCGAGTCCTGCGGCGGCGGGTCGTCCTTTGCACTGTTTTGAATTACGATGCTGGGCCGCCTCCGATGAAACAACGGCGCGCCGGGGGTGGCGGGCACGCTTGCATTCGCAGACTGCTCTCGTTGGGGGGTGGAGAACGAGAGCGTGACGCCCGTGCCAAACCCCCGGGACACGGTCGGTAGGCCTCTCTCGGGGGGAGGCGTGGTCGCCCCCGTCCAGCTAAAACTCCGGTTAAAGGCGGCGGTTAGGGAGCCCTGGGGCGGGGACGGGGAACCTTGCAGGGGGCTCTGCCGGGCGCCTTGCTGGACCCCCCGGAACTCGGGGCTCGCCGACTGGTAAAACCCGGGCCGGGGAGTAGACGCAAAGCTCCCCCCCGGCTGCTGGATCGTTTGCATGGTCGCGCTCTTGCGCGTTCTACCAGCACTGCTCGGCTGATCGATCAGCGGAGGGATGAAGGTTGGGGGGGCGAAGATGCTTCTGGGAGAGGCCTTGTCGTGCTCGTCCCTGTCCTGGGCGTCGTCCTCCATGGCTGTGGCGGCCTGCGACTCGGGCCCAGACGGGGCCTCCTCTGACACCTTTTCCCGCCCACCAAAAGTGGGAGTCCCTGCTACGGCCGACGTGCCTAGCTTTGAAAGGGAAGAGTCTGCTTGGGGGCGGCGGTCGGAGGAGTGGAGACCGGAGGAAGACGGCACTGAGGCGCTCCGGCTGCGCGCCACCTGTAACAGGCGAGGCACAGCGTCAGGTCGTGGGGATATCGCGAAAACAGAGTCTGTGCTATTTGATGCTGACTCGATGCTGGATACAAAGCCTTATGAAACTCGGTCGCTGCAAGAGACCCAATCACAGTATCCAAGATCGTACTACTCCTGGAAAGTGCAGGTTTTCCACTTAGAGAAATCCCTGAGGGCTACAAACTCTGGGCAGCAGACATGGTTGCGAACGTTGCAAATGTCATTGCAACGTCAATGAACGAAAGGAAGAGCTCAAATGCCCCTCACTTGCATGCAGCTCCCTCTGTCCGTGAAGCTTCCGTAGTCCGGCGAGCTCGTCAGCTCCAGACTGTTGGCTTTCAACCGCGGCTTCCACACCACTTTCCTCTCCCCCTGCTGCGCACTCCCCTGCCATTGCTTCCCGCCACTCGTCAGGGGGGGGAAGTCCTCTGTATCAGTCGGCCCCCACCCGGGGCTCATCGGCTCTCCCGGACTGAGCGGATCCTCCTTTCCGTCCATTAGGTTACTCGCCCCCGCTTTCCACTGGGGCGACTTCTGCTGATTTACAATCCCGCTTAGCGGAGGGGACTTCGGCGCCGTTCCCCAGAGACCCTTTGCTGGTCGTGGGGTGGTTCCAAACCCGTCTGCTAACCCCCTCGCTGACCCGGTTCCGCCTTGAGGACTCCACCCGGGCTTTTGCGCCGCTATACCATTTTCCGCACCGCCCCACTTGCGCACAGTTTGCGAATTCCACTGCGATCCCGCAGGCCGGAAATCCGAGATCGCCCGCTTCTCATCCTGCTCCCACCCAGCGTTCAGGTCTTTCTTCACGGTCGATTCCCCCCAGCCCTTTACCCGAGTAGTTTGCTGCCTCCACCCCCCTTTCAAATCCTCGTTCCTACCAGCATTGGACTGGAACGTCGCCTCGCTGGACATATCTCGCGTCTCCTTTTCTGTTTCCCTCTTCCCGTCCTGCAAGCCCTCTTGCCCCCCCGTTTCATCCATCATCGCCCCTTCCTGGGGGTCCATTTCCGGCACTGGCGATAGGACCGACTGTCCCCCCCCCGGTGCCGGAACCCACCCCGGCTTCCCCTCTACCACCCCCTCCCTCGCCCCCGACTCCACCCCCCGGTTAAGCCTAAACTCGGGCGGGTTACCCATGGCCAACGCCGACGGTCCTAGCTTAAAACCGCTCGACACAGACTGGCCCAGACCGGAGGGGACTTGCGTTGGGGAGTGCGCAGTGGAGGGGGCTTGGCCGCGCATTTGCAGGGAGCGCAGCAGGGCCGCGCGGCGAAGGTTTGCAGACTGGGCGGGGTCGCTAGGGGAGGGAGGAAGACGGCTGTCCCCCTCCTTTTGCTGCAGCGCGTGGTGCCGAGAAGGGATGGCGTACGGGTGGGTGCTCGTGTGAGCTGGGATGCCCCATGCGCCAGGGCCTGAAAAAGACAAGCTTTCATCTCGTCAAGAGACAAAGTCCGAGGCTAACGAGGGGCAGAACTCAGATGGAAGATGCTGCAGACTGGTAGTACAGGCTTACAGGCAAAAAGCAGGGCTTCTCTCAGACGAATTGCAAGGGAACAAACTAACGAAGAGGAATGCAATCGCGCCACAGCAGGTTGCAAAGCCAGCCCAGCTTCGGCTTGACAAGGGGAAAATCTCCAAACACAAGCAACTCTTCTTTGTCAAACAAAGCTTTCAGCAATAAAGCTTACCGGTAACCGCCGGAGGGACGGGGCTGGCCAGGCTTGAGGTCGCCAGGTTGGACGCTGCGATCCCCCCTCCGTTTGGGCGCCTCCTCGTCCCGTCTGGGCCATAGGCAGCCTCAGGGGACTTGAACTGCGCCTCCTGCATCAGCATGTTGTTGCGCCGCCAGCTGCCAGGGCTGCTGTCGTCATCCGTATCGCCGTTGTCGTCGCTCATCGCAGAGTCGCCCTGGTTCGACATCATATCGTCCCTGCAGGGCGGAAGGTTGCTTCACATACGCCCATGGTGATTGAACATTGCAGCCCAGTAAAGGTCCTCACATGGGCCTTGTTTATTGTGCACAAAAGCTATAGGTGTGAGTGTTGCTGAAAGGTAGCCACCCATGTTCAATCACCCATATCCTCCTTGGAAAGCTCTCATTAGGAGTTTAGGCAATAGCGATACTCCAAGCAAGAAAGAAGAAACAAAGAGCCTATCTAGACCCTCACCCTCCGGCAGAGAGAGCGGCGGAGCTGTAACGGGGCAGGCTGCCCATGAAACGCTGCTCCATAAGCGACCCCCCCTCGCTGGGAAGCGAGCTGGATAAAAGCTCAGACATCGGGGGGCCGTCCGTTCCATCGTCTTTGGAGTCGCCAACTTTGAGAAGGTTCAAGCTGGAGGCCATCATCTGCATTGAAAGCATATTCACGCAATTGTGTCTTCAGGTTAAAATTTGTTCGTACAATGCAGTATTATTTTGTTGGTGAGGCCTGTTGTACCTTGATAGGAAACCATCCAGATCTGCTCGAGAGATTGTAGGAATAATATTCATGGGATAATTATACTAGAAGTGGCTTGTGCCACATAACTGCTTGCATAATGCATACTGCTTGCAAACAGGGCATTGTACGCCAGCACTGGAAAAGCACGGGTGACAGCACGTGTTGCAGCGGCAAATCTGAAGCGCTACTGCAGTATGAGTTACATTTAAGCATTTCGCAAAGTGTAACTTGACCTTATTCATATCCCGGCTGACGACATGCTCTGTCCTTATCAACCACCTCTCAATACACAGCATTGTGTCAAGCCCGCTCATAACATTTTCCGCTCACCTCCGTTAGATAGCGCTTGGACACATGATAATTGTCCAGCGTGACTGCATCAGCATCCACCGGCCGAGGCCGCTTGTTCGCGCCCGATGTTGGGAGGCCATCTAGCAGATAGCTGGTCTTACTGGGGCTTCCAGAAAAGGACCGCAGGCCCAGCCCTGGGGGACGGCCGCCAATGTCCCCCGTCATACCTAGCCGGGCCCTCACAAGGTATTCTGAATCCATTGCTCTTACAGCGGGTATGGGTTACCGGTGATATTGCTTGATTGGACTACCTTCCACAAAGGCTTATGTTTGTGGAAAAAACTGTCAAGTTTATTGAGAGGCCACTTCTCATCAACATGGATCAGATGTGGTGCGAATTACAATAACCCTGTCTCGATGACTGGAAAAAAAAAATGTACTGCTGAGCTCCTCAGAAAGAGAGGGGTCCATTTACACGACCTCAACGAGTCACTGCTAACATGGGGCCCGATTATCGCCCAATGTTGCCAGCCGGCTTCAAATCTCGAGCTGTCAAACTGAAGCATCAGAATTGGGGCTCTCCCCGCGATATTACAACCAGCCCCGTTGGGAACGCGACAGGCACTTCACGTCTCTGGCTGAAAGAAGCCGGGCATGGAACCCCAAATTCATCTGCTTTGGATGCCATGCTTTCTGCCAGGGTAGTGGCTGGCCCCTCCTCTCCTTCCACTGTTCCGATTCAGAATCCAGGGCCGCGCCATTGCCATTGGCATTGGCGTGAGGGCGCCATGATGCTGATGAATTTACCATATTACATAACCCGAATCGACGGAGTCAATTTCGAGTGCGCGTGTTTTCGCGCAAGATCGTAGCTCTCCCGGGCTCCCGGCCCCTCCACACCGTACTGCAGATTCCAGGTCAACTTGCGCCGGTTTGTTCGCGCAGAGCCCGCGCAATATGACGATTCAAATTTCCTTCCAAGTTACCGGCACATGTCAATGTCATACTGTAAACCGCATTCCGTCAATCCGAATCTAGACTCATGATTCCGGTTGTAGCACAGGCAGGCGCAGGCTTGAGCGGAATGCAGAGATCAGCTCTTCCCTTTCAATCTGAAAACTTCAAAGTTTAGGGAGGGAGACGAGGAAGCAGGCCTGCAGCTGAGCTGTTGAGGCTCCTTGCTAATATTAGGCCTTCTCGTTGCAAGCAGGGCGTAAATAAGTCGTGCGGAAAGTTCTTGGAATTTGCACCAAAAAGCCACATCAAATCGAACATAAGCAGGGGTTGGGGAGGCAGACGCAATGGCCGAGTCTTCAGGTAAGAACTGCCTCATCAATCTAGCGGACAGTGACAGTTCGCTGGCATGATGTGTTCGTAATTAGGGTTGAAGCCCCTTGCCCTCTATTGGTGGTGGCCCCGCTTCCTCCAATCATAAACTTTCTGAAACGGATGGCTTCTTTGCAGCCGCTCCTGCTAGGACCTGGGCTCAAGCTGCACAAACCAAAGAAGAGGAGGTGCCTCTGCGGACAGTTCAGATTGATGGCCTGGTAAGCCCTTCTTTGCACCCTAGGGGCACTCGTTTGGCAAAATTGAGGGGGGCACACCCTGCGCTTTATCTTATAGCTCAGTGGGTTCAAAGTTTGCGGAGATGCAAGACTTACTCTGGAGATCCAAACTTACAATATGGTAATGGTTCGTTCCAGAGGATGGCATGCATTCTGCACGTTCATGTCCCACACACGGCGTTCTCTAAATCTCAACACCCGTAGCATCAGGCGGTGGTAATGGCCACCGGCAGAGTCGGATAGATCGAGCTATTTTGCCCAATTGTCCGGCACCCATCAAGCTGGAGGGATGTGCTCAGCCAGCTCCATTGTGGGGGAAGTCTCTGTCAACCCGGTCTCTGCTGGGAAATTGTGGTGGCGCCACACTTTTAAATCCGCGCGAGGGCGGTCGTTTTTGCTTGCAGGCACTGTTGAAGATCATCAAGCACTGCAAAGAGTTCGCGCCCAACCTCGTGACAGGGCAGCTGCTTGGCCTGGATATTGGATCCGTGCTAGAAGTCACAAACTGTTTCCCATTCCCAGTGAGTGTGCGTCATGCCAGGTTGTGTCATAAACTTATCTGCAGTCGACTCAGGGACTGCAAACTCGCTTGAGGCATAGTTCAAGCCATCGGGGGGTCTCCTGAGAGCATCATCGAGCATTCCTTTTGATGTATTTTATGAATTGAACATAGTTCATCAGCCATTTGGTCTCTTGCGCCCGCCAATTTCGAACAGATAAATGCCGGGGGCGATAGCACAAACGCTGGTTTCGTCCCCATAAAATGCAGCTCTTATAAGCTGAAAGAGGAGATGACCTCACAATTGGTACGTAGGGCGTTCAGTGATAGGATTGAAGAAGCACTGGCTTTCTTAGCTCGCACCTTGAGTTGGAAGTGCCATCACATGTTCAGAACCACAGAGGCCCTGCATTTCATGATCAAAGAGGTGACTCACAGGTTGTTCTGAAACTCAAGCTTTTGTGCAGACGCGGAGCGAGGAAGAGGAGGACGGCGAGGACAGCGCAACGTACCAGCTGGAGATGATGCGGTCGCTGCGGGAGGTGAACGTGGACAACAACACGGTCGGCTGGTACCAATCCACGTACATGGGGGCCTACCAGAGCGTGGAGCTCATCGACACCTTTCTGCAGTATCAGGTGGGGGTTCCCTGCGGGGCAAAGTTTGGAGGGATGGTTGGTTGATAGAACGTGCCGCTGGTCCTGCGGTCCCGAGAACGATTGAATGTTATAAAACTGATTGTAAGGAGTAAGGGAATGGTGGAACTAGAAGCAGTGAGGAGGCCGTAAGGAAGACGATGGTTATTGTGCAACCAGAGATTCTAAGATTGGCTTGCTAAGGAAACGGATATCTGTGTGGTTAGTACCTGCGTGAAGCGGCGTGGAAGAGGAAGGACGGTGCAGGCGGAGGCTGTGGGTGTCTAGTATCTGAATGTGCGGATTTGAATCTGCAGGAGAACATCAAGCGGTGTGTGTGCATCATCTACGACCCGCAGCGATCATCGCAGGGCGTCCTTGCTCTGAAAGCACTCAAGCTCAAGGAGCCCTTCATGGAGGCTTACAAAAACGATGCACTTACAGGGGAGGGGTGAGTTGTCGTACGAGCCCTCGGCTTCTTAAAGTAGAATGTACGTTCATGGCATCCCAATCCAGATGCAGCGTCGATCGTGCAGCATTGCGACTTGTGGTTTTGTGAAAGATGAGTTCTGATATACTTCGTCATGTGCCAGGTTGCGGCAATCGGGCATTTCATGGCCAGACATCTTCGAGGAGATCAAGGTAAGGGCTGGTTCCCTCTTTGCGAAGTTCTACTCCCCCCCTTATTGTCAGCACCAATCTGCAGCTTGCTTCTGCAACTTCTTGATGAGTCCGAAGTTGAGAGGAACTACCGTACGACGAAGGTATGATCCCAAACAGATAAATAATCATTTTGCCTCCGGAAAATTGGAAAGTCCGGATAAGCAGTCGGTGCTTTCTCGAACGTCAAACGGAAAGTATTCTCTGAGGCCGTATGGGTGTCTGGTACGTATCCATCTATTGGCATACGCCCAATATATATGGGTACCGGGGTACTTCTCAACGATCAGAATTCGGGTCGAAAAATGGAAAATAATACATGATCTGGGCTCCCATGTGCTGAAATGATTGCTTTAGTTGAACCATACCTTGGTCGTATGGTACTAGAGGGCTCTACAGCCTTCACTAAAAAAGGTTGCGACTGTCTATCGGGCAAGCTTGCTTAGTAGGAATATCAGTTTCCTTCATTGCCGAGCCTGTATGTCCGGTCCTTCAATGTCGCGCCCCTTGATTTCCATCATCTCCCTTGGCAGGTGTCGGTCCACAACTCTGCTTTGGTCGGCGCGATGGTGACCGACATCCAACCAGAGGCTCCTGTCACACACGTAAGTCTTGTCGTGCCCTGCAAGGAGGAGGTATAGGTTGTGCTCACTCGAGTCGTGCTTGACGAGTGAGTGGCATAGGTGTCAAAGCTCACCAGATCTGATGAATGAGGAGGCAGATTGGCGAGTTGGCGGTGCCTGTTGTCGATTGGACGTCAGTGGAGTGTCCCTTGCGCCTGACGGCGCCATGATTGATGCAGGCGGACTTTGACCGGTTGAGCCTGTCCAGTGCCCCTTTCTTGGAGAAGAACCTCGAGTTTTTGATTCAGTGCATGGACGATTTGGGCCAGGAACAACAAAAGGTGAGCGCCTTTCCATACCACCTCTGCCGGTAATGTTACGTCCCATCGGTCCTTTTTTCCTCGGTCAGTGCGACTCGCGGTTGATCCTGAAAGCAGCATTTCCAGCAGGGCATCCAGAGCATCTAGTCCTGAAGAGAATATTGGAACAAGATATGTGGTACTGAGAAATGAGCCAACCCTGGCTAATGGTTGCCCTCGCTGCAAGCTTCATTCGTCATCTGGTTTCCGGATACTGCAAATATGCCCTTTCGTCAGGTTTTTCGACTCAGATCTGTTAGGAGTCCCCATTGAATCGTCAGTCAGGGCCCCAAATGGTTCGACCTGATTGACGCTATGGGCGGTGAAAGATGGATGTAAGCCTTCCGCTTCTCCTCTGAAGGACGCTTTCTGTTGCCCCTGTAAACTAGAGGGAGAACCATAAACGCCTTTTCCTACTGCAGGTTGGCAGTCAGTTTGTGATGTCTCCTTGCGCAGAAGCTTCACTTCTTCTGGTTCACGCTTCTGACGTGGCTCCTTGCGTATTATGCAGCAACAATACTACTATCGGGCAGTAACTAGGCAAGAAGCGCAAAAGGGAGCGTGGCTGCTAAAACGACGGTAAGTGAAAGCGTGTGCTGGGATTGCTCTGTGTCAAACTCCGACCCATCTGCCAGAACCGGTAACCATGAGCCAATATCTGGTTTGCAAGTCCAGACAGTTGATGTCTGTTGGGTTACAGGAAGTCCGAAGGCTTCCCATGAAAAGCGGGTGCAGTTACCATGGACTGGGACGTTGGCCCAAACATAGCCTCACTCTATTTCTCGAAGCTTTTTCCTTCTCCAAAAATTGGCGCGTCTTCAAAATAGGGCGCCTAAACCTTTAGCCAACGGTTTGCTGATGTGCGTTTGTACCGTCTCTCCAGAGCGGAGAACGCTGCTCGGAAAGCTGCCGGGGAGGAGCCTCTGCCCGAGGAGGACTCGGCGAACCCCGCTTTCAAGCCCATCCCCGAGCCAAGCAGGCTGGACGGGTTCTTGATCACGAATCAGATCAGCAACTACTGCGGACAAGTCAACGGGTGAGCTTGGCTGCCGTGATCTGGATTACCATCTTGACTTCGTTTAGCTTGTTGGGTTGATTCATACTGGACTGGCTTAGGTGCTGATAGAGCCGTATTCAGGAAGCTGGCAGAAGTGGAATCTGGCAGAGGCGAAATATAAGCAGTTGGAAGTAGCATTGAGCAAGGGTTCTGTTCCAGTAATGCTTTGGAGCTGAAGATTAGGTGCGCATAGAAGTCTGCATAATTGCTTTTGGCTTCCAACCGAGGAGCCTTCTCATGGGTCTTCGGCCTTCGTCTGCTCTCAGCCAGGCAGAGAGCATGTTTTGGGAGCTACGTTTCACTTCTCATCTACCTTTGTTCTTTCCTTGTGCAGGTTCGGAGGGCAAAGCTTAAGCAAGATGTATGTTATGGACGCTGTACATGAGGAGCACTGACGGGCAAACAACACTTTTCCGTTATTTTTCCGCGCATTGTTTGATCCGATTGATGCAGTCACCACCTTTTCGCATATTCAAAGTACAACTCTTGTCTCTGGCAAGCAAGAGCTGGGTTGGTAATTCTGAACAATGCCGCCTGCTGTTCAGGGGCCGTGTGCGCATGTTATTACCGCGCACACTGTGAGCAAGTCTGACGGTTTGCAATTGCTGCTGTCCTGTATTTGAGGTGTTTGTTAGTAGTCAAGCGGTGAATTATCCTTCTTGCATGCTGCTATCCCCCCTTGCAAATGGCAGGTTGAGTTGAAAACCTGAGATTTGTTGAATCGCGCATGCCATCTGCTGCAATTCCAGGCGACTGGTGCGAGCGGGTCCATAGCTGCCTATGCTGAAAGTACTCTTGGGTGGCCTCAAAGTGGGCGTAGGCCATGCATGGACACCCCAAGGCCATTTTCGGTGATGGGGGCCCAAACTGGCCGAAGTTGCAATCTGGTCCGTTGAAAAAAGACCCGGATGCACGGAGTGTGCATTTCCGGAGCTTTGAAATCGGACGCCCACTTGCAGTCGGCGGTGCAACATATCCATGGGCCAAAGCCTGCGCTGATGCTCATGATGCTATCTGCCACCGGCCTGCAGCATGATGCCGCCTTCAAGGCCAATCGATAATCTGTGTACGTACTTCAGCTACAGTAGTAGCGTTGACACCCACACACCCACCCACGCCCTAGCTAGCGCAACGTTATCCGTTTGCCCTGCAGCTACAGCCATTCGCCTGGCCATGGGCGCTGTGCACGTGACCGCAAATTCTATACAAAGAAGGAAGAAATTCCACGAGGCACAAGTATCTACTGCTGCAGGGCGCGTCCGACGCCTAGTTGACCTTTTAAAGAGGATGCAATTACCGTTGTAGGTAGGCTGCAAGTTGCAATTACATTAAGAGCGGCACCAGCTGGGCTGCGTATCCTGAGAAGACCTCATCGATTGGCTCCGTAGTTCACGTGTTTCAACGCACCAATCACAAGCTGTCGCACTCAGTGACACGTGGACCACGAGGGGCGCATTCACTATACCCATGTCATATGCCGGCGCCGACTGCCACCTGCATGCAGCTCCTTGGACACTTGGCACAGCCTCAGGCAGCTGCTCTCGGGCCGCGGCGCAATGGGGGCCACTTTTCTGACCTCAGCGGCACTCCGCACCCTGAACAAGCTGCCCTGGAGGGTGATCGTCCTGCATTTCCAAATTCCAGCTGGAACATCCGCAATGCTGAAGACAGCAAGTACGACCTTAAACTTACAAGCTGGAGATAAACGTTTGCTGAAAGGGTCAACGAAGCAAGCCAGCTGCTCGCAGGTCATCAACAAGCTTCTATCGTGGAGCTGCGTCTTGATCCGATTGACAGGGACCCCGCTAGTGTGCTACTCTCTACGCCGACGCGACAGCTTTTGCAATATTGCAAAGAGCCGCCTGCAACACCATTTTGGCTGACGTGTTTAAAGATGGACAAGATCAAGCAGGTCATTGGAAAGAAGCCTCATGGGTCCGACCCAACTGGTAAGGCAACACTGTACTTACGCTGTTCACTGCCATTATCTGCTTGGGGAATCACAATACGTGTCTTGTGTTGTCTACTAACCCTGTGCTTTCAGGAGTGTACCCTGGAGTCAAAGATTCTGACCAAGTATCTTTCGGGCCTGAAGTAAAAGAACATAGGCCCTAACGATTTGGAATGCAGTCTGAGTCCGTCGAGAAATGATTAAAGCAAGGAATGTAACGCCTTTAGGAGGGACTGATGTCTACAGTAGTAAAGGGAAATTTTAGCATCGCTTCCTTCTATTGATGCAGATCGGACTATCTTGAAAAGCAACTCTGAAGCTATTCAAAAGATGCAGTCCACAAAGCACTTTCAAGATGCGCGCATTTCCATTATTTGGTCGTGGTTGCTTTCTTAAAGCAGATTGGTCCCGAGGTGGCTTCCTTCTTGTCTCTTTCATACTGATACATGTTGCTTCTTAAGTCAGTTCCTTGCTTTGCAAATGGAGATGTTATTTCCGTCTCCTGAATCCATTCCTCCGACGTCGAGTCTCTGAGCGTCGTTGATACGCTCACCTGACTATTTCCCCCCGCTCTCATCAGTTGCTGAGGGAACCCCCCAGGACAACCCATACACTGACGTGAACAACGACGGCAGCGGCGGCGGCGGCCTCATCTCCAAGATGAAGCACGCTGTGAAGGGGCACCAACATGGCACACCGGAGTCTCAGGTCAATAACGAGATGGCCACCGGGGGTGCGGCCACAGCAAACACCGGCGGGTTTGGGCTGCAGGACAAGGGGGTTAAGGAGGGGTCGATGGGGGAGGGAATGGGTTACATGGGGGGAATGGGTCAAGGGGGAACTCCTGGGGCAATGGGGGAGGGTATGGGGCAGCCGCATAGCGGTATGGCGACTGGGCTGGAGCAGGGGTCAATGGGTGCGGGGGCGGGAAGACAGGGGGGGATGGGGACCGACTCGTACTGATTATGTGGCTGATGACCAGTCTAGTGCCAGCGTCAAATTTTGGGCACTTTTGCAAGTAGCACAGAGCATGGACGTTTACCAGATGCCAGTGTCAAAGTCTGATGGGCGTTTTTTTGAGTTAGCACAGATGGTGGACGTTGACATTTGCCTCAAAATTTTTTAAAGTATCAAGTTCAGTAGCAGCTAAAGACGCCAGCGTGTGCCTGCAGCTGACTCAATCTCGGGGTGAGCCGAAGTGGCTACTAGACCTTGTTAGATTGGGAGGACAGATGTTCATTGCTGCCATCAGATGTCGGCTAAGTCTGTTTATAATAATATGAGCAGTAAACGCAGTTTCTCCATTCCGCATCAGCCTACTGTGGTTACTTGTGATATGTATCACAGCAGATTGAATCGATTCATGAGATTGTCTATGATCACATACAGAGAGAGTTGACTATAATGCTTTCCGTCAGTTCTGAGGAGCTGACGGGAGTCGTTCTATGTTACGTGCCACGTCATCTGGTAATGGCCGAACCGCTACTCTCATTTTGCAAAGGCTTCATGTTGAAACATACATCTGTTTAAGTAACTTGGTAGGTGCATCACAACGACTCAACACAGGTTGGCTTCATGTCATCCATGCGTCGATCCGTAAACGTCCGAACATCGTTAATTACTGGCAACTGGACGAGGTGTATAAATTGATGGATACTTCAACAGTACAAACGGCAAAGAACGAGAAGACTTCGCATCGGTAGATTCGCTATTTGCGACAAGATCAGTGTGCAAACACATGTGGGATACACGGAGACGCGGCCCCACAGGTTGGTGTATGGGATAAGAATTCCCACTCCAGTACGTTACAGTCGGCGGCGCCCTTAAAGTCCCGCTTTGTCAAAGTTAAAACACCTCGTCGTGAGACGACCGTCACGGTAAAAGACGGAACAGGTGCAGCAGAAGCGTGGCCGACCTACACACGACGGCACCTCTTGTTAAGTGCAGACGGTCAATAATTGTGCGAAGACACGCTGGCAATAGAGCGGTTTGGCGAACTCATTGCTTAGATCGAAGGCTGTCATCCTGAAAAGGAAATATCTATGTCACGAGATCTCTAACGGAAGCACTCACGTCATTTCTAGCATAGCTACACCGTGCAAGGAGGCAGCGCTTTAAAAGATGGCAACCGCGTTCCCTGGCCCTGAAAGATTTCTAAGAAGCCTTTTAACGAACGCCATCTCCTACCGTACAGCCTATTTCTCCAAAGGCCTTACGTTTTCCAAGGGCCCAACCTATAACAATTTCGACAGTCTTTATGCCAGATACTGTCCTCTGATCGCTTCTCAGCAAACTAGGTGATGGCTTCACCGTTCACGTCCTTCAGTTCCGGCCGACTCTCCGATTCTGTCTTCCGCTCCCTGTAAGCAAGGTACAGCGCGGTCGCGGCCGCAGGTCCCAACGCGGCGGCGCCAGCCAGCGTGCAAAGGGCCGCCAGCGGCCCGTCCTCAAGCAAAGCCAAGTATGCGAAGCACAGGAACAGCCCCATGGTATCCAAGAGTACGTACAGCACCACCGCATCCGAGGCGCTTTCTGCCGTCACCACGGCAACGAACTGAGCGCGGGCCGAAGGATTGCTGACGAGAACGAGGCAGCTGAAGATGCGCCAGAACACGCCCAACGTGGCAGCGACCAAGAAGCATAAGAGGACGACGTAGTTGAGATGGCGAGCTTCGTTCCCTTGTCCTTCTTTCGAAGCCGCTTCCGGATCGTGGGAACAGCAGAGGGCTTGCGCGAGAATGGGAACCATAAGCGGGAAGAGCGTCCCGGCTAGGAAAAGCGCCCAATGACTGTCTTCGGCGACCAGAAACGGGCCCAGCAAGCCGACGAGAGCGGAGAGCACGGCCGTGACGGTCGCCGCGTCGTCGCGCGTTAGCCGCGCCGGCGCCCTCGCGGCCGCGCTGAAGCGGCCGCGCGCGCCATCTGGGAAGTGGGCCGGCAGCCAGAGCAGCGAGAACGAACCGGAGGCGCCCAGAAAGGGCGTCAGGCCGAGTGCCACAATCTGGCCCGTTGCGTGCGCGCGCATTGATTCTCTGACAGTTGACAGGAGGTAGATGCTGACCAGGCAGAGAAAGTCCCCTAAGACGAGCAACCCAACTGAGCCGTTGAACAGGGCGCTGAAAATTGCATTTTGTGCGCAGAAGCCCGCGCGCAGAAGTGTCTCCAGCCTGGGAAGACTAGTAAGTTTCCACTCAGAGGCGCCACAGCTCTCGAGCAGGACGCGCGAGAAGGTGATGAGAAGATGAAGGAAGAGCGACGCGCCCAAAATCGCAGGGGGCGTACACGCGAGCATCTGGCGGCGGGTCAGGGGAGCCATTGCGGACAAAATAACTGGTCTCTTCCGTTGATATGCTTTGCGATGGGAAAACAACACGCAACGCTCTGAGAGGCAGAGGCAGTCGAGTAGAGTGGATTCTCGCAGGACACTCTTTTGTGTGCGGTTTTTAGTAAGCAGTGTGGGTATGACGGAGGGATTGTCGGCGATGCATGATGCCCGATATCCTGAAGCCGAGATCATCGAGACAGCTAGATTGAAGGTACAGTGATTGGAAGTAAACTACCCTGTAGTGTCAACTACAGACTCATGATCAAGTTCGACGTTGTCGGCAGCTGTCACTTGGGGCCTACATGCTAGACACCTGGCACCTCGCCACAGACTCACGGGCTGTTGCCGAAGGAAGGTCGTGCTATACTACTTGGCACGTTTCAACCGGTTAGGCGCACTGTGGTGGTCAGCGGATGCCTCGACTCCACTCATGGACTGCGCTGAGGCTGCCATAGGGCACTAGTCAAAAGTCCGGCTAGCTTTGAAACACGTTCGGTCGGACTATCACAAGGGCTGCTGACACATACTGCGACTCTCCGTTCGCCATGGCGCCCCCGACCCGCCGCCAGCTGCCGGCTTGCGCGCCGCCAGTCTTTCTTGGTGCCGCCCTCATCTTGTTTCGCGCAGCCGTCTCTCTGCTCCTTTTCCGGGCGTGCGGCGGTTCCCTTGCTCCCGTCACGACTCCGAGTGACCTGCGCCGCCTGATTGGCGTCGTCGACTGCACCCAAGCGACGGTTTCCGCGACCCTTGCCGACAGTCCAGTCCCGCTGCTCGTCTTCCTGGAGGTTCTGTTTCTCGAGGGTGTGTACCTGCTGTGGAGCGCCCAAGAGGGGCTGAGAAGCCGGTCTTTCTTTCCTTTTGCGTCAGTTCTGCTGCTGCCACTTGTTGGCCCGTGTGGCGCTCTCGCTGCGTTTTCCTGCCTCACTATATCCTCAACGGCGGTCGTGTTCCGGTCCTGACGGCCGCAAGTAAGCGGGCGCTCACGCTTCCTGAGCTCACCAATGGGGATGCATTTCTAGCCGCGGTTGTGCCCGTCGTGTTCGCGGTGTGTCTAGGCCCTCTTGTGCTCCCCAAAGAGAGTGTCTGGGCGCTTCTTGCTGCGGCGGCCCTGTTTCCGGTCATCATCACTCTCCTGTGGCGCCCTCTGCGCGTCTGCGGCGCGCGAAAGCCGCCCCCGCCAAACCCTCAAAAGATGCCCACGCTCGAGCGCTGCCTCCTTCTACAGATGACGGCACAGTTTAGGAATAGTAAGCCGTAGGAATAGTAAGCTCAAACCAAACACTAAAAACCTAACCTATAAAAACTACCCGCTTCGCACCCCTACCCACCCTAACCCCCAAACTAACCCTACCCGTCCCAGGCTGGTGAGCTTACTATTCTTAAAGCTTACTATTCCTAAACTGTGTCGGGAGCTTCTACAGTTCGTGACGCTAGCTGCCGCAGGTCTCGCCTGGCGCGTCTTCGGTTACTTGGTCATCGCCAGCGATCCGACGGTCCGGAACAGCTTCTTTGCTCTGCTTTCAAAGGGAGATTTCATTGCAATTACTCCTGATATGCTCGCGCACTACTTTCTGCTCGAAGCGCTCGGGCTGTCGCTGTCCTTCGCGTATTTTGCTTTGCTCGAAGACGGTGCGCGGGCGGCTCTCGGCGTCCTGGGCGGAGCGCTCGCGCTGGGACCCGCGCCGGCTGTGGCGCTGTATCTGGCTTCCCGAGAGCGCCGAATTCACGCTGCTGTGGAGAAGGAGCAAGGCGCAGCCGAAAGTGTACACTAGTGGAAACGAAATCGTCGGTAATCGTGTGGCCTCCTCGTAGGACTAACTTGAGCCTTCAGAAAAGGACAGCATAGAGCGGACGACTCTGGCTCGAACATCGTTTCAAGGGTCTCTTATAGTAGAGACACTCACATCGAAGGAGAAGAATTCCCATTTGAGACATCACACTTTGTAAAGATATCTGTCTTTGCTGGATGACGTATTTGCGCTTCATAATGAGGAATCCGGTTTACAGAGTCGAATCGTGTGTACCCACTGTCTCTCAGTATAGGTGAAACGTTCAAAAGGTTGCAAGTTCGTTCGGCAGGTCAGAAGCGACACCGCTTCCTTGTACAGGACACGGACTCCTAGACCAATTTTTCATGATGAATCAGATTGAGAATTGATTGGCACGATGAAGCACCCGGATCCGCTTGAGTATAATAAAACTATATCCGTTCCCAGCCCTCTGCTTTGAGCTTGTTTCTGTCCGTAATTTGTAACACGTCCAAGTATAGCACAAAATCCGCCTGTCGTGGCTGAAACTTTGTTAGGAAAGCATCGTTCTGAAAAACCTACAGCTGTACACGCTTTCTGAGCTGCTGGTAATATCAGGCAAGTGCCCGTGTACACTTCATCGCGAAAGAGTCGGGGGCCCCTGCAATCACATCGCAGATGTTCAAGGAGTCTTCCTGAATCCTGTTCAAGACCCTCGCAACTGTCGGTTAGGGTACCAATATCTTGTTCGTCAATTGCACCTCAATTGCACCCGTAATGCTTAGGCAGAACTTTGCCAGGTTTCGTACTCATATCTTGTTGAGACCTGCCATAGCCGTGTAATGCATGCCCTCCCTTTTATAATGGGAATTGAGCCCATGAACAACATTCTATGAGTTGCAGTTCCTGCTATGAGCAGACGGCGTCGTTGTTGCCGTCTTCGACTTACAAAATACATCTCGGATTGCGCACCTCTTGAAGACATGTGCCTGAGAGTTTTATCTTTACAGAATTAACGCGCCATGTTTTGCAATTGAGTAGATGCAAGGTACAGGATAAACGTGGATTTTGGCAAGCATAATCTCATGCAATCACTCATCAACTGGATTCCACGTAGTTGCGTGCCGGTTTGGCGCAGTACTGAGCTCAACCAAAATGGACTCGAGCTTCGCTCAGCAGTATAAGTTTGAATTTGCTTGCATGGACGCCTCCATTGTTCAGCTTACTCATGGGGAGGACTCTGATCAGATTGCACTGTATCAGAATCTTATGTCAACTCGAAGACTCTTGAAAGCGCCCACACGCGCTTTTCCCTTCAACTTTTTTGCACGAAAGACAGCAAGTATGCTACGGAATGTGCCATCAATGCTTTTGCGCACTGTCGCACAATCCACCAGTTTGACAATACCACTGCTGCGGAAGCGACTAACGTGTTCCAGGACACAGTGTCTCTGACAACGCCAACATGATTCTTAGACATTATGGAGTCATAGGGCAAATCTTTGTAACAAAAACGGCATCAGAGTGACGCCAAATGCTGGACACGCCGCTGAAACAAGGTTTCAACTCAATTGATATTCTCAACCTTACATTTGCATAGCTTTGACGCCTGTGCGTACACGTCACTGACATCAGGCAAGCCGCAGAAATAGTGCATTTCAGTGCAAGGCAGAGAAGCCCACATGCCACGTCAAGGCAGGGAAGCACACATGCCACGTCTGGTCGCGTTTCACGGATTCTGGTCGAATGCATCTTTCAAATTCGGAGCTATATGTCGACCTATTTTTTCGTACAACAGACGAACCTCTTCCAAACGGACCAATCTACAGGTACATCGACGGAGAGACAATGCAAATCTTTGATCACACCTTTTTGAAAAGAGAGTCGTCAAGTAAGCGACTATCCCGCTACTCATCGACACGGATTTGACACGTCACGAGTTAAAGTACGCTGCACGGTCCCCGGTGACCTCCATCTAAAACCAATTGTACTCATCCCAGAAGCGGTTGTTCTTTTCTTACAGTGAACAACATTCTCAAACGATTCTCAAAAGAACGTTGATCTCTACGGTACTGTTTTCACTAAAACTGCCCGCCCATCTCAAAGAACACGCCTATTTTATATCTCCGGCTCGCAAATCTCTTCGCACTACGATAACCCGATTTGAATCCCTTCTAGACACTATTCTGCTTTCGCAGCCACCTCGTGCTCCGTTTTCTCAAGCCCTCCGCCCTTCTTCTCTAATTTCGTCAGGTGAAGAGCCACAGCCGGCGCGGGTCCCAGAACGAACGCCCAAGCCACCACACAAAATGCTTCCAGTGGCCCGACCTCGAGCAGAGCACAGTACGCAAAGCCAAGCGTCAGCCCAGTAAGAACCAGCAAGTAGATTTGCGCGACCATCTCGGAAGGCCCGACCGAGGTGCCTTCCGCCATGGAGAGCACCGCGCGGAACTGCGCCCAGGCGGACGGATCGCTGGCGACGAGCGAGGACGCGAAGACGTGCCACGCCCAGCCCACAGAGACAGCGATGAGGAAGTCGGTCTCTCCTGTCCTGAACGCAATCTTCATGTCTTCATCTTTGTTTCCGCGAATGGCCATGTGAAGACGCCAGAAGACAGGGACTCCGATGACCGGGAGAAGCATTGCAGCCGGGATGAGCGCCCAGAGACCTGCCCGGACGACCAAGAGCCGCATTCCGAGCGCTGCGATGATGAGAAAGTGGGTGGTCGTGGACAAGGACACGTCTGCTTTTGCTACTGTCAGCCCATTCCTCTGAGCGGAAGCAATGATGTTGCACGGGGGCCAGAAGCGGAGGAACGAGCTGCGCGCGCACAGAATGGGGGCCAGGAGCTGAGAGGCTTTAGTCGGAGCCCGCGCGCGGGGCCGCGACTCGTCGTTGCCTCTCGCCACGACCAGCAGAAAGCAGATGTGGAGAAGACAGAGGCACTCCCCGTAAAAAAGCAGCGCCACAGGGTTGTAGAACACGGCGCGCAGAGTTTCAGCTTGGATGCAGAAGCACGCGCGCGCCGCTTTCACGAGCAGCGCGAGCGGTCGGGTGAGGGGCCACGCCGTTCCCCCGCAGCTCTCCGTAAGGCGCAAGCCCACGGCCGTGAGGGACAGCAGAAAAGTCGCGCCGAGGGCGGCGGCGGCCGCGCATGCCAGCAGCTGGCGGCGGGTCGAAGGCGCCATGGCGAGTCGAGGAACGTGTGTCGATCAGCGAGAGGGAAGAAGCGAGAGATTAAGACGCGAGACGTCTGCGGGTGGCGGCCTTAAGCTTCTGCGCGAGCTCTCCGTGATGTGAGTCGCCCGTTTTGATGGATTTTGCCTTGATCAAGAGCAAAGACTCGTAAGCTGAGACAGTCTCAGAATGAAGACGACGTTCGCACCTGTTACAAAGGCTGAAACTTGTGAAGGGGGAGACAGTGCATGCATTTGCCCCTCGTAAGATGCTAACACGTGGCTAACCGTCACCATAAGACGAATCTTGGTGGTCGAAATCTTCGACGACTTCCTTAGCCGCCCCACGCATGCTTGGGTCCCCACCCGTCATCTGAGATGCAAACACCTGAGAGGCATACAGTATTCTTACGAGTGTCTCAGTCGACAGGGCAGCTAGTCAAGACCCCAAATGATGGGAGTGATCTGACTGCAAACCCGCCTGCTATCGAGCTGATTCAAAACTACCGGGCCATTTCACCCGCCATCTGGCAGTTAAAGTTGGCGCTTAAAAAGACTGGCGAGTCGCAAGCAGAAACGATTTCTTATTAGTCAAATCATGGCACCCTAGTATTACACCTGCTTAGCTTGCAAGATGCCATGGCATGCCCGCCGCCTTTACTGTATTCTGCGGTCTCAACCGTGACTCCGTTCAGCTACACAAATTCGGCGGCCTATTGAAGAACGTACATGCGCTGCCGGTCTAGCTGCTGCAGCACCGTCATGCCGCACTGAAGCGCGTACTAGAGAATCAATCCTCGAGGATCGTTGAATGATCGCAGCCTGGGCGAATCACAAATATGTGTACAGCTACCAATAGCTAAAGAGTACACAACGGTACTCGAGGATTTAGCAACTGGCCCCTGGCATGGATCATGATGCATGTGCGCTGATATGCGCAGTACTGCCCTAACCGTTGAGTGCATGGTCGATTAATTAAGTATACGTATACAACCGAGTGATTTCAGCACACAGACTTCACTGTCGCTATTCTTGGGCAAACAAAAGCGGCGGGGCCGGCCGCGCCCTTAACACAGATTAGACGATCACATGAATTACTCGATTGAAGCGTTCATGGGATTACTTGTACGTGTAAACATGAGCCTATCTGCACAAATAGTTCGTCCCCTTTCCCATCGGTCCATTTCGGAACTTAAAAGGAGAGTTTGATGTAGTACCTCGTTCACGCACCGCTGGCATAAGCTTTGCCGGACGGTCTTACTCTGTTCAAAGAAAACTTATATCTGGTGCAACCTGATCTGTCAGCTTTCTCCTTGGGAACAACTTCTGTCCTATCAATCGGTTAGCGCCAGCTTTAATGAAAGCCTTGCAAGGGCATCGCCGTGCAAGTATTTGCACTTGGCATAATCAAGCGACCGGAGTCTGTGCACTTTCGCACCAGGAAAAGCGCCAGCTTTTACACTAGCGGTAGTCTGTCATAGACAAGCCTTGCGTGGATGGGGCCTTGATGGCTGTCCGGCGGCTCTGAGAAGCGTAACCCAGACCTTTGTTTGCACCACAAGCTGCCCTAAACCCTCAGTGCGCCTGCAATGAGCGTGCGAGAGGAGCACCATCACATTAGTTGCTTTCGAGACACACCCTTTTGCGTTCTGAAAGTCCTACGGTCGTCGATATCAAATAGATGCACTCGCAGATTATTCTGGCCCCCTCTGCGGTTGCCTGTGCACCTCACTAACTTGGGCAACGGAAGCGAGAACGAGCATGAGTGGTCTTCTGCATTGCGTGCTCGATCAAGCATTGTGTCTACGCAACAGAATCTGACTTTGTAGGGGCGAACGCGGACGCACAGCTCACCGGCTATTCGCAGGTTTGCCATTGCAGGCGGCGGCTTGGAAAGCGGTGCTGTTCAGGGCTGAACACGAGTACTCAGGCCGGTTCCCTGTCATCTCGGACGTTGTAGTTGCGGACCTGGGGCGGCTCCGCCTGCCGTCGCTGCTGGACGGCTTTCAGCTTGGCGCGCTGGCTGGCGGTGCCCTGCAATGACAAAGAGCAATTCGTTGGTGGACTGAGCCAATGATGCGAAGGAGGAGAAGCTTCTTGCCTTGCTGCTGGAAACAAACGGGGCCATTTGGAAACTGGTCTGAGTACAAATACAGCGGGTCAAGACCACGAAGAATGTGAAACTAAGATGCACATGAAAGGGAAGTCTGTTCCAGCAGGAGGAGCTTCTTCGTAAGCATGGGGACGTAAACGAATATTAAAATTGAGCGAGGGTTCACGTCTCCATCACCGCACGCAAATCAATAATAGGCCATGTAGCATTCGATTCCACGGCGTGGTAAGCGTGGCAACATAGAGAGGCCAGCCCAGCAAATCCAAGCGCCTGCTCAACCGCAAAGGTCTCACCTTGTGAATGATCTCCACAATCGTCGGCCTTGGTGCTTGAACCCCCGCCACTACAAACGGAGCCCCGGCAGGCGGCATGGCGCCCCCTTTGCTGACGGCCGCTGACCTCACCCCCTCGGTGGGCTTCCCTTGCGCCTCTCGTACGGCATTCGTCTGAGCCGTGAGAGGCCTCGTGGTAACAAGCGGCACCGACCTCTGCCCAACAGGCGGTCTTACGAAGGGCGCAGGAAGTTCGGGTTTTGGGTCCGCCACAACTGGGTTAGGAAGGTTCACAGAGGGGTTAGCGGCCGTCCGTTTCTTCAAATCCGCTCGCAGGGCGTTACTGAGCTCCATCAGACGGTCCCTCTCCTCACCCAGCCGCCGCACTTCTTCTAGCGCTAAAGACAGTTGCTCGCCCGGCGGCGCATGACCCATACCTAAACCCTCATAACCCTGCCCAAACCCACTTCGCCCCGCGCCTGAACTTGGTGCACTTTGCCCGCGCTCGGGCCCGGGCCCAATCCTTGGGAGGTGTGCAGGCGCATACAGTGGAAAGAGTCCGGGTGGCGGCTCATTCACACCAGGGTGCTGCAGGCTTTGCACAGTGGTGAGAACAGGCTCCAACCGGGCGCTCATCTGCGCCAGCCGCTGCTGCACCGTGCCCAGCTCATACCGGAGCTGCTCCACCTCGGGCGTGTTCACACCGCCCCCGCCAGCACTTTCTCCGTGGTTTCCCCCCTGGCCCTCTATCGACGTTACACCTGCCACGTCAGCAACAGAACCTCCCCCGGCTCCCGTCATATGGTTGCCTAACCCGGCCGAGCCCTGCGGTTCAGATCCAGCCTTTGTTCCGCCCCCAGCCGCAACACCCAGAGACTCCTCCTCATTTCGGGCGCCCTCCGTCCGTGCGGGTCCCGTTCGCGGCGTCATGGCGACCACTGCCCTCTTCTGTAGCTCTTCCATTTCGCCCCGCATATGGTGCACCACCGCCCGGATCTGCTCGTTCTGAGCCGCCATCCCCGCCAAGCTGCGCCGCAGGAGCTCATTCTCTTCCTCGAGCTCCTCGTTTCCTGCTAACTCTCCATCCCCTGTAATCCGAAACCCAGAATGCTCGTCGTTCTCATACCCACTTCTTCCGGCCCTTCCGCTCTCGACCTCCTCCGCCGCATCTTCGTATGCCTTGAAAAGCTTATGTGGGCGATCCCTTGGTGACTTCAACCCTCCCCCGGGGCCTGGCGATGCCGCGAAGCTCATGTGCAGGGAAGGAATTGGCGACGGCGCCGGCAGGGGGGATCCCAAAGAGCTTGCGCCACCCCCCCGATGCGGGACTGCAATTGGGGGTGGCCTTTTTGCTCCCGAAAACGCACCTCCTGGCGTAGGGGCAGTGGACGGGCGTGGAGGTACAAAGCTTGGGGGACTTTGAGGCCGCTGTTGATGGGTTTTGACGAGTCGTTGCAATTCGTGTGCCAGTTCTGCCGCGCGCTCTTCGGCCTGCTTGTGGAGGGCGTTGGCGTGGTCGCGCTGCTGCTGTAAGCTCAGAATGAGAGCCTCGCTGCGGGCGACGGCCCGGCGCTCCTTCTCCTCGGCATCCTGCGGAGGAGGAGGGCAAGGCAGAGTAAAGACGCGGGGCTGGGAGCGGACAGGATGGGATGTCGTGAGCGGTCCTACAAAGGCAGACCATTGTTGACGGTGCCGATTAGGCAAATGATAATAAGGACGGAGAGCAGTTGCGCATTTGTGACCAGCACCCTTGCTGAATTCCGAGGACGTGAAACTGGTAGTGAGCAGGCGCAGTAAATTGCAAATGCAGCAAAGCGCTCTGCTACAAGTAGCCCAGGAGACGTCATGACCTAAGAGAGCAAACTTAATTCCTGAGAGACGAGAACTAAACCCAAACCGCATCAGGAGAAAAGACGCGATTTCCAAGGAGCACCAGGCCCAACACGCGCCCAACGGGTGGAGCTATCGCCTACTGACCTGCTCGCCTCTCAACGTCGCCTGGACCACCTGCCTCTGCAGTTCCTTTTCCCTGGCCGCCCCGGCGACCAGCTGCTCTTTGTAGTTCGCTACATCCGCCCGCCGTTCCTCCAGCGTCCGCTGCGCCGCATCCAGCTTGGATTGCGCCGCATCTAGTTCCGCGCCCTTGCGCCACAGCTGGTCGGTCAACTCCTGACGCGTTTGCTCCAAGCGATGGTCTTGGTCGGCGCTTGCGGCAAGGGCTGCGTCGAGGCTGCGCTGGGCGGCGGCCGTTTGCTCCTCCAGCTTGAGCTCTAGCTCGTGCACCTGCAAAACGAAGAAAGGAGAGAAATCTGAGCTTTGAAATCGACCTGCTTTCTAACGGTTGCAAAAGCAGGGAACAGCGTCTTTTGCGGATCACGGGCGTGAAGCAGATCGAAGGCCGCTTCTGTTGGTGTATTACAGTCCAGGCTTTCGAGGATGATGAATGCTGGGGCAAACAGCGTTGTTGCCCGTACACGTCAATTGACGGATCGATGAGTCGGTAACCGATAGGAATAACGCTGACCCTATGCTGAAACCTTTCTACTGTGGTAATCCCCATGTAATATGGTAATCGCCATGAAAGAAGCCCTCTACGACCGAACGAATCAAAACAGAGATCCATTCAACGATCCTTCCCATGCGGTCACAAAGCAGAAGGGGCCGCAGGCTAAGAAAAGTACCGCTTCGAAAGTCAAGCTCCTCTTCACATTTCCAACTTCGTACCAAATCACGTACCAATCCACTAAAGATCGAACTTGAGACCTGGGCTGACCTGCTTCTTATAGCTCTCCCCCTGCTCCAGTTTGTGCGCCTCCGCTTCTTGGGCCCGCTTCACCGCCGCCGCCACCTTCGCCTTCAGGGCCGCCGCCTCGTCCTCCGACCGGCGGGAGATGCTCGCGAGTTCGGCCGCATGCTCCTGCTGCTGTCGAGACATCATCTGCTGCACCGCGCTCAGCGCCGCCACCTGGAGAGGGGCACTCTGCCAAGTTGGTGCTCAGCGTAAACTCTTGGTGACATTTTCCCAAACAATTTCCTCAAAGGAGGAAGCCTAATCTCGGAACCTTCGCACTAATCAACTTAACCTTAGTAAGTTGGACCTCAGCGCCGCCACCTGGAGATGAGCAATTTTGCAAGTTGGTGCTCGGCGTAAGTTCGGACGGTATTCCTTGCTGAAGAAAGCCTGACGTCTGTTTCCTTCCCAAGGGCAACTTTTAGCTCAGTAGTCGGACGGCGCTACTTTCGTCTGACGCGTTCGCCAACTGCGATCGTGTCGTTACTGTCAGTGCAGATGTGCTCCCAATATTGGCATGCCGAATGCCGAATCTGGGCTGATCCAACTTGCCATTGAAATGCCTCCGTTGACGACTCCCACCGAAGAAAGCAGACGCTCACCAGTTCCGTCGTCTTGTCCCCGAAGTCCTCCTCCATCTCTTCGTTGCGCTTCAATGAAGCGTTCAGCTGCGCCTGCAGTTCCGCTCCCTCTGTTTCTCGCAGCTCGCGCACTTTCTCCAGCTCCCACGACAGGGCCTGCCACCGGATTCAAATCTCAGCATAAGAAGCGGCAGCTATGGGGCGGAGATGAGTAGTAAGTTCACAGCTTCAGGAGCAACTCGCTTGAAATAAGTGCTCGCAGTTCTCGTGGGCATCGAAGAATTTATTTAGATACGTGATGCGTGCCACGAATCGTCGGCGGCAAGGCGTTCGATTAAACAGAGTAACTTTGACACGAGCAAGGCTTGAGAGTCAAATTCCATCGGACTTCGAAGTTCTTCAGTTGTCACGGTAAGAATCGCACTCCGTATGCATATAACACGTGAAGCCTGCAAGGACTTGCTCTTGCATTCGAGCCGAGTGCATCTCACCCATGCAGCGTTCATGATAGAGCACATGCCTTGCAAAATTGCCAGAAGGGAAAGAGTCAGGCCAATTGAGCGGGTTTACCTCGACTTGTCGCTCCTTGGCCTCCAGAGTAGCGCGCAGCTTGGAGCTCTGCAAGACACGCACTTGCATTTGATACGCCAACTATCCAACCGTCGCAGTTTGAGGGCTCGTAGCAGACAGCTAAGTCAGAGCAGGTTGACAATAGTGCCAAGGAGAATTTAAGCGACTTGAGCAAAGACAAGCGGAGCCAAAGGTTACAACAAGGCCCCATCTTCTGTGATGTAAAGAGATTGATCTACTTACTATCGGCCGCCAAAAACACATCCTGCCCTCGAAGAAGCATAAGGTTAGCGCGTCTGCGTCCAATCTTACATCGTCCTGTAGCTGCTCGACCCCCTCTTCCATCATGCGCAACTTCCGCTCCTGCACGCCGGTCACCAAAATCAGCTTCTGATTCGAGAGCAAGGGGCCTCCGGCAATCAGAAAAAGTAACCTTTCCCTAACCTGGTCAGGGTAGCTCTCTAGGATGCGCCACTTAAGAGTGCAACTCTTTACTTTAGCACTCGATGGTTGAACAAGTTTTGGAGACTGTCAAAGATTGGATCGATCCAGGTTAGATGCGAGAAGATTCATGGGACTGGAAACCCGAGTCTCTGACATGCAAGGCTGATCCTGAGAAAACGACAGCAGGACTGACCAGTTTCTTGCATTGCTGCTCGGCGCCAAACGTTTTCGCAGTGGTCTCATCCAGGCACAGCTGGCTTTCTGTCTCCTGCTTCAGCAGGTTCTCCTCGTACTGCCGCGTCAGCTCTCGCCGCTGCAGGTCCAGCGCCTCCTGGGCCTCTGCCACCTGGCGCATCAGGTCTGCCGAAAGCAGGGCCGTGCTTAGCAACCCAGAAGGTTTCTCTCCAAAACACTGAGCGCACTTTGCGTAAAGAGCACTCTTCTCATTGCGACAACAAGAGGTCGTCAAACAAGGGCTGGAGCGAATATAGAGGGCACGGTGCCAGTGCAACTGAAGCAGCAGTATGGTGCAAACAGCGTCCTCAGCAGATCCTTTTGCGGTTGCATAGGTCAATCCGTGCAGAGAGCTGCTCACCGCCGTTGATGGCCTCAAAGGCCTGCCGTTGTTTACGGAGCTCTTCCTCGCAGTGCCACTGTGCTTGTTCTACCTGCTCCCGCGCCTCAACCACCTTCTGCCTGGAGTGCGCCGCATCCTCCTCGGCTCGTCTCCGCTCCTGCATGGAAATGAGTTGAGGTGAAACAGGTGCCCGGCGAGAATGATCGGAGTGCTTGAGGTCGCAGCTTTGTATGGGGTCCTTCCTTATGGGAACCAAGATCTCCTCCTGCCAAATCACGAGGAGCCATTGAAGGTTTCGAGTCGGTGAATTTGGCGTTTGTCAATTCCAATGTTCGATCTGCTTCCATAAGCGACTGATGCACTTTCCTTAAACCCATCCTGGGCCATCCACCATACAAATGCATAGTCTCTAGCTTTCACAAACACACAGGGCACCTTCACTCAGAAGAGAAGGGAAAGGGGGCAGAGCGGCATGAATATTAGGTCCCAGGTCGGCCTATGCTTCATCTCATACGATTTCGAAAGTCATGAGTCCCAAAAAGCAAAGAGAACATGTTATTTCAGCGTTCCAAAAGCCTGGCACGCCAAGCACGAGGCAAGCCTGATTCTTTCCAAGAGTCTCCTATGCACGTCAGGCCCCTCACCTCCTGCAATTGAGCCTCAGCATCTGCAAGGGCTGAGCGCGCCTCCTTGAGAAGTCTTTCCCCATCAACCACTGCTGCTTGCAATCCGGAGAAAGAAGCATCGTAGGCCTCCAGCTCAAAATCTCGTGCTTCCAAGAGGCTCAAGTTGTACTGCTCAGAAGAAGGGAAGGGGTGCTTTAATTCGAGATCACGTCTAATTGTCTTTTGATCCAGCATTTGAGGTAACATAATACCCTGTTTGAGGACTTGCTAGAGGCACAAATACTCCGCTGTGCCGTGCTAGGTCAAATGTCAAAGAGCCTGTGATCACAGACAGAGAATCAGAAGGAGGCATACTCACCTGGAAGTCTTCCTGAAGCTGTGTGAAGTTGTCGGTGACTGCATCCAGATCAGCTTCCCTGGACAGCAGCTGCAAGAAGACCCGGCAGTATTCAGAGTCATTTCTCACACTGAGTTGGTTTCGCCCCTGTCCAAGTCAAGCACAACTCAGTGCGACTCTTTACAGAGTGGCCTCACACCAAAACCCACTTGAAAGTCTCACAGAGCAGCTTGTGGCACAGTTGCGAGCAGTCAAGAGCAGATAGGAATCAGCGCAATCTATACTGACCTTCTCCTCAAGCTTCTGGATGCGCTGCTCCCAAAGACTGACAATCTCCTTCTCCTTCTGGTCAATCAGATTCTTGAAGAAGCCCTCATCAGACGCCCGCACCATCCTAAGGGTAAAGAAAGTTAGAAAGGGCTTCAGGGACCAGATAGAAACACTGAGACGTTCTGACCTCATCTGACCTCATGTTGGAACACAGTATCTTGGCAAGCTGACCAAGTGACGCACAATGTACCGCTCAACATTTAGCTTCTCTGCGGTGAGTGGGCAATAAGCGTGGAAACACACAGCATTGCCTCATCTTCCAACTCATGATGCGTCTTCCAAAGCTAAGGAGGGAGGGCTATGGGGTATAAAATTCTGACATGTCAAGTGCTGAAGCAAGATGGGGCGCAGCAGAGTCTTTGCAGGGTGCTGAGAACCAGTGGTCCTGCTCCTGTAGGCCCTAAATTGAACTCTTCTGCATTGGCTCTTCCCTGCCGGCTAAAGAAAAGGCTTCACCAACAACTGGACACTGCAAAATAACCTTTGTTGCACGCCTTATCGACAGCGAGAGGGCAGCAACCAGCACTCTTTTGATGCGGAAACGAATGAGCACTCCAGGTCAAAGATGCAATCTGACCTTCAAACGGATCGCAAGTATTGCAGCGGCCTCTTTACTAAGCTCTTACAGTCTGCCCAAGGGTTTTACCTCAAGCCTCAGTTGTTGGCTTGCTATCCTTATGCGATGCTGCAGCATACCGCGGGCATACCGCCGTCCCTGATCGTGGTTTAAAGTTCTATTAAATCTCATGCTCCTCCAAGATTGCGACACTGGTGGACCTGCCCAAAGGTCCTCTCTTCAATTCCATCTTGTAGGCAGTTGGGAATCGCGGATGGGGCGTAGCCCAGCTTATCATTGAACCAATTTCTGATGTAGCCCACATGTGCCCAGGCAAACCAGATCTCTGCCAGCTCACAGACCGATTCAGCACCACCATGTCACAGAGCCAAAAGCAAGGGCAGGTCTAGGTCTTTGACAATTGGGATCATCATTGCTTCAGGACACCTTCAAGTTCCAACCCGCCTTCCGATGAATGCCCTCCATGAATGAATCCCAAATGGGTATGTACTGTCGTTCTTCAGAGTTTGAATTTGAAGTTTGAGCTTTCAACTTGCCTAAAAGTTGCATGACATTGAAGCAGCGCCCCCTCAATGCTCATGCAGACTCGGAGTCAAAGGCCGGGGGCTGGAATGCGACTCCTAACCGCGGGTTCGAATTTGACTAACCCCGAATCCTATCTTACGGGGTTCAAGGAGGGAGGGGGTGCCTATCAACGGTGGCGGCTACGAGCGAAGAAGCTGCGCGCGTGCTGTAACGGGTTTCCATCGGACTGACTGTGACTTGACTCTTGAGTGTCTACGATTCTTGAACTTCATGGCGCCCTGAGATTCATCAAAGGTTGCGAATCGGCGGCTACCAATTTAATCTTCCCATCTAAATAGGTATACAATTACACTTATAACCATGATTTCACTTTTCTACTTTTCCAATTCGACAAGCACCCACAATGTCACAATGACAATCAGGTCGGATCAGTGATGCAATGAGATAGCGAGATCTCAGATAGCCAGGTTTTGAGGCATGAGTCTGATGAGTGCTGTGGCCGCGGCACTCTGGCACGCGTACATGGGACTCTGATAAGCTGATAATTGGCCTTGGCCAACGCGAAAACTCGCGGCCGCAATCGTCTTGATTACTTCGTCCTGTAGTATCCTTAGGTATCATCCTACCTAGTTTCAGTAATGTGATCACATGATCATCATATGATGCATGCACTCCATGTCCCGGGCCCAGATGATCGAGGTATATTCTCTCGAGTATCTTCAGCCGTTTGACTTCTGGGTCGTTGACCACGGCTCTGAGTCGGCGGATCCAGCTTCTATCAAATACATACAGTCGAGAAGGGACCTTCAAGTTCACTTCATAGAGTCTCATCGGTGAAATTGGACACACGGTGACGGTTAATTAGCGCTATGCAGAGGTATGAACATCTAAGAGCTCAACGTAGTCGCGGCCTCGTTAGGGGACCGGTTAACGTTGATGCCAGGTTTATTCACGTAAATTAAACGCCCCCTTCATGGTGGATAAGTTGACGATACATCATGATACGATCGAGACTGCAAGTACAACATGCCTTGATGGCTTCCCTAGCTTATCAAAGCTTTGTGCCACACACATCTGCACATCCGGTAGCCACAAGACGGTTGTCTGAAGGCAAGTCACGCTGATTCAAGGTCGCGAGTTCTGAGCTACTTGGTGTGACACTAGAAATCTTTGATGAGGAGCCTGCTGTGTCTGACTTAGAGATGGTTGACCGAATTGCCTACTCAAACGGCTCGAAGGGCCGCGTCAAGCCAAAATTTTGTCAAGGAATTTGCCTCAGTTCTGACGGCCACCTTGGGAAATCACAGCCTTGTTTGAAAATCATTTGTCCAGGGGCCTTTCCTCTACATTGCACCGGTCATTTTTCAAACCATAATAGAAAAACAACTCTTAAGGCTTCAACTTTTCAATCAAACCTCAGAAGCTCTGGTGGTTCATTCCGTTTGACAGAGAGATCTTCAGACAACCATCAACCCAAGAGTATTGCTCTCTTTGAAGCGCTTGAGGTAATCTGCTGCATGTCAACCGCACCAAAAGGCACTAAAATCGGAAGCACCTACCTGAGATGATTGTTGGGAAGATTAAAACTGAATGTCATTGAAAAACAATCAGAGCGCCTTGACACAGCTTGGAAGCTCCCTCTGCAAACGTTGGCTGACAAATCTGATCAAAGATGGAACTGCCAAGAGGTTGACCTGAATGATGTTTCTTTTGATTCACTCTCTCGCTGCCACATCAGTGGGTTTGACTGAACCAACAGGACACAGTGCCACAAATGTTCAATTCAGATCTTAAGCACAACCCAGAAAGCAGGCAGCGATGTTATTGAAGGCAGTAGAAACAGCAATAATCTGGCAGTTTGCTGAAGTCTAGACTTCAATCTGGATTTATTGCCAGTACACCATGACCAAGGCAGTCAAAACCAGCTTGTTCCTATGATTATGTCAAGTGCAACAAGAAGTACCTGCACCTAATGAAGGACCACCATGCTCTAACTTTGATGCTCACCGTCGAGTGGCACCTTTTACAGCAGCAGAATATCTTTGACCTTTTATAGAGCTGGCTCTACTTCGGCCAGGACCTCTTTCGCGCTTTTGTATTCTTCACTTTCTTGCAAGCTTGCATCTGCCTCTCCTTCCTCCTGTATGGAAGTTGGAAACAACATGTTTAGAAGCGGATTCCATACTTGATTGTCCATCCAAAGGGTGGTGGCTGCTCCAGGTTTCATCCGTAGCAGATTGTGTGTTTCTGAGATGCAAAATAAGCAGCGTTATTTGATAAGGGCGCCAAATAGGCCAAATATGCAAAGCAGCTCACCACCGCTGACTGTAGATCCTGAAACGCGTTCTGCAATCTCTTCTTTGCATCTGGGATCATCATTTGTGTCTCCCCCAGCACACTCTCCTGCAAGGGAAAGCCCGGCTTAGACATGGTTCATTTGCTGCTGAAGTAATTTGAAAGCATAAGAGCAGAGTTCAACATGTAAAAGCTCAGGCTAACCATGAACCAGTATGTGCAGGCCTTCGTTCAGAGACTGCTTTTGTATGAGAGTGTCACTCTTTTTCTTGTTTCAAAATTGTCAATTGAAGAATCAGAACCCAAAATAGTGAAGCACAGAACTCATGAATTGCTGTGATATCAGTGTCTCAGAAATTGGACTACGGAAGCATGAATACCTGCTGCTTCAGGTCGTGAGAGTCAGCCCCCTCTGCCTTCATCTTCTCTGTCCGAGCTAATTCCATCTGGAGCTCCTTCTCATAGGAATTCACCTCTTTGAACACCCGCTTCAAAGTCCCCGTCTTTATTTTGATGTTCTTTTGAGACGCCATATTGCTTTTCTCTTTATTTCTCTTTAGTGCACCTGATTTTCAACACATCGAAGGATATTAGCCAATCCGACCAATCAGGAAGCTTTCATTCAAGCATGCCCCGTTGACCTCCAAAGTTTTTGCAGCGGCTCCTAGGTTGCTGAATGCGTCAGCTCAAATGCCTCCTGCTTTCTGCGCTCGTTGAAACGACGAGCTCTTCCGTCAGCGACTTTCGGTTAGCCTCCAGCGTAGCCAGGCCCGGGCAGTTCACCATAGAGCGGCCCGCGCGATTGAGAGGTCGGTAGGTCTCAGAGCTCAGGTAGTCTAGGACGCCCGAGTTCGCAGTGCAGACTTGCACACTCTGTCTAGGGTAGGAGGATCCTAAGGCTAGAGACCGAGATCGAGGCTCGACTTGTATATTTTCGGACTGTTGGCTTTGCCGACCCATTTATACCGGGCTCGTGTGTGTGTGTAGCTCTCAAATTTCCAAGCACCAGGTGGCATAACCCACCTCGATGACCAACTTTGTGACAGGCACCCGAACGCCTGACCAGCTCAGGCCCCGGGCGTAATATTGGAACTTTCGGCTTACTTTAATTTACAAGGCCCCGAATGAACCGAGCGTGGGGAAAGTCCTACCGGCCACCTACCGTTGCAGCAGTAATGCACGAGGTTAACTGCTGCAACCAAGGGAACATGAGATGTCCAAAGCCCAAGGCTAAGCTAGGCGCTGCGCCTGAGCTGAGCTGAAAACCGGGTGTTGCACCACTGGCACCAAGGAGGACGCCAGGGCATCACGTATGATGAACGGAGCTTCTTCTGTGACCAGCTGCAATGTTGCCACCAATCCTGACTTCGAGGCTGGCTCAACAGGATGGGGCCCGATGGGAGGGTGCCGACTGCAGATCTTTTCTGCAACACCGGGGCCGTTCATTCAACCGCAGTCTGGGCGCAACTACCTGGTGGTTACTGGCAGGACTCAGGTGAATGATCTCAAGCCTAGAAGTGAAGAAACTCGTGATCACTGAGGAATGCTGCACAAGAGCAGGTGATGATCAGCCCCGTCAGTACAGCGCATTCTGCCGATGACCATCACGTAGGATGCTCATTCTCTGCATGCAAGTCTTGCTTTTCCCCTCCACTGTCCCGCTGTGCTAGACCCGGAGTGATTGTGCCTCCAATGCACCATTAGAGTTCTTCAAGTCAGGACAGACTGGGTCACTGCACCACCACCGTTTTTCAATGAGCCAATGCTGAGAACCCTGGCACTTGCTCCTCACCCCCCAGATATTCATACAGGTGGTAGGATGGCAGTCATCAAAGCAATCTGCGCTGTTTGACTAAGCTTCCCAAACTCCACTGTCACCTTTCAAGAAGTTCCTTAAAATAACTTCCCCCTTCAATATGAGCCACCACCAAGTACAGGTCAATGATAGGTGGGGTACTGTGGGTGTTTGATCTGGGATGATTGCTCACAAGGCTTTCAGTTTGTCCAACGCAGGAGTGGGAAGGCATCTCTCAGCACCTGCAGTTTGAAAAGTCAGTTCCACATCTCATATATGCGTGGGTCCGAGTTGCAAACGCCCCCACAGCAACTGTGACGGCCACACTGTCAATCGGACAAGCCCCCAACGTCCGATACATACCCGTTGGGAAGGTGAGAAGTTGTGACACTGAAAGTATCACAGACATGTGTGCTTGAGGACACTTGCCCCAAAGTGATGCAACAGATACGTTGGAATGCCAAGGAGAAATGTTTAGTGTGTGTATAAAGTGCAGATTGGTGTCTCAAGCTTCAGATCAACTTGTGGACAACGTCCAAAAATATCAGACTCCAACGAAATGAAGCTGATTCTTCTCTATCAACCTCTTCCAGGTTGTTGCGAGTTGTAACGAGTGGGTGCAACTGGTCGGCAGCTTGCAGCTCGAAGCTGCAGACCCGCCCCTGGGTAATCTGTATTTCTCTGGTGCCCCTCCTGGAGTCGACATCCTGCTGAACAACGTCTATGTCCTGCGTGACACCCTGATTGAGCAAGTCTTGTCGTCTGCACAGCCTCAGGTATGTACTTTTGCATCGTTTTCATTTCGCTTCATGTAAGCGTATGCTGGATCTCTGAGTGCTTTCATAGGTTCTGCCGTCGGATGTTTCCTCGGAAGGCCCTTTTTCCACGGTTAAGCTTTGATACGTAGGCGTGCATGTTCTCTAAACTGACCTTCACCGATCGAAAGCGGCCTTTAAAGGTTCCTTGAAAATACTCACATGCTGCTTTCGAAAATCAACACTATTCTGCAACTCACGATTCCACCACTATACTCAAGAGGGAAAACTGAAACGGAACAAACGAAACTCCATGATAAAGCCGACTTTCTCTTTACAGTCGGGCCCTTACAACGTTCTCCGGAACTCTGATTTCAGCGAGGGCGCCTTCTGGTGGTTCCCAGCGGGGGCCTGCCAGACCCAAGTCTTTGCGGGCAGTGCGCAGGTGTCCCCAAAAAGGTAACTCACGTTCGTTGACAATCTACAATTCTGGATATATGTGCGTTACACCGAAGCCGTGACTCTTCACTGAGTTGGACCTTTCCCTGCTCGACTTCCTTCCGTGACCATGAGTCGAAGCCGCCATGAATGGGAACCTGCATTTGTGAATTCAAAGCTTAAAAACTGGATGTGCCATGATCCTGTCCATCATGCACGTTTCTAACCCATCGCCTTGCTCTGCCCCAGCGGCGCGTTTTTCCTCTGCACCTACCAGAGAACGAACCCATGGGAGGGCCCCGCGCAGATGCTGACGGGCAAGCTTCGAGCGGGCTTGGAGTACCGCCTGTCCGCAAGCGTGCGGGTGGGAAACGCTCCTTCGGCACAGGTAAGAGTGACTTCCTGTCGGTCCTTCACGTCTGCCTAAAAACGTTAGCCGTTTTCACTGGGTTCAATCTTGACCAGCGGTAATCGCGCGGAACAAGGACTGGGTTCTTGAATCATAACGAGGCGTTGCGGACATTGCTCGGGTCCTGACCTAAATGAGAATGAACGTCCTCTCGACCCTCCGTCATCGACACTTCTGTTTGCAGCCACTCGGACTTAGATAGCCGCACGTTTCTCCATCGATTTCTCGTTTCTGCAGGTGAAAGCGAGCTTGCGGGTCGAGTACGGTCAACGAAGCAGTTTCGTATACGTGGGGGCGGTCACTGCGTCCGATCAGAACTGGACCGACTTGAAGGGCGCATTCACATTGGACGAGGTGCCCTCACGCTCCCACCTCTACTTCGAAGGCCCGGCCGCGGGAGTCGACATCCTGTTGGACCAAGTGGAGCTCGCGCCGGCCGACGTAACAAGGCACTGCCGGCAGGTATTTGGCATGTCTATCTCTCAGCGCTACGTTATTGTACTTGGTGCTGGAAGACGGCAGTTGACGCCTGCGGCCTCATCCCATTCTGCTCGTCGATCCGTGCCAGGAACTTCACTGTCACCGGTTGGAAGCTTCGTGGTGCAAGATTAAGATTTCGTTCATATGGTGGTTTTCCTCTATTTCTTCCTGCCGTTCAGATGCAGAGGAATATTTTGTAAACTGACTTGACGCTTCGTTCTTTCAAGACCGTGTCAGCTTAAAGCCCATGTCAGATCGCGAAGCCTCCCAAAAGACTTCTCCCGAGCTCTCACAAGTGTCCCTTCCACAAATATCCCCAGAGCACGCCTGACGTCAAAGTAACACACTTTCGCATCGCCGTCAATGCCCCGGTTTGCAGAGCGCGGCTACCACCGGCGTTAACCTCGTCCAAAACCCCGACTTCCAACGCGGCACCGACTGCTGGATGCCCTTCGGAGTCACCTTCGAGCTGGTACAAACCGGGCCCCTGCTGCCCCCGGGCGGCGGTCCGTACCTGCGCGCCTGGAACCGGTCTGCCACGTGGCAGGGCCCCGCGCAGAGCTTCGGCGGTAGCACGATCAGGCCGGGGGCGGAGTACGAAGTGAAGGCACTGCTGAGGGTCGCGGGCGCATCTTGTGCGCCCCTGCAGATGGCAGCCAGGGTGAGACGCGAGGCAGCAGAAATCTCCGCTTCGTTTCGTGTCCTGTAGGTCATCGAGAGTACTCTGTGCACGGGTGCCGAGGACGGAGACTGGGGCTCTTTTTGCAGCTTTCATGGCAAAGCAGCCAGTGGTTAAATGGTTCTTTGCAGGCCCTGACAAGGGGTAAAGTCCAGCTGCCTAGTCGTTTTGAAACATGCGACTTTCGTGCACCGCGCAGCCATTGCGTGGAGCGTCTTCAGAGTGCTTCGGTCGAACGGCCTCTGCCGCTACCCTCAATACGTGACTTTCGCAACTGAAGTTGGTCGTAAGGCATTCGCCACCGGCTTCGACCATAAGAAAGATCCCGGAAATCGCTAGCGGGAAAAGCCGTTTCTTAGAGTCCCTCTTCGGATTCAGAAGCGGACCTCGGTGAACTGTCCCTTTCCATTTTGAGACTGCATTTCTGCCGACTCACTATGCGCCCGCGGCTCGTGCTTTGCAGATCACGTTCACGGACGGCAAGCAGGACTACCATTTTTGCGGTGACTTCGAAGCCACGGACGACGCCTGGGCTGAGCTGGCGGGCACTCTGAGCCTGGACCGGCCCGCGAAGGAGGTGCTGCTATACGTCCAGAGCGCTCCCGCGGGAGTGGACATTCTGCTCGCGCGCATGTCGCTGGTGGAGGTCGACCTGGCGCAGCACAGGCAGCAGCTGGCGGAGCAGACGGATAAGGTGAGCGGAAAGACGTATGTGGATTCAGATGTTTTCGAGGAGGCCTGAGGAAATGGAACCGTTTGTTTTGCTTGACAGCCCTTTTGATGAAGCGCGTGAAAAGTTTGGCGTTGGACCAAATCGCCGAGTCTCGGTCGAGAAGGCCTGCTCCCATAGTCGCTGCAGGCGGCCATGCGAAGCGGATCGAATGGAGCCTACTTGCCTCTCAAAGGTTTCTTGAACAGCGTTTCGCTGTGAGACGCATTGAGCTGAATGACATTTACTGCGGGAACAATAGCTGAGAGGTCATTCTCGGATGCAGTTGCGACGGCAGGACGTCGAGTTGGTGCTGTCTGACGAGAGTGGCAGCCCGCTGGCGGGAGCGCGCATTGAAGTCAACCAGGTCAAGCGCAGCTTCCCGTTCGGCTGCGTGTCGGGACCTCGCAACGTGCAGAACAAAGTGTAAGTTGCCGGGCCTGGCACAACATGCTCTTACCCTTAGAGAAACTTTGCCAACTCAGCTTTTACCTCTTGATTAAGCCCGCGTTGAAGTGACTGTGAGATAATCGAACAAGAAGCATGACGCGTTGATCTTGACCGCCTTGTTACAGTGATGGCTCTGGGCCCGCGCCTGGCGTCAGGGTACGTGAGGCGAAGGAGGGACCTACAGATGAATGTTTTGAGCCTTCTGGGAAGCCTTACCGTTCCCTCCACCGCAAGGGTTCAGGATGCGACGCAATCGCCGATCTTCGCCGGCAGCGGCATCCCTCCCCGGCCGATTGTCGATCATGCTGAGGCCTCAACAGGATCATCCGCCAGCTCGGCAAATCTTTCGAACATTCAGAAGTCCTGAGAGCTGAGTTCCGATGCTGCGCAGGTGGGAGGCGTACTTTCTGAAGACGTTCAACTGGACGGTGTTCGAGAACGAGATGAAGTGGTACCATACGGAGGGCCAGCGCGGCCAGCTCAACTACCGCGACGCGGACGCGCTCATGGCCTGGGCCGACAAGCACGCGCTCAAAGTGCGCGGCCATTGCATCTTCTGGGAGGTGCGCGCTCGCGCTTAAAACCATCTACTGAAGCTTAGTCCAGTGGTTGTTTCTTTTAGAAATCTGCAGAAGCGAAGACCGGTACTTCATCCTCAAGTTCGACCAACCGTCGAATTGGAAGAGCGGTATCTCAGCATCGATTCGTGCGATGGGGGTGTCAAAGTAGTAAGTCGGGGAAGTTCATACCAGACTGATTGCCAGATTGTGAAGTTGTAAATGTGATTCAATTCCCGGTTTCCCCTTTTGCAATGGATAAGCATTCCGAGACCAGCTCGGCCATCACACTGGAGCGTTTACCACAGGCAGTCAGAATTCATCTGGACCCGCCTGTGCATCTTCGGCCATCGCGATCAAAGATTAAAAACGGTTCGACAGGGTAAGAAGCAGACCTGACGCACTGATTGGACCGTTTCCTCACACGCACAATACTCCCCCAGGTAGAGAAGGGCGGCATCCCCGGGTGGCTCTGCCACGTGCCCCCCGCAGAGATCGCCCCCCTGGTTGAGAAGCGCCTCGAGATCGTGGAGCGGTACAAGGGCCGGCTCGCGCACTGGGACGTGAACAACGAGATGCTGCACGGGGACTTCTTCCGGTCGCGCTGCGGGGAACAGATCATCCCGCACATGTTCCACCGGGCGCACCAGGTCGACCCGGGGTGCAAGCTGTTCGTGAACGACTTCAACGTGCTGTGCGGCGGGGACACTAATTCAGGGCCATATCGGTTGCGGGCGCAGGTGGGCGGTTGGGGAGCGGTGGTTTTTGACACCTTCTTGTCTGTTGCGATTGCTTTTTCTTGTGTTCATGCTCAAAAGGTAGAAAAAGCGGTGGGGGTTGAGATAGCGGTCGGTTGTGACGGATGTCTCATGTGCTGTGGATTGCGTATTCTTTTGTGCTCAGTCGGTAGGAAAGCGGTGCACAACCGAAGGCGCATAACTCAGCAAGGCGGGCAGTCTCCATCAATTTTCCCATCGTTTTTTGTGAGTTTGGAAATCTCTTATGAGTAGGCTGCAGAGGCCCTGAGGGGCGAGACTGCATGCGAGGCGGCCTGTACTTGAGACACTATCTTTATCGTGGATCAGCAGCTCGAAGAGGACTTTTGTGTACGCCCTTCAAGCCGCTGCCGAGCCAGCGTGGGAGCCGGCAAACGACACTTGCCTATGCAGCAACTTCAGTCCGTTCACTAATGGTTTTCGGATTCATCCTGCAGCGCAAGGCCGTCTAATGATAATTACCGCCGCACTTAACTTCTTTCCTCCGTGGTTCTCCCCAGGTACAAAAGCTGTTATCGCAGGGGGTGCCCGTGCACGGCATCGGCTGCCAGGCCCACGTGGACCGGCCCACCCCGGTGGGCGTCCGGCAGCGGCTGGACGTCCTGGCGACCACGGGGCTGCCCATCTGGCTCACGGAGCTGGACGTCAACCAGAAGGACGAGAACGAGAGGGCGGAACGGCTCGAGGTGAGGCGGACGCTTGGCTTGGCGTATGATTGGTCAAGACAAAAAGAGAGGAATCGATGCAGGTGGGATTTAGATGTTGGTAAGATGGAGTCCAGGTTTCGGTGCCCCAGAGTCAAAGCCGGTACATGAAAGGAAAAGCCTGAAGCGGGAGGTTTTTGTGGGTGCAGAAATTGGCTCCGCTGAGCATTTGGACGTGATGTCGCACCCGCTTATTGGCCGGTCGGTCTCGACGCGTGAGCCGAGTAGACCTTTGGATCACAGGTTTCCGAACACATTGCATTTCAACATGTTACAATCATAGGGAAGCTTCGTATTGCAACCTCTTCTGAACGCCAAGCTAGTAGGAGTGTTGAGTTTCTGCGACGAAAGCCTCCTTCTTTGTGCAGGTCATTCTGCGTGAATCATTCGGTCACCCGGCTGTCGAAGGCATCGTTCTGTGGGGTTTCATGGAGGGCTTCATGTGGACCAAGGGCGGAATCTTGGTGCGAAGCGATGGCACGCCGAATGCGGCGGGGCGGTGCATGGAGGCGCTGCTCGAGGAATGGACGACCAAAGATATTTTAGGGCAGGTGGGGCCGGACGGCAAGTTTGTGTTCCGGGGTTATCTGGGAGACTACGAAGCGAAGGTGACAGGAGCGGACGGTCTGGTGAGGAAAGGCGTGTTTACACTGGAACGGAACGCGGAGACGGTGCAAGCGGTTGTGAGACTCGAGAAAGTGCAGTAGGTACGGTCCGAATCACGGCAAGTGTATTCAATTATCGGCGCAAGTAACCAGGCGGGCGAGGTATTGATGGAAGGGGCAGAAGAGTTGAGACCCGCGAGTTGAGGCCGGTCGAATAGCGCCGGCGACCGCACAGGAGTCACAGCAAGTTGCAGCAGCCGGCCATTTTTTAAAGTCGGGCTTGTATCATTTCTAGCTCTTAAGCACGCACATGCCCCAGCTAATATGCTCTGCGAGCCATAAAAACGGGGTCCATGACCGCATCGGGATTCGCATCAAGTTTTGCGATTTTGGACCCACAGAGTTGATGTGCCGTGTTCGACCGAAATGCACGTCACCTGTACGTACATAGAGTTGAAGGTTATGGTATTTTCAATCCAAGCCCCCACGATCACGTTATTCAAGCAACCCGGCGAGCAGACAACTGGCTCAAACCAACGGCATGTTGGCTGATGGGATCGAGTCTAATTTGCTGCAGCCAAAATGAGTGAGTTTTTGACTTGAGCACCAAATCCACCAGGGAGCTCTGATCTGGCTGCGCGTGCATCCACTAGTCTGTATTTCCGCAACATGGCGTTATTCGAACCACATGACGGCCGGTCGCCATGCATGTGCTGGCAATTTAATCTAGACAGGGTCTACTTAAGTATCACTTTCCACAGTTGCAGAATATAGAGTGCAAATGATGTCAAGAGCTATAGCTGGCTCATGAGCAAGATGCAGCATCTTCTTGTTTGTAATACACGCATCCCGGACGCGCGTCAGACAGATTGCATGTTAGACAGGACAAGAACTTAAAACATCTGACACTCTGACGACAGTCCCAAGGTGGCTGGCCCTTTGCTTAGTTGAGAACATACAGTCTTTTGTTCATATCACCACTACGGCAACTTCGCGGATATATCCACCCACTCTTGCATATCACGATCTGGCAGGCCGTTGCCATACCTGCCTGCCAAACATGGATGAATATGGAAGACCGCCTTGTTCTCGTTTACAATCCCAAGTGCAGGGTACGTATTCCGGTTACAGCTGTCAGCCACACGGCACGCAAACTTCAACAGCCCTAGTCGGAGGAAGGAACCTACACTTCCGAGACGTCCTTCTTCTACCGCCTGCTTCCAGGCCTTTGAGACGCGCTGCAGGCGCCCCAGCTCCCCTAGATCAAGGTCAAGTGCAGAAAGATAACCGCACTAGATCAACACATTGACGTCATCCGGCCGGCCGGTCTTTAAAGAGGCTGGGCGCTCGTTTGGACTTGGCTTGCAAAATTGGACGCAGAACCCACGACTCACGAGAGCATTCTGTAGAGGGCATGAGCACACTCTGTAGAGACTGCTTTCAAGCATGCCCCAAGCATACCTATGTTGCAAAATGCAGACTTGAAGGCTAGCTCCCTGTGCAGCCCAAAATCGAGGGGGAGTGCGCAAAGTGATCGGTGGGCGGACACCCGGGTGATCACCATTTTTGAGTTACGACGAAGTAAGCCCTGACAGATCGCTGTATGAATGTTCCTAACCCAAAGGGTTATTGATCACCGGGCAGGACCCGACCGACGATTTGCCCATCCCGGAGTCCAGCCACCACAGCCAGAAAGAAGTCTTTAACTGAAGTTTCATGACTAATTGGAGTGCGTTTCAAGTTCAAGTTCAACCATGGCGCCAATGCCAATGGCTACATCTGTAGATCTGAGTTGCTGGAGGCCTGTGGGGTCCATTTGTATTACACAAGGGGTTCCTGAATCTGTTGCCAACCAAATTACAAGCAATCTTAAGAAACATGGTCTTCACTCCACCATACAAAGTAGAAGACCGCACAATGCCACCCTTTCAAGTCATCAGCAACCACCACCTCGCGTACAGCATATAGATTATCACTTCAAACAGGTGCAGCTTAGAAACCAGTCAGCTCTCTTCTTCAATTTTAGCAGCATTTTCCGATCTAAACGCATTCGACAACACGTCCTCAAGCAGAGGAAGGGTCCACCCTGGCTGGCTGGCATAAAGAAGCGCACCCGGCAAAAATGTATTGAAGCCGTTAGAGCCATTGCTGAATCACAAGAACCTGAAGCTTCTCTTGACAACGGCAATGAGGACAATGCGGACAAGAGAACGTGGCAAGACTGGTTGGGGCTGGCAACTAGTTTGTACCCCGTGTATGTCTCGCTGGGGGCACTTCTGGCGGTGGTTCGACCGTCATCCTTTGCATGGTTCTGTGCGGTGAGCAGCCAAGCAGAAAGCGCTCAGAAGCGCGAAAAACTGGAACTCCTGGTCCCTTTTCTGTACCACCTCTAGATCTTTGTGCCCTGCCTCTGGCGCCCCCACCACTTCTTGTCGCTTAGCTCTCTAGTTGTTGATAATCAAAAGAGACCCTGGCAGGGTCTTGTCTGGCAATCTCTCTACATACTAACTAAGAGGTCTTGCACACCCCGAAGGAAGACCCCCAAAACTGACCTATCGCTGTTGCTTTCGCCAGGGCGGGCCAACTTTGTACAGCTCTGCTTTGGGGATCATCATGCTGTCTATGGGCCTCACAATGGGGTGGGAGGACCTGCGGGCCTTGTTACTAGGCCATCCCGCGGCCATCGCATTCGGCTTTGCCGCGCAGTATGTCCTGATGCCGCTCCTAGGCTTAGTGGTTAGTCACGCGCTCGGGCTGCCCTCGGCGCTGGCAGCGGGGGTGGTTCTGCTGTCGTGCTGTCCAGGAGGGACTGCTTCCAATGTGGTGAGTCGCAGCACTATGCAAGCGCTGGTATCTTGCGTACTAACGAGGCCAGGTTGCTTAGAGAATGAAGTAGAGGTCAGAATCTTGTGTTGTCGGTGCCATCACAGATGGTGGTGAGTTGTCATATAGGAGGTTGGTCACAGTCGTCCAACGTGAGTTGTGCACACCGAAACAAGCATGTCTGCAGATGGACGCAACTGTCACATGAGGGGAGAGTAAGGCGACAGTTACTTTCCAAGCCTCCGCTGCTTGCACAATCATCTCCAACCCCAACCGAGTTGCGCTTCTGCCGCAGTCCGAGTTATCCTGCTTCGAGCTGGTTTTCTCTTTGTTATCCAGGTGACCTTGATTGGGTATGGCGACGTCCCGCTGTCCATCATGATGACCATCTGCACCACCTTTGGAGCTGTGATCATGACGCCCTTCCTGATGCAAACACTGGCGGGCACGCTGGTGCCCATTGACGCAGCGGGACTTGCGCTCAGCACACTACAGGTAAGGCAGTGCCACAACCAGACATGTACATTCCCTGGGTTCTAGAGGATCCGAGATTGGGCTGGAGCAATACCGACATCAGAGGAATGAAAATGTTTCAGAGATTGACCTGTTGAAGTAAGACTGAGCAAAGGCATGGCGGTATGGCTTGAACTTTTTCACAGCCCATACTGTGTGCGTTGATGAACCGAAAGTCGGTACAAGCTTTTGTAGTAATTTCAGAGCACTCACTGCCATCCAGGCTTCCAGTTAGCCACAGAGTCATGCTGTCACCATCAGCCCTCACCACCCTGTTTTCCAGCTAGCCAGCGGCATGTTTTAGACCACTGCTCAGCTTCGTAATTTCAGACCGGCCGTAGAAACGCAGATCATTATACCAAAGTGTCCCTGCCAAATATTCATCATCTCCTGCGGATTTTCTTTTGCAACATACGGAGTCTCTCTTCAAGAGAATGTTGAAGAATACGGACTCGCATGCAGCAGCTCTTCCAACCAACCAACGAGCGCTACGGTCATTGATCGTTGCAGGTGGTTCTCCTCCCCGTGCTCCTGGGCATGACGTGCAAGAACTACTTTCCCCGGGCCGTCGAGAAAGTCCTCCCTTTTGCGCCCTTGACCGCGGTTTTAACGTCGTCACTGCTGGCAAGCAGGTAATCTCCCTTCTGTGCACTCTAGGAACGAGGAGATTGGGGCAATCTGAGAGGGATCGACTATCAGAAGAATCACCGTTCGCATGTTGTTGAAATATTCCAGCCAACGGTTCATCGGTTCATGTTTCAAACACTTTGACTCTGAGGTCAGGAGCAGATGCGTGGAAACCCCACACACTTTCTGTCTGTGAGACACTCGTCTATGGTCCTTGCGGTAAACGGTGAACGTGCGATTTTCAGCCGCTAAGGCGAAAGGCAGCGGTTGGGTATTGTAAGGGAACTATTCTCCTTGTAGAAGGCGGGTCTGTTGGAATGCCTGCCGATCAGCAGGGTCTGGAATCTGCAGACAGTGACTGTTCTCTTCCATATCTCAAGAAATGTGACAGGCTCGTATCTTCAGTAATAGACGTACCACCTCGGCCGCTTTCGGAGTTTCCCCTCACTTTTGATCGTTAAACTCCGTGACGATATGAACATTGTGTCTGCGTCAACTCCTGACGTCACGAGCACTTCAAAGCTTTTTGGGTTCCAACTTTCTTCACCGTTCCTCGCAGCGTGTTCTCGGCCAACGTCCCCCTCTTCCAGCTCCCCTCCGGGGCCGCCGTGCAAGCGGCGCTCGGCACAGCTTCGCTAGCGAGCGACGCAGTGCTCCCCCTGGGGCGTATTGTTGCGGCCGTGTTTCTGGTTCACGCAGGGGGTTTCGGACTGGGCTACCTGGTCGCGGTGTTAGCGGGGTTCAAGGAGGCGAGACGACGGGCGATCTCGATTGAGGTGAGCCGGCAAAGTGGAGAACCAGATCTGAGGCTGGCTGGCTCGATTGGTGCCGCATTCCGTTTTGGAGCCCGAGCGTCGTTGAACATCAGGACCAAAGCATCAACAAAGTCAATTTGAGAAAGTCCTCTCTTGTCAAGATGTCCGGAGGCGACGCCTTTGCCTTGGAAAGTTACTCTTTGCTCAGGAGAATAGGATCACGGGACAGGGATGGGCGACGGTAACGCTTTAATGCATTCCCAACGCTTTGCCACACTGTCGCAAAAAATCGTCCTTAACCACTTTCCGTTTGCGTGCCTCAGGTCGGCATGCAGAACGCGTCGCTGGGTGTGGTCCTCGCGACCAAGCACTTTGCCTCGCCGCTGACGCCCCTCCCGTGCGCCATCTCCGCCATCATGATGAACGTCATGGGCAGCAGCCTCGCGGTCGCATGGCGGCGACAGGGGGCCCCGCGAGAGACGGACGCGGTCGATACCTCACTAATTACGGAAGAGCGTTCTTGACACAGAGTGTTGCGTGCGAGAGGATTTGGTAGTCTAGAACTGGGATGTGCGATGAGAAGCAACTGAGAATGTTTTTGCGACTGCATGTACCATTGTCGCGACGTTTGACTACGCAGGGTTTCTTAGAGATTCAGCATCTATAAAAAGCTTTAGTACTGCGCAGCGGTTGCGTGCTCTGAGCCCGCGTTTCTCGCATAGATTGAGCGTATGCGAATATTATCAAACTTGGTTGAGATCTTCCAACCGAGCCTAGCTGTCAAGCCAAACGTTCACCAGCCAAAAGAAGATGTAACCAGTAGCTCTTCGTCATCGACTTGAACCGGACTCCGTCGGACGTGGTAGATTTATATGGTCCAGCCATTATACTCTCCAGAAAAAATGCCTTGCAATAATGGAAATAGGTACCGGTAAGGGCCGTTTCATGGACATTGTGAAACGGCACTGGACATGTATACTCGGCGCGAGTCAGACAATCTGGTGACTCATCAGATTCCTACACTGGATTCTCCTAGGGAATAGAAAGTAAGTGTCTCGGTGCTGAAACATGCCACACGTACGAGCATGGCCGCCCACCCGGGTGGGCGGCAGCTCTTCGATCCGAAGAATGTGCATCATCAAGTGGCCAGTATGCCAATTATCCACAATATTTGCATGCATGGCCGGCATGCATGTGTGCCATCTCTTGCATTTGACCGTTCAACATCCACATGCACCGGCTAATTGGGTTTGATATTGCGAGCCGCCGAGCTGCTTATAGCTGAACATGCTATTCGGATATAGTGGCGGGCCGCGCGCGGCTGTTTGGTAAGTTATATACAACGTTTGCTGGGATATCTGTGATCAGTCCACAGGCGACTCGAGATCGAGGGTCATGCATCTGCGAATGCACATAAAATCATCTATCTTAACGGGGCAGACTGTTTTGCACGGCCGCCGCGCGGCGGCGGCGATGGCCATTGAAGTGCAGTCGAGCTAGGGCGGGAGCTGGCGGTTATACCTAAGTGCGGAGCTCTGGCTCGAAGCTCTAGTATATATGTTTACTACAATCATATACAGGAGTTCCTTAAGAAGAGTTATGATGATGGGCATGCGCATGTGTTCATGCACATGAGTGGCGGGTCCGTCAAATATTGCCGTAATTCTACTACCGTCGATACACGGGGCACCAGATTTGAGAAACTTTGAAAGCATCAGCAAACTTCTGGGTGTCACTCAACAACACATTGGATAGAATTGAGCGCATGTCTGCATGCTTCAGATCCTCACGATGATTGACGCCCGCTCTTGTCTGGACCCATTCTCTTGCGAGTCCGGTAGGTTAGAGACAACCGCCTGAAACCTATCGTCGGCCTTCCACGCTTATTTTTCGGAATCTCGTGCTGCCACCTTATCCGTGCATCATCACGCATAACTACTATACTTCTAGGTTCGAGCCAGATCTCTTCTACTCTACCCGTTCTTGGAGCCACATTATTCTTGATACTCACGGGCAAGACACCTGGTGGAAGGTCGAGCTCGTGAAAGCGCATCCAGCAAGCGCTGTTGAGCGAAATGGAGACTACAGTGTTGCTGAACTCGAACTTGTCCACATGAGCCGCAATCCCCTGCAAAGTCGACTTCGATAATCATGTTCTGACATTCAATCGGCCACTTTAAACAGGAAGGAAGATCTCTTGGACAAAAACACACAAAGTGGAATTCGGCTGTGCCCTCGAAGAGGTTGTGATACCGGTCAATCATAGCGAATTTTCATGCTACAAGCTCTCGTCTGTTGTCACGTTGATGACCCAGGAAAGAGAGCGGGTATAATCACTGCACACCACACTCAAGATGAGATTCACAAGCTCCGACGTACACAAGGAACGCCCCTGAATTTTTCGAACAGAACATTGATCCCAGTATTGTCCAATGGATTTTGAGCCCGCTCTTACCTGGTCTTCGAGATACTCATTAACAATAAGGACAGTAGGTGCCTCCTCCCTAGAGTATACCCCTGCTGCGACCATCCGCTCAGTCAAGAAAGCTAACTCCTCGGGAATGGGAGGGGCGGCCGTGTTCTTCTCTCCAGTCCGCTTGGAGTAGACATAGTTGTGGCCTTCGAAAGGGGGCAGACAAGGTATCAGTTGCCTGGCAACAAGAAGTTCGCACTTGCAACACAACAACCGGTTTATACAAACAAGCGGAGGAGGATCGTCGACGTTGATCTGTAAACGCTCTTTTCAAGGGGATATACAACGGTGTTGAGGACCCTTTTGAGCTGACAAAATATGCCCATCACAATAGCTTTTGAGCAACTTTCACAACTTTGGCACAAAGCCTTATTCCAAGCCATCAGTTTAAGTACTTTTGAGGTGCGCAAAGTATCTCGAAAGGACCAGAGGTTCTATATCCCAACATAGGTTTTCTACGAATTTAAGCGAGTGGAGCGGGAGCAGAACCGCTGGAGACGCACGCAACCGGGGCAGGCGGTGTCAGGGCGCTCACCAAAATGAAGCGTCCGTCTTGCAATGTCTGTCCGCCACCGAAACTTTCCAGAATCAAGCAGCCGAATGATCTGCCGTTCTTCGTCCTTAGAGACAAAATCAAGGGAGTATTCCAGCCCAGGAACGCTTGGGACGTTCTTTCTCTCTGGCCTAAACGGTCTGGGCAAGGTTGCTGATACTGGCGCACTCAGACTACTCAACAAACCTGAAGGAGATGACACGAGCGGGCTGCCACTTGTATGCGGGGCATGTGTGGCCACTGAAGAGTATCCTTGATTCTTCCTATTGTTGCTTGAGGATTCTGTTTTTGATGAGGGGGGTAGAGGGGACCCGCTCTCTACCTCCTGTCTAAAAGCATTGAAAGCTTGCTTCTGCCATTCAGACCCTTGTGCCCTGATTGACCGCAAACTGGTCCCTTGAGTTAAGGCAAATCTAGCTGTTGCAAGTACTTGTGGCGCTGGACTGCCAATGGTTGAAACAGCGATACTGTCCGCCTCTGGCTGCTCTTTTTCTAAACAGAAACTTTTGTTGGAAGTTTCTGCTAGGTAAGGTGACACATTAGCGGCGTTGTGAGAGGTCGAGCTGACGTGCGGTTTTATCTCGTCACTACCGACCAACCAATCGTTGACCTGGCTCCTTACAGGCAAGAAACCAACTTGGTTGGGATCAGACTTCGCCCTGCCTTGATTCACAGCATTGCGTTTGACTCCGTAGTCAAAGAGTGTCTTTGCAGTTTTGAGCCGCTTCAGTGGTGGCTGCCCAGGATGGCCCGCAGCTTGCATGACTTCACGCTTCTGCAAGCTCCTAGGTGCAGTTATGATATAAAAATCGCCACTACTGAAACATTCCACTGGAAAAACGAAGAGCTACTCGCGAGCTGTGCATCAACAACAGCGACACGCTATGCCTGCATGCAGCTGCCCCCCGATTCATACTTACAGAAAGCTGAGAAGAGGTATTCTCAGATCTGTCGCTCCTGGATTCACGCTTGGGTGCCTGATTGGGTGACGCAAAGGTGGCACTGTTGCTAAAGCATCACCATGAAACGGGTTTGAAAACTGATTGCCCCGCATACACCAATAAGGTTCTTCAGGGTTGAATTCCAACTCTCTTCTCAAGACACTTCTGGTCAACTTTTCGAATGAGTTTCAATCCAGCTCTGCCGCCCTAATAGATATATGCTGATCCAGCCCTGTAGGGAGGCTGCCAGTGCTGTGACTTGAGTCGGTGTAGATGTGCTGAGCTGCTCAGTGTTGCCGGCCATTGGCATGAGTGATCAAGACTTTGGCGGACGAGCATAAGGGATGGATCAGCGGACCACGTATGTGACTAACGGTGACGTGACCGCGCACAGTTGGTTCCGTTCAGCGCGCTCATCTGTCGAATCGCAAAGCCGTAAGTTGGGGGCAACCTGAATCGACGGTGCCACTTATCGACCCAACTTTAGGTCGCCGTTTGGTGACGTGCAAGCTCGTAACGGGGACGCGCCTATTGCCGTCGTATGATACTTCGAAGTACAGGAAAGAAGCCCGGCCTACGGTATCAAATTGGCACGAGTTTCCCAGAGAGGTGGAAGTCCTGCTTGCACAAGAAGGAAGAAAAGGACGCTACATATCTCTCCCCATACATTGACGTCTTTTCGAGCAAGCCCGCAGCTCTATCAAACGAACCAAGGTTATCAAGCGTAGCTCGCGTAGCCCCTTTCGCAACCTCACACCCTAATTCAGCGGAAAGAACGCATCAAAGGAGCGCGGGAGTGCGAAGTCAGCGCTAAAAGCTCATACCTCCGCTTGTCAGTATATGCTAGGGAGGCCCCCTTGGTTGAGATATCCAGTTTGTCATGAGTAGAGGCAAGGGTTTGGCAGAGCAGGACCTGAAGAAGTTGAACGTCGAGAAATTGAACCCCCTGTCGCCGGAGGTGATTAGCAGGCAGGCCACTATCAATATTGGCACCATTGGCCATGTGGCTCACGGCAAATCGACAGTGGTCAAGGCAATTTCTGGTGTGCAGACTGTTCGCTTCAAGAATGAGCTTGAGAGGAACATCACAATCAAGCTGGGTTATGCCAATGCGAAGATCTACATGTGCGAGGATGACAAGTGCCCTAGGCCCATGACGTACAAGTAAGTTGCCATGACGCACCGTTCCTCTCTTCCTTTCTTCATTTGCTTGTCAGGCCCACCGATCCCTATCGCAGCTTTTCTGGGTTTGGCTTATCCCCATGATTTGAGGGGGTTGAATTGAATAGTTTTGTGAGAGTTGAACCCGCGGGGAAACTTGATTAGTTTCAAAGCAATTGACAGTCTCACAGGTTCATTGCTGGCATGTATTTACAGCTATTGGGTTTTTGCAGGGCGTATGGCAGCGGGAAGGAGGATACACCACTCTGCGATGTCCCGGGCTTTGAGGACAAGAGGATGAAGTTGCTGCGCCACGTTTCCTTTGTGGATTGCCCAGTAAGTTGCCCTCATTTGCGGAGTTCTTTGCTATTGCATTTTTACTGCATACTCACCCTTCATCAAGGCTTGACCGTTACCAGGCAGCTTCAGTCTCATAGGTGTGCCTTACAAGGTCTAGCGTGCGTTATGGCTTCTGGACCATTACCGTGGCTTTTGCATGGCAGCAATCAGGACGTCTGCCTTGTTGTCTCTGCTTGCATTGGTGGGATTCAGCAATTGTTGGGATATTTTTGGTGGCATTTCTCGCTGCATTCGCATCGGCACCAGTCATTGGCAAGATCAACTGCGGCTCATGTCATTCATCGGCACAACCATCTTTGCTTGTTTTGCAGGGACACGACATTCTCATGGCTACGATGCTGAACGGTGCTGCCATCATGGACGGCGCCTTGCTGCTGATTGCCGGCAACGAAACGTGCCCTCAGCCCCAGACCTCAGAGCATCTGGCGGCTGTGGAGATCATGAAGCTGAAGCACATCATCATCCTGCAAAACAAGATCGATCTAATCCAGGAGTCTGCGGCTGTGAACCAGCATGAAGCAATTGAGAAGTTTATTCAGGTCAGACAGGCATCTCATGGCATTGCAGGTTCAGGGTTGTTCGGTTTTGGGGTACATTGTACTCGAGGATCGAGAAACAGTGACTTGGATATTTTCATTGAGTATACGAATGTAGTGTTGTGTAGTTGGCAGCCGGACGCACTGCTGATGCGGGGGTCTTTGCCGGAAAGTTTGTCAGTGTTTTGTATCCAGTCTATTGCAGCGTGGCTGTTCCATTTAGTAGGCGCTCAACCACTACGCTTGAATTGTTGGACTAGTAGTTCTACATCTGATGGCTTCAACTCGACTTGATAAGCTCTCATGTCCAAATCCTCTTGGCAGGCACCAGAGGACGGTTCGGCCTGTTCCTTTGGTCAAAAAAACCCATAATGGCCTTTTAAACATTGGCATCAAGAGGACGCAGCACCAGAGATGGCTTGTTGCCCCAATTCGTGTCACAGGTTCTCATGTGCTTTGCTGCCTGCTTCTCTGTCCAAAGGGAACAATCGCCGACGGTGCTCCAGTGGTGCCCATCTCGGCTCAGCTCAAGTACAACATCGACGTGGTGTGTGAGTACATCGTGAACAAGGTCCCGGTGCCCATCCGGGATTTCACCTCCTCCCCCAACATGATCGTCATCCGCTCGTTCGATGTCAACAAGCCCGGATCTGAGGTGGACGAGATTCAGGGAGGAGTAGCAGGAGGCAGTATTCTCCGGGTAAGCATCAATGGTCGACGTTAGCAAGTTTTTTCGCTGCTGCCAGGTCAATAAAACCCGCACTGCTTTTGAAAGCTGTCTTTCAATGTTGTCTTGCTTCTGACATCAATTGTCAGGTCGCCTTTTGCTTTTACTATGTTCCAAAAGCTGGTCGATTGCCAGCTGCCTGCAGTTCCCAATGATTAGAAAGTTATTAGCTCTAGCTGAGAAACCCATGCTGAGCAAACAGATATCCGTTGAATGAGGGAACTGCAGGCAGCATCTATTCATCCTAGTAAAATACCAGAAAACCAGTGAGCCAGCTTGGCATTCAACAAGACGTTCACTTCAAATGCCAATGCATTCATGGCCTTCAGTGCTCCACTCCCTTCACCATCTACTGATGGCTGAACCAACTCGTTTGAAGCCTGTTCCTCGCACTGGTAGCTCTGCCGGGCTGCGGTAGGCGCGGCAATCCTGACCCATGCCGTATTTGTCGTTTTTGTGCCGATAGCTTGTCTGTTGGGCGAATGCATTGTTTGTTTCAAGATATGGAAGGTCATCAAAGGGCGGGGTTTCCGGAAGCCAAGAATCTGCTCGCGAAGTTGTTTTGGATCGCATGGTGCTTGACATGCTGGGAACTGATCAGTCCAAAACACAGCGTTTCTAGTGACGGTTGCCCTCAGCCAATCGAGTGCCCATTTACATGATGCGTTTAAAGAGCTTGTTTCTGGTGGAATCCAGAAGCTGCAGCGTTTTTGGTCGGCTGTCGGGAGCACAAGCGTTATCTTCGCGGAACAGTAGTGTCCGCATAGTTGCCGTTACTGCGCCCATATGTTTCTTATATGGCGCAGTTGGCTCTTCATGCAGCTAAGTTCTTGTTGCAGTTGCTGGCGTGTTCCAACTCACTGTTGGCTTTGCCCAATGGTGCGGCATGTAATAATGGATGCCGCATACTTTACACCTGCCTCGATATGTTTGTATTTGGTTTCTCTCGTTGTCTGGGAAACTGACCGCTAAGGTTAGCGAACTGCTCCTCTGTCCTTTTTGAACTTGCTTTAATTCAAGCTACTGTTCAGGCTCGACCTCTGCTGTACAATCAGGGCCGCTTGTTATTTCAAGGGCTGTACCGGTCGTGACCTTGACTAACTCGGATCTGCCCCAATTGATTTGTGTCACTTGATGGCACCCACTTTGAGCGAATCAGACCCTGCGCAGAAGTCGTACTCGTTTGTTGCAAAGGTATCGGTATCACGACATGCAGAAACCCCATCTGTTCCGTTCTGTTCTTGACCCATCCGGTTTGTGTCCCTCAGGGCGTCTTGAAGGTCGGCCAGAAGATCGAGGTGCGGCCCGGCATCGTGACCAAGGACGCGGAGGGCAACCCCAAGTGCACGCCCATTTTTAGCCGCATCAAGACGCTCTTCGCGGAGCAGAACGAGCTGCAGTACGCGGTGCCTGGGGGGCTCATCGGGGTGGGCACGACGATCGACCCGACGCTGACGCGAGCGGATCGGCTGGTGGGACAAGTCCTGGGGGAGGTCGGGGAGCTGCCCGACGTGTTCACGGAGCTCGAGGTGAGTGCTCGGGGGAAAGCTCCGGGCAGAGACGCCTCGAGATGTTCTCGCTTGCCTGCTGTTAGGCTGTGCTTTATGGAGCTCAGGAGCGTTTGAGAAAAGGGCTCGGGGCAGGGATGGCTGGCGGTGGTTTCATTCGCTCGTGACGTACTTCTGTTCGGAAACGAAGAGTTGAGAGGACAGATGATTGTCAATGGTGCTGTACCAGGACTCTGCTATTTTTGTCCATGAAACTTCGCCGTGAGGCCCGTTTCAGTTGAAGCGGCGCGGAACATGGTTGGCAGTCTTCTCAAAGTGTTGGCTTTTGTTGCGCTTAACGTCTCCTGTTACCCTTGTTCGATAAAAGATGGCAGTGACGTGGACGGAGGTTTCGTAATTTCAGATTTTCAGTATGTGTATCTTATCACTTGTGCTTGGCAAGTCGGAGGCTCTTCGCTCATGGAAGTGGTTCGTTCGACTCTCAGCTGATCCCGCATATGGATGTTGATTATAGGTCAACTTCTTCTTGCTGAGGCGGTTACTCGGTGTGCGGACAAAGGGCAGCGAGAAGCAAGGAAAGGTGGCCAAGCTGGCCAAGGGAGAGGTTCTCATGCTTAATATCGGGTCCATGTGCACGGGGGCACGGGTGCTGGCCGTGAAGAGCGATCTAGCAAAGCTGCAGCTGACGTCACCAGTGTGCACGAGAGAAAAGGAGAAGATCGCACTTAGCCGAAGAGTAGAGAAGCATTGGCGGCTCATTGGGTGGGGTCAGATTCAAACTGGTGTGAAGCTTGATATTCCTCCGGTGTCTTTCTAAACACGCAGGGATTAGTTTGTGTACAGTATAAACGCAGGTCAGAACGCAAGTATTGAGCCAGGGTGTAGTGCCTAGTTCTCTCCTCATTCTACCCTTTCTCGTGGTGATCTCAGCCAAACCCTCATCTCCTAAATAATCTGCAATGAATCGATAACTCATTTTGTTGCTTAACATGTCATCAACAGAAGATCATGAGATTCTAAACGTCTGTTGCAATACGAATATCGGCATGGCAAAGGCAAATTGTGAACGGGATAGCAATGGCTTCGGATAGATTCCTGAAGGTGGTTTGATCGTGTCCCGCTGGTCTAAGACTCATGCAAGCTGGCCAGGTCGCGACCTAGCTCACAATTTGCCTACCTATCATGAGCTAACAACGTGCGGACACTCAACGCACGCTCAAGGTTCTTATTGCAGGAGTGCACAATTCAGAAGTGCAAAATGTTCACCGTCTCGCGTTGCCATGATGCAGGACTCTGCACAGAACCGTAGGATCTCAGAAAGAGCTCAGGACTGCATGAAGCAGTGAAGGCTGTTGCAAACAGTGCTCACATGCATGTGACAGCTGACCCTGAAATTGATGATTGTTCCTAACCCAAACCCGAATTCGTCGAAGACAGCTCAAGCTGTCGATTCGAGTCAACTGATTCGATTATAAGTTGGCAGAACTTGGTCCCGATTCGGGTTTCCAGATGACCACAGGCCTGATCATGTGGGCCAGAGCTGCCTGCATGGCCTTCCTGGCTGCAGGCAGGGGCGCCCTCCAAACTAAATGTCTTTTGTCTAAAAGCCCCAGTGGTAGTTCTGTAGGTCCCCAAAGAGTGCAGTTGCTTATTTGCAAGGGAGCTTGACTCAAAGGAATCTAGGAGCGACCGGGTCACTCTCTTCTTTCCAGGTGCTCAGGTGTGCAGAACGATTATAAAGGGATTTTACGGGCTCCAACCATGATGCAAGCACTGGTGGACACGCCTGGGCTGCAGGGATATGAACAAGTTCTGGTAAGTAGTCTCAGAACAAGCCGGAACGGAGCGGCCTGATGTCTTGAATGGTTATTGAGCCTCTGATTCTGACGCCTCTTTCAATCAGTATTCTGCGACGTTCGCTGATCTTGCACCCAAAAGGATCGACGTTCTCTGGTGCAGCCAATTGTATTGTCCAGCTTGGACAAATATTGGTACCACAATGGGTGTATTGCGCTCGAATTACATCCATTGGAATCTGTCTTTCTTACTTAACAAGCCCCCTTGGCCTTTGGATGTCAACCAGCTTTGCTCCTCCACAGGATGAAGGGGTGATCCACGAGGGGCACGATGGCACATATGTAGACTCGCAGTATGAGGAGCACACAGCCAAGAAGCGGCGGAGGCTGGCAGGGCCCCGAGTCCCAGTAAGTCTTTTGCGGCTACAATGTGTCCCTTGCCCAATTTTCCCCCACTTTGCAACATCTGGAGTTGCTTGGCAAAAGAAGTGGGGTAGGTCGGGCCAAGGTTTAGTGATGACCAGAAAGCGGAGAAGCAAGGGGAACGGCGTTGCGTGCGACAAGTGTTGGGGGGTGATACAAATAGGCCCTCAGGGGCTGGGAGGGGGGGTTATCCTCAAATAACTTCCATATGTTCTGGAAGATTGTTGAACCGCCAGCTGCCACCAGCGGTGATCGCTCGTGTAGTGATGCGAATGTTAGAATTACACCTTGTGTGGGCCTCTCGGCAAGTCGCAATCAACGGCACAGTCCAAGACGATCCTGCCATGCTAGAATTATATGTTGAGACCGCAGCATCGCAGACATTGCATTACCACAGTTTTTTGAGTCGCGTGCGGAAGGCAAGCATAGTGTCGCGAAAATTCCTTAAGGACTCAAAAACATGCACCCAAAAAGGAGGAGACACCAGACACCACTCTAACTTGTTTGTAAGAAACATTATCAACATGGTTCGTCAGAAGAATGCACTTGCTAAGGTCCGCACCACCATTCTGCAGGGACTGGCTGAGGCCCTGATAGCCCTCCTCCCTGGTCTCGACGACAAGTCTTTTCCGGAGGACATTCAAGACCTGGGGACCCGCCTCCGAGCCGCGCTTCAGCTCTTTGAGGCCAACCCGCCCCCGCGGTTGTTGGATGGCATGGATGGCAGGAGAAAGGCTGTAAGCACCCGGCCAAAGAGGGGGCCAGTGGAGGGGCAGATCTCATACCACAAAAAGTGCAACTGGCCGGGGGGGTGCGTGAAGAACCCGTCGTTTGGGTATCCGGGGCAGGGGCGGGAGCGGTGTAAGGAGCACAAGGAGCCAGACATGCTCAACGTAATTGACAAGTTGTGTGGTAGGACAGCTGTACTCTTTGCTATCTCTAATCTATGTCGAGATTCTTCTCAAGATCGATATTCTGAGTCATGAAGTCGCCTTGCTTCGTCTCTGCATCTTTGAGCTTGGTATGCTGTAATCTCGGTAGCATTTGTCTCTTTGTATGTATGTGAGCAGACCTTTTTGCGAAGCTTTTAGTTGAGTTCCCCTTTGTCTGTGAGTGGCTGCGTGTTGGGTCGCGAAAGTCAGTTCCTAGTGTCTCACTTCCGTTTGGCAATCTTATGAAAAGACATTTGCAATAATCATGATCGTGCCCAGGTCTGATTAAAAAACTTTGTCACCGTCAAACCGCTGCGCTCGTCTTTGTCCGTCGGTCATATTTACCCCGAACAACAACTTGTCCGATGCAGAGTCCTACCAATTTGAGAGCCGAAGCGGAAACACGTTCATATGACTGGATCGAAGGGGCTCTTCACCAGACTTCGTTTCGAATGCAGGAATTGAAGGCTGTAGAAAACGGCCGTCGCAGGGCCACCCCGGCGGCCCCGCCACTCGGTGCAAGAAGCATGCAGAGCCCGGCCAGGTCAACGTCGCCAATAGGCGGTGCATAGTAAGCTCATCTTGCGTGGCACCTTGCCTCGTCAAACTCATGTTTTCAGTTCTTCCACGTCGGTGTACCGTGAATCAGCGCGCTGAGTGACCTGTTGCACCAGACGGGCAGCAGGACTGCTGTGAGGACGTGTTTGCCCTGTGCTGACGTCAGGGCAAAGACGTTTTCCCACATTCGCTCGGATGGTCCTTCCTTGTTTCTGGTTCGAGGCTATGTCGTCGAACTTTTGCAGTGCGTTCTGTCCTCTTCGGATGCCTGCAAGCGGTGCGACCAACGCAAAAGCAAAGCGTACTGCGGTCATTGCCTCGTGCTGAAGTTCCTTCGAGTTCTCGACTCTTCAACCAGTCTGTCAGGCTGTTGTGGTTCCAACGGTTGAACTTTTCCAAATTGAAAGAGCTTTGAAGTTTCACGAAGCTTGAAAGGATTTGCGGAGTGTTCGCCGTCCTTCCTGAGCTTCTGACCGTATTTTCGATCAACCGATCAACAAGCCCAGTGAACAACGAGCTCTTCATTCAGATGAGAACCTAGATAAAAAGGATGACCCGATCGCACCCATACCCTCCCTACGCCAACCCGACCCGTCGGAGCACAGTGTTCTTCTTGTACACTGCGCTAATTGTTCACTGCGTCGACTGGGAGGTCTGATTGTCGTCTGGCTGCACAATTATCACGGTTCTGAACTACTCGACGTCAAAATTGGATCTTGCCGTCAGACCGGGCTACCACTTCCATTTGAGCGAATCTCGAGGAACCACCCTATGTTCCAACCCTATGTAAGCAGGTATACCTCTTTCTGATAGACAACCAGAAGGATCATAACACCTGCAGTAAAAATCCTTGTTCTATCACTTCCCCTGTCCAATGTTTCCCATCTCGCCTCTCTTGTCCAGGTCGACGGCTGCCTCCAGTTGCCCGCCTTCGGCATCCCCGGAGCCAATCTCGCGATCCGGTGTGGCGAGCACGCAGAGCCCGGAATGGAACTGGTCGAGAAGAACTGTGCGGCAGGCGGTTGCAGCAGTCACGCCGCGTTTGGGTGGCCGGGCGGCAAGCCGGAGGTGTGCAAGAAGCACGCGTCCATAGGGATGCTCGACGTCAAAAGCAAGCGTTGCAACTTTGGTGAGTGATCCGACTGTGACACCGGTCTGATGCTGCGATCTGGGTGTTGTGGAAGGGTGACGGGCTTGTGACGCTCTCCGCTTACACGATGTCGTGCATCCGTGCTTCTCGAAAAGCCGATATTTACTTGGAGATCACTTGACAATGTTGGTAGGTACGTTGGTCCTGGATCGGGTGACGGGTTGTGGCTGGATATTGGCTTGCCTCTTCCTCTTAGGAAGAGGGGAACCATAGGGATCGATCATTTGGGCACTGTACGACGCCGCGGCGCGGGCCCGCCGTTCGACGTGCTTGGGTTGGCCCGTTTCGACGATAAAACGTACGGTATTGCCTGGAATTCTGGACAAATAACGGTGCGACATTTTTTGGACTGGGGCCCCCAGTTGCACCTTACGAATCGAACACATTGGCTCGACCGGTGCATGGTGCAAGTCGCGGAACCGCGCTTCGTGCATGTCCGCGATGTTGACGCCGAAGTTTCGCGCTTGCCCCGGTTGGCTGGTTTCACGACCAAGACATCTACACCGTTGAAAGAGATATGGCCAGTCGATGCCAACTGCGATTATCAACCGTTGATGACGTTGGAAATCAAGGAAGAGGCAAGCCCTTGCCGTCGCATCGACGGCCAACCATGTTGTTGAAGGACAGCCCGGTCAGAAGGGGCGATCGGTCACCTAGATCTGCATTTGGCCTTCGACTTTGTACACAGACTCGAAGGTACGTCTTTCAGAAGTAAAGTGTTCTGTCACTTCTGCAGGTGGCTGCGCAAAGCACAGGTCGTATGGCTTCCCCGGGCAAGGGCGGACTCGGTGTCGAGACCACGCAGAAGGTGGAATGATTGACCTGAGCCGGTAACATAGCATACAGGAGGTTGTATCAATTGTCACTGTCAACACGTTGAAGCAAAGGTCGTAAGACTTTCCGTATACAGAAGACAATGAAGTAAGTAAATCAGTAATTGTGTTATGAAGGTCTTTTTCAAAAACTACGTGGCCTCCAATTAACTTGAAGCCGCTGTAATAGACCGCTCAAGAATCGAGTTTTGGCATTGGATCAGCTCGACAGGTTGTTAACTAAAGGCGTGTTACTATAGTCGAGAGCCTCTGTTCGGGCCACCAGATTACAACGGAGTGGCTGGTAGCCGGCTTCGGCTGCCGATATTTAGGCCCACCAGCGATTCCGATAATGTTTCTCAAATCTGCATACGACATGGGATTCATGCGCAAACGTGGAACGGTTACCTTTTTTCCATATTCTGGGCCAGGCCATTGCCCATGGGCGCTTGTGCATAATGCCAGATATGACGATTTATGTAGTATCATGGTTTGTTGTATCCATTGCAATTAATTTCGGATGTGAGCCGCTTCACATATTAAGTGTAGTCCGGCCGGTGCGCAAATGTCCATGCCGAGTTTTACTTAATAAGTAGTTAGGGCCGCCGCCGCGGCGCCCTGCGCCATGCGTCTAATACAAGCACTAGGTCTAATTGTTTGGTTTAGCTAACAGCAGTTCTTTCACTATATAATTGCATCCATCAGACGGTTTTCAGCTAGCTAGCTTCGAGTCCGATACGTGCGGAAAATTGTGAAACGCAGAATAATACTGGTACTTACTCGGTTGTACACGGGCAACGTTGACGATCTAACAACGCCCCTAACTCGCGACGAAGTTAAGAAATTTCGGATATGGATGAAGCGCAGCACGTTTTGTAGTGGTCAATCTGCATCATGTGCGCAAGACGATGCATAGTGGCGCATAGTGGTTTGGCAAGCCAGCAGCCTGGCAACCTGGACATGGGAAAATGGTCATCAGGCTTAGGGCATGCTTAATCGAGCTGTTCAACAGAGTAGGTAGCGCTGCTGGTAGCTTGGGGGCTTTTCAATAATTGAGATTCTGCCGGTGACCTACTGATCCACATGGCGGACTGGCCGTCAAGGAACAATCATGTTTTGACTAGATTGCCAGGACGATCTGATGGATGACGATTCTGATGGAGGGATCTGACTGATCTGGGTGGGGAAGCGGGGGAGCCTGTAACGTCTGCATTAGTGGCAACCTTTTCATTTGAGACTACCAATATTTCTTGAACCTTGCTAGTGCAGAACTTCAATCGCCTGATTCTTTTAGGCAGCCAAAAATTCAAATGTTGCGGCATCACTGGCAAGCCTTATGCTCCTCACATCACTGACATCTCTCTGCTCCCAAGCTCATGAGTGCGCCAGAATTACTATGCAATTGAGCCAGCAATGATTGCCTTTTCTATGTTACAAACCACCACTGTAGTTATTCTCATCTAGGGTGTTGTTGACAAACCCACCACTAAACACGATTGAAGTAATGGCGGTCACAGCATGGGTCCACACCCAGTCTGAAAACTTCTTTTCTACACATGCTGCTGCAAGTGTTTACTGTAGCATCGTCGCCAAAAGACTGGAGATACTCTAGGACCCTCGGATGGGTTGCATGTTCACACAACTATTGACCAGATTGGAGGTTGATGTATGCTGGAGCTCACAGAACGTAGACACCACCTGACGCCTCAGGGCTGCATTGCTCAGGGTGACAGCACTGCAAGTGAAAGTCCTGCTGACATGCAAACTTGCTAGCTTCTCCCTGCTGAGTCTGAGCGCTTGGGAAGGCCCCAGTAGCTTCCCGTTGTTGGCTCCTTCTTCAGAGCTTCCTCCAAGCTCTCACCAGGCCTCTGATGATCAGCTAGCTGGTGCCCTGCCAAGCTTTCCTTTGCTTCTTCCAATTTCTGTACCCGCCCTCTGGTGGTGGTGGTGTCCCGTGTGTATGACACGTATACAATGCCGGCTAGCCCTACACCTACAAGAATCTGCGCTGCTATCTGCTTCGCGGATGCGGGGGTGGCAGCCATGGCCTCCTCCTGGAACGAATGGCCTCATGCCACCAAATGAATGACATTGAAAGCGTCGTGTGTTCGTTAATTCTTGTCCATTCTGAAGTGCCCTTCGCTTCGCGTCATGCTTTCAAATAACGGATACAAATTAAAATCTTTTTTGGCAAATATAAGCGCTCAGTTAACGCTTAAAGACGGTTGCGGTAAAGTGCCGTTTCTGGAGCCTGTAAGATCAAACTCAGGCCCGCGAAAGGGGCCAGAATCCAGCGTCGAAGCTGCCGTCTCTTGGCAGCGAAAAGTTTGTGGATTCGACGGAGGGACGGCATACGGTATTGCTATCAGAAATTAAAATACAGAGAAATGTGGCACAAATGCAGGAGTTGTCCTTGTTGAGGCATGTTGAGGCTCTCCATATTAATAAGTCTCGATTTTATCATTTATGTTGAGTTAGGTGTATGTTGAGTTAGATCAGTACCCCGGGCGCAAACAAACTAAAAACCTAAACCCATAGTTAACATGCTCCGCACCGGTACCCACCCTAAACCCCCAAACCAACCCCACCCGTCCCCCGGGCATGACCTAACTCAACATAGCCGTAACTCAACAT